AAGCCAACAGACGGACCAAGTTCACCAGTCAGGTTATCAAAGTTCCCATCAGGTGGTTCATCGACAATTTCTTTATCAAAACATTCACCTCGTACACCTCGCTCTCCAGTCTCTTTTAGATCGCCTCGGAGTGGATCGCGCCAGTCGTCACGCTCTTCCTTTCGATCTCCAGTTCTCTCACCACTTCGTTCTCCTCGACTTTCTGAAATCGATGATGATGTTGCTGATTGTGAAACTGTTTACAGTGATTTTACTGCTTGTTTTTCGGACTCATCTATGGACGTTGGAATGGCTTTAGATGGATATGAACTGGAAGACGAAGACTTCTTCTTGCCTAATTCATCAAGACCTGGCAACTTTTCTCCAAGTTTCGACGACTTTCTGCTTCATGAAAACGACGATGCTTCGTCAGGCGAGTATTTCGTTCCTTTACATTCTGAATCTAAAAGGCCTCAAGGCCGATTGATAGCTTGTGCTTTTGGACCGTGCAAAAACACTGATTATGCGGAATGGGCACAGCGTTCACAATTTACGTCTTGTGTTTCGTGTTTCACTTATTATTGCAGCAAAGAGTGTCGAAAGGCCGATTGGAAGGAGCATAAACTAACGTGTTATTACGGGAGAATAAATTACTACACCAAGGCGTTGGTTCGCCGTTTCGAAACAAATAGCGAAATAAACAACAGACTATCATTAGTAGCAGTTGGAGGTTTTCAAGAATACGGTCGTGGGTGTGTTCACATAACGTTTACATCACCTATGGCTGCCAAATTCTTCCTTGTTTCTGGGACAAATGCCTTTGTTAAGGACCCAGTTTACGCTCCTTTAAGCGATGTTACGAGAGAGGGAATTATTACAAAGCACCAAGTGTTATTACAACAGACATTAGTTGATTATGATCCTGAGCATGAATTTGTTGTTAATTTGACAGTTTTTGTTGGCAAGCAAAACCAGGCCGTTGTGTCCCCCCGATCTCGCTTTAAGACCAGTGCCTTACTGAGATGTTCAAAAATACCATTAGGTGGTTCATATAGTGCTGGTGTGATTGAGCCATCTCCTGATGCTAGTTATGAAATCAAAGTCTTTTACTTACCAAGAAGCCGAAATCACCACTTTGTTAATGAAACAGAGGCAAGGCGCTATTACTGTCGTGAAGTTTCATATGGCCTAAGAAAGTATGGAATTCATTTGAAGCACGAATTTACTGATGTGTACGATAAGCTTTGTTTGTATGTGGAACATGATGTCGAGTTTGTGCCAATTACGCTGTATGGACAAGCAAGTGGCAAGAATTACAAATGCGTGATATTTCCAGAAGGTTTTTCAAATAGTGGTGCAGAGTCAATGGAACTGCAAGGCAGAGGGATGCTGGTTTGAATCAACGGTATCTGTGTAGCAGCGAAATTCCCAGGTAAGCATCATTTACAAGCTCATTTCTAATATTGTGTTTTTCAGGATACTTACTGTTTATCACTACCTCGTAAACATAATGTCTGTCTACGAGCTTTTTGCTGAATTTGAAATGGTTTTTGCTCACTTTTCAATTGATAAACAATTACATTGGGCAGTATATATTGTTATGGCTGTAAAGTACATTGAGAAATGTTTATAAATGTGATAGTAATCTAATCCATGCATACGAGAGGCCAAGGACGTCAATTCACCATATTGATGTTAAGGTATGTGTATAATTCAAATAGTGATTACAGGGCTGCCCCCCACCCCCCTCCCCCAAAAGAGAAAGTTGTATCTCGGTCTTCGCATAATTCAGTAGAAAATTTCATCAGGAAAATATTCGAGGATCGTCCTTTTTTAGGCAACGCAGAGACACAAGTTCCCGGAGGTGGTCATCAAGAAAATAATCGAGCACGCAGACTAGGCCCCTGAGCAATCAAATGAATCGTCGTGAAGCTGCAAGGAGATTCCGGGTGAGACAGGGATTTTGGACTTTTATTCGTGGTGTAAACATTAGCAAATCTTTATTTGCATCCTGTGTTTCACAAAGATTTTAGTAAAGCCACTTTGTGACAACAACAACAGTTAAGATGCTTGATTTTCGTTGCTAGTTCCTTCATATGCGTCTCCGTGAAAAATCATTATTATAGACTGAGATTTTGAAAGAAGTAAAAAATTGCCACCGAATATTAAATAAAAACCCAGAGAGAATCTAGTAACTTTATTAAAGTGCTCCTTCTAAGATGTGATAGTCTTGATAGTTTGAAATGACCAGTTGTAGACATGTGACAGCAGACTAAATACTCAGCTCTTCACCAAAAGGTTATGGTGAGAGCTTAAAAAAGGTTCTATGTCGCAATTCTAGTAATTTAATTGAACAATTTTCATATTTATAGTCACAATTTTGTCCTTGCGTATTCATCTTGATCATAAAGGCTTAAAATCGTTTAAGGTTAAAACTTTACTAATTCAGATACGCCTTTGTTGACAAAATAACCCATGTTGATAATGCTGCCAGATCAAAAGTTTCTCTTATTAAGAATAATCTACTTATAGCCAATTAACTGACGCATGGTCACCTAACTAGGGGTATATCTACTGTATTGGAAGATTTAAACGACCTTGCATTTATGTTTTGTACTTATGCATTCATGTGTTAGCCTTCGTGCACATGCATAGATGTGTATTTTGCTATGCAACGTCACTCAGTGGACTGAAGAGGCTTTTGAACAACGTGTTTACACCCCTCTTCTTTTTTTAATAGAAAAAAGGATCCCTTAAGCTGCAGTACCAGGGTATTGTCTTAACATACTTTCAAAGAACAGTGCCCAATTCATAGCTTTATTGCAGAATAACAGAATATACGACTTAGCTCATAGGGTGCTTAATTACGAAAGTGGCATTGCAGCAGTGCTGGTGCCATGACCCTTTAGTATGGTAATCTCTTTTCGATTAAAATTCATGTTGAGCGGATACCAATTTGCCTTATTGCTTGTTTAAAGTGGTTTATGGAGACTGGACTACAAAATAGGCTCTTCAGGCTTTACATCACGAACAGGGTCAAGTAATATAAGCATCAAAGTTGCATCTCAACCCTTCAGACCGGGCGGAGCTTGGTGCAGTGTGATGAAAGGCTGGAAGACGGAGACATGGTTAAAGAGAGTTTTAGCGAATTTACCGACCATCTAAAACTTTTCCCGAGAAACTTATGAGAAATAAGGAGAAAGGGTTGACAACTCCCATACACCCACACACCCTGTCAGGTACGCCTTTGAGCAGCCAAAGTCCAACCAAAGTTGGCCATTTTTCACTACCTAGAGAGCCAGACCCTGAGCCACAAAAATCCATTTTGCCAAAGTCTTAGTATCTTTCCCCAAAGTTTAATCATTCAATACTAATACATAATATTGCCTCTTATATAGATATTGCAGCCTGTTGATAGGCTATGACATTTTTGGCCATTGCTGAGTAACTTTCAGGCCTTCGATAGCACTTTGGCCTAGTTTTGCAGGAAACTGTTCCATGAATTTTCATTATTACGTTTCAGCGATATCATAAATATCAAATATTGCTAAGCATCAAGGTATATTATGAATTTTTTGTACACATTTTAAGTTTTTACATAGAATTTTCAATGTCGTTGGTTAGTTGCTTTGAAAGACGTTTCTTAATATCTAGAATAATACAGTGCATTTCTCTATCATCTATTTTCAATAAATTGCAGAAATATCTTGCTGTGTCAAAATTTTGAGTAAAAACCTATTTTAATCCGACCTAGAGCAGGTTTCGTATATTTTTATTACGAGAAACAATGTTTATTAAACATTACAAAGCAATTGCCTATTGTTTCTTTGTGGATTTTTTATGTGTTCTATGGAATGTCAAAAAGATGTCAGAATTTGCTATCCCAAGGAATTCTAAATGAGAGGCCCATGGTGGCTAGATGTGAGCAATGAAGTAACAGAAGCATCTGAGACCCTATTGAAAAAAATGAGATGGGGCCCCTGTTTATGGGCTGCAAGAAGGTCGCATCCAAGGGTGTAAAGCATGTCAAACACAATAACAAGGTGTAAAAATGATCATTTGTCTTGTTAACTAGGCCCCCCCCCCATAGTGGTTGTGATTCACGCACAATTTTTTGACTTTTCACGCATTCACGCACTGCAAAATTGGATTTCACGCTCACGCAAACAATAAATGTAATATCAGCTATTGCTCATCAGATCCCTGCTTGAAGGACTACAACACTACTTTAATAGAGATTCGTGTGTGATATGACTCACAAAAATACTAATTCGAGATTAAACTATTATTAGTTTATTACGCACCTTCATTCATGAATTCACGGGTAGTTAAAGCCTTTTCACGACATAACGCAAGAAAATGTTTCACGTTTCACGTAGAAATCTATATTCACGAAATCACGCATAAAAAATCGAGATTTTTCGATTTTACGCATGAAAATAGGGCCAAAAATGCATCACGCAAAAATATGGGGGGCCCTAACTAAGGGGAGCTGGGTTAAAAACATTTGAGGATGAGTTGAACTTGAGCAGAGACATAAAAAACATGGTAATAAAAATCCTGCTGCCTCGCGAAGCAGCCATGATCAGACGGACCATCAGGTAGATAAAGGTCTATCATTGTGGTCATCTTTGTATAGTGTTTAACATCTCGTGTGTTATGTTCTCTGATGCCACGAGTGAACGCCCTTTCTGGATAATAAAGGTAGAATATGTGAGCAGCAAGGAGATATATTCTACTTCGTTTAATGATGAGCATTGCAGAATGTTCGATGCATGGTTAACAGGCCTAGACTAGTTTTATTTATCATCATCTAATGCGTTAGAAAATATGATGACTTCAACTCGTTCGTACTTTTTTAGCCTAATATGATAGTAAAGTATCAAATGTTTTGACCACCTGGCGATGAATGTGAAACTCGGAAACCTGCTTCTATACAAGAATACTTTGCCAGCTCTTTTTTGGCTTCTGTCAGAATCAAGGACCGCGGAACAAATTACAGATTGAGGAAGGGGGCCAAAACATCTTGGGGGACTAAACATGCTAAGGACTAAGAGCAGGGCGATTTTGGTATGATTTTAAGTACATTTTGGAAATTATTTGGGGGTTAAAGTCCAAAAAGGCCCCCTGCTTCCGCAATCCCTGGTCAGAATCAGTTTGCTAGGTGGACTAAGGGGGTCCAGTGCATTTCTTTGCTTATGAGCGGCCCATGAACCGGGAGTTACACCAGCTTATTCATTTCATTGATGTCCATCTTATTTAAAGAGCACATGTTAGCTTTCTTGTTTCCAACATGCTTCAGGTTTTGTAAAGGTTATTGAAAAGTGGGCATGTCAGGTAGGTGGAAGATATATGTCAGGATGTGGGGCTTATTCGAGAGTGGGGGCTTAATGATGGTGGAGCAATTCGAGGATCTGCGGCATTGATAAGGTAAGGTTGAAGCAATGCAGTTTCAAACTAGGTCACATGGCGATTATTGTGAACTTTAAGCTTTTTATACTTGAAGTACAAAACAAGGAAGCATTTTCAAGGAAAAGATGTCAGACAGTTAGGTTTTTTTAAAGATGTTATAGAGAGCGTGCAGACTTGAGTATTAATTTATCTTAACTGGCCTATCCGACATGTTATGAGCTGAATTTTGCTGTCAATTTAACAACACAATTAAATATGAGGACTTTATCAAGCTTTAGGCTTTATTTACATTATAAGCCAAAACAGAAAATTTTGATAGATCTTGGGTTGAGTTGGGGATAACTTCTGCGAGCAGGAGGGTGTTGGGCAAGCCTTGATTTGTGCGTTCTCAAACAAAATAAGCAATTATAATTTAGCAATTGAAGCCCAATGCGAGGAAGAAAGATGTCATATAAAGGTTCCCGAAAGGATTCTTTAAACACTTGCCAAAAATCTCTTATATTTCGGGATTTCCAAATCATATTGCAGAAATTTAGCTCCAACGCTAGTTCGCTACCTTGGTACGAAAATACATATATGTTACTATTCGTCTATGTAACCTCCAAAGGACGCAGAATAATTTGACGAAATAGACTTCTTTAAGGTGCAAATAAAGAAGTTCATTTCAACCTTCTTTTTATAAGAAGTAGTATCTTCCTACCTTGAGCAAATATGAAAATTGTAATTGCACTACGATAATCAATGCATCACGCATTTTTTACAAACAGTCTGCTCTGAGAGACTGAGCCCTAAGATGACCAAAATTATTATTTGTAAGTCAATATAACCAGAAATAGCTCCTAATCAATTAAAAAATATATTCTTGATAGAGCCGCTTTCAAGGAATTTTTTCATTTTCGGTTCTATTAGGGACAGGTTGCCGCCCACAAGCAGGATTTTAGCCAACAATTCACTTCAATATTGTTTTGGAAATTAATCGCGGAGTTTAACATGGAGTACCGTTAAGGCGCCAAAATAACAAAATGGCTGGGCGAACGACCCGATCCTCTTCTCGTCTAGGCATTACGTCCCCGTGTGTTGGGAAACCTTTCAAAGTTTCAAAGAGAAAGAATGTCAAGGTCTTTACGTAAGTTATTTCAAATCTTTTATAATCATTGATGTTTGAGTTCCATATAAATTGCACCTTCTTTGAGACTAGTTTAGTCTAGGCTACGGGAAGGCCTGTTTGTGATAGTCTTCTATCTCGTTTATGGATCAACAAAGAGAAATTTGTTGAATCCTTTGACAATCTATAAACTGCAGTTTAGTATTGTAATATTTTTCCTAAGTGTAGATTAATGTTTTGTCACACTCACTCGTTTCTAGGTTTTTATGTGGTTCAAAAATATGAGCAAAACATGATGATCGAATAAGAAAACATTCAACGCAGCTAACACAACACAGCCAACAAGCATAGATGATCTGAACCTAAATTGTCTCTGTAGCCGGTTTTAGATTTCTATTCAGATCAGATTCAAACCAAGCTATCATATTCTCAATAACAGGTTTGAACATAACCAACCAATACCATCAACACACTATGAAAATGGGCTCGTCTTCGATTTTTACATAAAACTAAGAATGCACATGAGAAAAATTAGGAGAGCATTCTTGTAGGCCCGAGTTCTTGAAACATGTTTTGCATTAGGGCTGATATATAAAGCCTGTTGTTGTCAAATTTTGCAATTTATCAATCAGTGGCTGAGCTAGGGGAGGCCCAGGTGCATTCCATATAAACCTCATATGGAAGGTACACCAAAGATAGACCATGTGTACACCAAGGTTCATATGCAATCATTATACTGCATAAACAATCACAGAAAAAGCTTTGGACCACATCACTACAACATTTAACCAAAATTGTTGTGCATGCCACACACTGGCAGATGCTTATCTCACACCAACATCATGCTAAATAACATAACTCCATGCCAAAGATCTTCTCGATTTGCTACATGTAATGCACCCTGGAGTTGAGGGATTATATGAATAAGATACAAAAAGGTACTTGTGAAGTCAGGTTTTACAGTTTTTTATATAAAGTACAATGTCTCAAGATACTCCTGGCCAAATTTTGCCTAATTTGAAAAGAAGTAGAAAAAATAAAATTCAGAAGTATATCCAATTAAAGAACAGGATGCACAAATGATACTGTGAAGGCTAGATTTACAGTTATGGTGAATTTAATAGCATATTCAGATTCTGCACATATAAAAAGTGTGGTTTTATGGACCAAACTTTAGATCTCTTTTTAATTCTAACTGGGGTTCAAAATGGCTACTATGTGCAAAATTTTGTTAACTTTTTTGGGAGGGGGAGTAAAATTCAAACCTTGCATAATTTTGCCTCTCCACAAGCCTGGGACAAAGAAAAACTCTTAAAGTTATCTGTTTTTGATTTTCTCATCCTCTAGCCCACTTGGAAAGGGAATGAGTTTAAAAACATGTCTCAGAGTTTCAGGTTTTAGGTTCAGGTTTCAGAGTAGATCAATCTGGGCATCTTTTTACTCAGTAGAGGGTTAGTGGAGAGACTAAACATGGAAAACTTTTGATCCAATTAGAACAACAACATTTACAAAAAAAGTTCAAGACTAATGCTGCAAATTATACTGATTTCTCTCATAGCTCTGGTGTGTAAAAAGTAGCTCTACTCTGGTCTGTTCACAATTCTCTAAAACTGATTAACCTGAAGAGAATAAGGCTAACAATCACTTTTCAACCTGGATACATTTTATCCCAATTTAGAGAAAGCTAACAAAAACTTTTATTAAAACAACTATAAAGCCTAAATTCTTTGTGATACATGTGTCAGGGGTATGTCACAGCATTGAATGGAACACTTCATGGATCAGAGCCACCCACTGGTTCAGCTGGCAAGAGAGACAGTATCAAGATTTACTAAATAGACTGTAAGGATATGCTACATGTAGCCATGCAAAGAGTGGAAGTTTTTAAAACCATAATATGTACACAGGCAGAGCTTATAATCTGATACATTGTTATTGATAAGATGTTATTTGTTCTGTTCTTTCTCATAGAGCGAAGTATAGAAATCTGTGTTCATTGCATAGATATATATTCAATATTGCATACTGTCTTGTCACTTTGAAAAATAAATTCAATTTGAGTGAAGTGCTGAGTAATTAAGGGCATCTTGTAGCTTAATTTGTGTAAAAAAGATATAATTTATCAATAGTATGATAAGCTCTTGAACCATGCATGTATTTATCTCTATTTTTCTTCTATTTTTTCAGAGAAAATGAGAAAAAAGAGATTGCCAAATATGAAATCAAGGTTTGTTTATTTTTGACATAACATTTTCTAGGTAGCTTTTTCTGATGTTTTGCTATCTAAAGGACAGTAACACAATTTGCCAGGCAAGAGAATTGAAAGCTCTTTTGAGTTTTTTCAAGTATTTATCCCATGAAACTGATGCATAATTTATTAGTTATAATTATATTTATTTAGGTTATAGTTTATAGTGTAAACTTGAAGTTTTGAGATTGAAAGTTTAGATTGACTTTATTAGTTCGTAAAGCCAGCAAGCCAGCAAAATGAAGCCTCCCTAAGCAAAACTAGCCAATATATTCTTATGAGAATGATTTTTTACTCCATGGACCATTCATTATTTGTGTTTGAGAAGGTCATTAAACGTTTCTCTTTGGACAAACCTTTAAGATGATGACATATAAGCTGTTCATAGTAGTTAGGCTGAAGGTGATGTTGCAATTTTTAATAAAATTCCAGAAAATCGTAATTGAGTACTTTTAATGTTTGCATTTTCTTAGATTGCTATACAGTGCCTAGAGAATGGCTACCTTTTCAGGAAGTAACTTGTATCTGGCCAATATTTTCATGATTTTATCTTCACTAGAACATGTAAAACTGACTGGGGTGTTCAGAACCTGCTCCCTTTAGAACCTGTCAATAGAATGAACCACTTTTTAACCAAAATGTCCTGTTTATCTCTGATTTGTATTATCATTTTTTCCTTAGACTTTATCATTACTTTTTCTATTGATTACAAGCAATGATAGATTACTAGCAAGATGTAAACAGCTTATGAATTGTATCTATTGTAAAACATATATTTTAGGAGCACTAGGTTAACAGATTCTTGGTTGATAGCAGCAAATTTATTTTGCTGAACAAGTCTACCTATATAAATATGGTTTTTCAATTATTATTATTCTTATTGTTATTAGAAATTGAATTAAAAAGGGAATTGATCACAAGAAGTTGTTAAGAATGCAAACAATATTTATTGCCCATTTGAGTTAATAAAAGTTTCTTTTCTAGGCAGGACAGTTTAAGTACAGGCTAAGAAGTGTGAAAGATATTTTGAAAAACCTTGATAATGATAAATCAAGTGAAGAAGGCTCTGCAAGAAGAAGGGGGAGAAAAAGTAAGTTATTAGCGAGCAAGCGGAGGTCAATTGCTGAGTCAGTGATGCTAAAAAACTTTCAAAAGGATGCACAATTCAATAAAGAGCAGGAGGAGCAAAAAAGCCCGTCTAACCAACAAGCTGAAGACACTTTGGAAGCAAAGGTAGAACAAGAAGAAAATCAAATTCATATTGAAGAGAAAAACGAAAGCTCACAGGGGGCAGAGGAAATAACAGAGATGGTTTCTGAAATTGAGCAGTCAGAAATGAATGACAACGAGGTTCCATTGGTACAGGACACTGAGACAAGACAAACCACAATGGAAGATGAAAACCAATTGAAGGAACCAGGGATAAAAAATCTAAGGGTAAAGGCTAGGGTATGTTTCAAATTTGTATCACATTTTTTTTCATTGGTTGCTTTTAGTTGCATTAATGCCAAGAATTCCCAGTTTTTTGTATCCATGTTTTTTACAATGAGGAGCTCAATAACATTTAGTTTTTAAGTAAAAAGCATCATATAGACATGAAATAATTTTTTAGGTAAAACCTGTGAATGAAACTGAAGAAGAGGCTGCTGAAAGAATAAAGGCTGAGATGAGACTGAGGCAAGAATGTTGTAACTATGTAGAAAGCTTTTCTAATTACCCATATTTCAGGGCCTGGCTGCAAACAATTTTATTTCTGGATACCTGTTAAAATTTCTGAAAATATTCTGCTAGCTGAAGATATTGCACAATGTGGTTTACATTTTCAACTTTAACTAATTGAAAATTTCAAGCGCAATATATCCCCTGCTTTATCTAAATTGTTGTGTTTCGCTATTTTTCTGCCAGTTGTGGAAATAGAGTTCTTAAGTGTGACATCACAATAAACTACTTTTAGAATTTTTGAATTTCAACCATATAGCATAAAAGAACACGATGAAATGCTTCTAATTATGCAAGACCAGTTAAATATGCAAAAAATTTGGTGATTCAGGTTTGAAGTGTGCAAGCGAATCTTTGTTATTTTGGCTCTGTTCATAAAGTTATGATTATAGACGAAATAACAGAGGTTTGATGGGGAAAGAGCCTGTGCTCGTATGGCTATATCTAGGCCAATGCAAAACACATTTGACTGATTTTGCACATTTAGAGGTATTTCATGATGCTCTTTCAGGTTATGGGATCTAAATTCAACAATTTTCAAAAATACATTTTTGTGATGTCATCGGTTGAGAACTCTATTTTCTGTGTTCCAATATTTTTGCAGCCATGATTCATGACTTTTTTACAAATCAATTTAGAATTTAACAAAAGCAACAAGTATTTAAAAGGTGACACCACAGAGTGGATGAGAATGCATTGCAACCCTATGGCTTTGCTTTAAGCATAGAATCTTTTGATGAGGATTATCAACTGATAGATTATAGCATAGACTACAATCTATGAACTGGGAAAATACCAAACATACTATAATCTGTAATACAAACTACAAACTGTAAAAGATTAAGCAGATATGGGGGAGAGGGAATTTCGCACAAATGATTTTAAAACTTATAGTTTGAGAACTAGATGGTCCTTTTTTCCGTCTATACACGACTACACTCTTTTTTTATAAGAACCAGTAAATTTAATTTCAGGCTGACTGTTCTTAATTTTTTCGAAAATCTGAGGCTGGATTGTTCTTAATTTGTTCTTAAATTAAGAGGGTGTAAGCAGTGCTATTGCTAGCTTTTTCACTCTAAGTAGGTGTTCAGGCCTCATTTGCCAACAAAGTGAGTGAGACAGCCTTAATTTGCTGACAAATTTGAATATTCACCGAAAAAACACCCACACATCGCTAAAAATCCTCGATTTTGAGAAAAAACGTTGTTCAAAATTGCATTTTGCAGAAGCTCAGCCTCAGCTTGTTCTTAATTTGTTCTTAACTTTTGACCAGTTTTGAGGCTCGTGTTCTTATAAAATTGTTCTTATAAAAAAAGAGTGTATTTGCAAAAGTNCCAGCTGAACCAGTGGGTGGCTCTGATCCATGAAGTGTTCCATTCAATGCTGTGACATACCCCTGACACATGTATCACAAAGAATTTAGGCTTTATAGTTGTTTTAATAAAAGTTTTTGTTAGCTTTCTCTAAATTGGGATAAAATGTATCCAGGTTGAAAAGTGATTGTTAGCCTTATTCTCTTCAGGTTAATCAGTTTTAGAGAATTGTGAACAGACCAGAGTAGAGCTACTTTTTACACACCAGAGCTATGAGAGAAATCAGTATAATTTGCAGCATTAGTCTTGAACTTTTTTTGTAAATGTTGTTGTTCTAATTGGATCAAAAGTTTTCCATGTTTAGTCTCTCCACTAACCCTCTACTGAGTAAAAAGATGCCCAGATTGATCTACTCTGAAACCTGAACCTAAAACCTGAAACTCTGAGACATGTTTTTAAACTCATTCCCTTTCCAAGTGGGCTAGAGGATGAGAAAATCAAAAACAGATAACTTTAAGAGTTTTTCTTTGTCCCAGGCTTGTGGAGAGGCAAAATTATGCAAGGTTTGAATTTTACTCCCCCTCCCAAAAAAGTTAACAAAATTTTGCACATAGTAGCCATTTTGAACCCCAGTTAGAATTAAAAAGAGATCTAAAGTTTGGTCCATAAAACCACACTTTTTATATGTGCAGAATCTGAATATGCTATTAAATTCACCATAACTGTAAATCTAGCCTTCACAGTATCATTTGTGCATCCTGTTCTTTAATTGGATATACTTCTGAATTTTATTTTTTCTACTTCTTTTCAAATTAGGCAAAATTTGGCCAGGAGTATCTTGAGACATTGTACTTTATATAAAAAACTGTAAAACCTGACTTCACAAGTACCTTTTTGTATCTTATTCATATGTAGCATTATATGTAGCATTACATGTAGCAAATCGAGAAGATCTTTGGCATGGAGTTATGTTATTTAGCATGATGTTGGTGTGAGATAAGCATCTGCCAGTGTGTGGCATGCACAACAATTTTGGTTAAATGTTGTAGTGATGTGGTCCAAAGCTTTTTCTGTGATTGTTTATGCAGTATAATGATTGCATATGAACCTTGGTGTACACATGGTCTATCTTTGGTGTACCTTCCATATGAGGTTTATATGGAATGCACCTGGGCCTCCCCTAGCTCAGCCACTGATTGATAAATTGCAAAATTTGACAACAACAGGCTTTATATATCAGCCCTAATGCAAAACATGTTTCAAGAACTCGGGCCTACAAGAATGCTCTCCTAATTTTTCTCATGTGCATTCTTAGTTTTATGTCAAAATCGAAGACGAGCCCATTTTCATAGTGTGTTGATGGTATTGGTTGGTTATGTTCAAACCTGTTATTGAGAATATGATAGCTTGGTTTGAATCTGATCTGAATAGAAATCTAAAACCGGCTACAGAGACAATTTAGGTTCAGATCATCTATGCTTGTTGGCTGTGTTGTGTTAGCTGCGTTGAATGTTTTCTTATTCGATCATCATGTTTTGCTCATATTTTTGAACCACATAAAAACCTAGAAACGAGTGAGTGTGACAAAACATTAATCTACACTTAGGAAAAATATTACAATACTAAACTGCAGTTTATAGATTGTCAAAGGATTCAACAAATTTCTCTTTGTTGATCCATAAACGAGATAGAAGACTATCACAGACTGCAAACAGGCCTTCCCGTAGCCTAGACTAAACTAGTCTCAAAGAAGGTGCAATTTATATGGAACTCAAACATCAATGATTATAAAAGATTTGAAATAACTTACGTAAAGACCTTGACATTCTTTCTCTTTGAAACTTTGAAAGGTTTCCCAACACACGGGGACGTAATGCCTAGACGAGAAGAGGATCGGGTCGTTCGCCCAGCCATTTTGTTATTTTGGCGCCTTAACGGTACTCCATGTTAAACTCCGCGATTAATTTCCAAAACAATATTGAAGTGAATTGTTGGCTAAAATCCTGCTTGTGGGCGGCAACCTGTCCCTAATAGAACCGAAAATGAAAAAATTCCTTGAAAGCGGCTCTATCAAGAATATATTTTTTAATTGATTAGGAGCTATTTCTGGTTATATTGACTTACAAATAATAATTTTGGTCATCTTAGGGCTCAGTCTCTCAGAGCAGACTGTTTGTAAAAAATGCGTGATGCATTGATTATCGTAGTGCAATTACAATTTTCATATTTGCTCAAGGTAGGAAGATACTACTTCTTATAAAAAGAAGGTTGAAATGAACTTCTTTATTTGCACCTTAAAGAAGTCTATTTCGTCAAATTATTCTGCGTCCTTTGGAGGTTACATAGACGAATAGTAACATATATGTATTTTCGTACCAAGGTAGCGAACTAGCGTTGGAGCTAAATTTCTGCAATATGATTTGGAAATCCCGAAATATAAGAGATTTTTGGCAAGTGTTTAAAGAATCCTTTCGGGAACCTTTATATGACATCTTTCTTCCTCGATTTGCGCTTCAATTGCTAAATTATAATTGCTTGTTTTGTTTGAGAACGCACAAATCAAGGCTTGCCCAACACCCTCCTGCTCGCAGAAGTTATCCCCAACTCAACCCAAGATCTATCAAAAATTTTCTGTTTTGGCTTATAATGTAAATAAAGCCTAAAGCTTGATAAAGTCCTCATATTTAATTGTGTTGTTAAATTGACAGCAAAATTCAGCTCATAACATGTCGGATAGGCCAGTTAAGATAAATTAATACTCAAGTCTGCACGCTCTCTATAACATCTTTAAAAAAACCTAACTGTCTGACATCTTTTCCTTGAAAATGCTTCCTTGTTTTGTACTTCAAGTATAAAAAGCTTAAAGTTCACAATAATCGCCATATGACCTAGTTTGAAACTGCATTGCTTCAACCTTACCTTATCAATGCCGCAGATCCTCGAATTGCTCCACCATCATTAAGCCCCCACTCTCGAATAAGCCCCGCATCCTGACATATATCTTCCACCTACCTGACATGCCCACTTTTCAATAACCTTTACAAAACCTGAAGCATGTTGGAAACAAGAAAGCTAACATGTGCTCTTTAAATAAGATGGACATCAATGAAATGAATAAGCTGGTGTAACTCCCGGTTCATGGGCCGCTCATAAGCAAAGAAATGCACTGGACCCCCTTAGTCCACCTAGCAAACTGATTCTGACCAGGGATTGCGGAAGCAGGGGGCCTTTTTGGACTTTAACCCCCAAATAATTTCCAAAATGTATTTAAAATCATACCAAAATCGCCCTGCTCTTAGTCCTTAGCATGTTTAGTCCCCCAAGATGTTTTGGCCCCCTTCCTCAATCTGTAATTTGTTCCGCGGTCCTTGATTCTGACAGAAGCCAAAAAAGAGCTGGCAAAGTATTCTTGTATAGAAGCAGGTTTCCGAGTTTCACATTCATCGCCAGGTGGTCAAAACATTTGATACTTTACTATCATATTAGGCTAAAAAAGTACGAACGAGTTGAAGTCACGAATCATATTTTCTAACGCATTAGATGATGATAAATAAAACTAGTCTAGGCCTGTTAACCATGCATCGAACATTCTGCAATGCTCATCATTAAACGAAGTAGAATATATCTCCTTGCTGCTCACATATTCTACCTTTATTATCCAGAAAGGGCGTTCACTCGTGGCATCAGAGAACATAACACACGAGATGTTAAACACTATACAAAGATGACCACAATGATAGACCTTTATCTACCTGATGGTCCGTCTGATCATGGCTGCTTCGCGAGGCAGCAGGATTTTTATTACCATGTTTTTTATGTCTCTGCTCAAGTTCAACTCATCCTCAAATGTTTTTAACCCAGCTCCCCTTAGTTAGGGCCCCCCATATTTTTGCGTGATGCATTTTTGGCCCTATTTTCATGCGTAAAATCGAAAAATCTCGATTTTTTATGCGTGATTTCGTGAATATAGATTTCTACGTGAAACGTGAAACATTTTCTTGCGTTATGTCGTGAAAAGGCTTTAACTACCCGTGAATTCATGAATGAAGGTGCGTAATAAACTAATAATAGTTTAATCTCGAATTAGTATTTTTGTGAGTCATATCACACACGAATCTCTATTAAAGTAGTGTTGTAGTCCTTCAAGCAGGGATCTGATGAGCAATAGCTGATATTACATTTATTGTTTGCGTGAGCGTGAAATCCAATTTTGCAGTGCGTGAATGCGTGAAAAGTCAAAAAATTGTGCGTGAATCACAACCACTATGGGGGGGGGGCCTAGTTAACAAGACAAATGATCATTTTTACACCTTGTTATTGTGTTTGACATGCTTTACACCCTTGGATGCGACCTTCTTGCAGCCCATAAACAGGGGCCCCATCTCATTTTTTTCAATAGGGTCTCAGATGCTTCTGTTACTTCATTGCTCACATCTAGCCACCATGGGCCTCTCATTTAGAATTCCTTGGGATAGCAAATTCTGACATCTTTTTGACATTCCATAGAACACATAAAAAATCCACAAAGAAACAATAGGCAATTGCTTTGTAATGTTTAATAAACATTGTTTCTCGTAATAAAAATATACGAAACCTGCTCTAGGTCAGATTAAAATAGGTTTTTACTCAAAATTTTGACACAGCAAGATATTTCTGCAATTTATTGAAAATAGATGATAGAGAAATGCACTGTATTATTCTAGATATTAAGAAACGTCTTTCAAAGCAACTAACCAACGACATTGAAAATTCTATGTAAAAACTTAAAATGTGTACAAAAAATTCATAATATACCTTGATGCTTAGCAATATTTGATATTTATGATATCGCTGAAACGTAATAATGAAAATTCATGGAACAGTTTCCTGCAAAACTAGGCCAAAGTGCTATCGAAGGCCTGAAAGTTACTCAGCAATGGCCAAAAATGTCATAGCCTATCAACAGGCTGCAATATCTATATAAGAAGCAAAATTATGTATTAGTATTGAATGATTAAACTTTGGGGAAAGATACTAAGACTTTGGCAAAATGGATTTTTGTGGCTCAGGGTCTGGCTCTCTAGGTAGTGAAAAATGGCCAACTTTGGTTGGACTTTGGCTGCTCAAAGGCGTACCTGACAGGGTGTGTGGGTGTATGGGAGTTGTCAACCCTTTCTCCTTATTTCTCATAAGTTTCTCGGGAAAAGTTTTAGATGGTCGGTAATTCGCTAAAACTCTCTTTAACCATGTCTCCGTCTTCCAGCCTTTCATCACACTGCACCAAGCTCCGCCCGGTCTGAAGGATTGAGATGCAACTTTGATGCTTATATTACTTGACCCTGTTCGTGATGTAAAGCCTGAAGAGCCTATTTTGTAGTCCAGTCTCCATAAACCACTTTAAACAAGCAATAAGGCAAATTGGTATCCGCTCAACATGATTTTAATCGAAAAGAGATTACCATACTAAAGGGTCATGGCACCAGCACTGCTGAAATGCCACTTTCGTAACTAAGCACCCTATGAGCTAAGTCGTATATTCTGTTATTCTGCAATAAAGCTATGAATTGGGCACTGTTCTTTGAAAGTATGTTAAGGCAATACCCTTGTACTGCAGCTTAAGGGATCCTTTTTTCTATTAAAAAAAGAAGAGGGGTGTAAACACGTTGTTCAAAAGCCTCTTCAGTCCACGGAGTGACGTTGCATAGCAAAATACACATCTATGCATGTGCACGAAGGCTAACACATGAATGCATAAGTACAAAACATAAATGCAAGGTCGTTTAAATCTTCCAATACAGTAGATATACCCCTAGTTAGGTGACCATGCGTCAGTTAATTGGCTATAAGTAGATTATTCTTAATAAGAGAAACTTTTGATCTGGCAGCATTATCAACATGGGTTATTTTGTCAACAAAGGCGTATCTGAATTAGTAAAGTTTTAACCTTAAACGATTTTAAGCCTTTATGATCAAGATGAATACGCAAGGACAAAATTGTGACTATAAATATGAAAATTGTTCAATTAAATTACTAGAATTGCGACATAGAACCTTTTTTAAGCTCTCACCATAACCTTTTGGTGAAGAGCTGAGTATTTAGTCTGCTGTCACATGTCTACAACTGGTCATTTCAAACTATCAAGACTATCACATCTTAGAAGGAGCACTTTAATAAAGTTACTAGATTCTCTCTGGGTTTTTATTTAATATTCGGTGGCAATTTTTTACTTCTTTCAAAATCTCAGTCTATAATAATGATTTTTCACGGAGACGCATATGAAGGAACTAGCAACGAAAATCAAGCATCTTAACTGTTGTTGTTGTCACAAAGTGGCTTTACTAAAATCTTTGTGAAACACAGGATGCAAATAAAGATTTGCTAATGTTTACACCACGAATAAAAGTCCAAAATCCCTGTCTCACCCGGAATCTCCTTGCAGCTTCACGACGATTCATTTGATTGCTCAGGGGCCTAGTCTGCGTGCTCGATTATTTTCTTGATGACCACCTCCGGGAACTTGTGTCTCTGCGTTGCCTAAAAAAGGACGATCCTCGAATATTTTCCTGATGAAATTTTCTACTGAATTATGCGAAGACCGAGATACAACTTTCTCTTTTGGGGGAGGGGGGTGGGGGGCAGCCCTGTAATCACTATTTGAATTATACACATACCTTAACATCAATATGGTGAATTGACGTCCTTGGCCTCTCGTATGCATGGATTAGATTACTATCACATTTATAAACATTTCTCAATGTACTTTACAGCCATAACAATATATACTGCCCAATGTAATTGTTTATCAATTGAAAAGTGAGCAAAAACCATTTCAAATTCAGCAAAAAGCTCGTAGACAGACATTATGTTTACGAGGTAGTGATAAACAGTAAGTATCCTGAAAAACACAATATTAGAAATGAGCTTGTAAATGATGCTTACCTGGGAATTTCGCTGCTACACAGATACCGTTGATTCAAACCAGCATCCCTCTGCCTTGCAGTTCCATTGACTCTGCACCACTATTTGAAAAACCTTCTGGAAATATCACGCATTTGTAATTCTTGCCACTTGCTTGTCCATACAGCGTAATTGGCACAAACTCGACATCATGTTCCACATACAAACAAAGCTTATCGTACACATCAGTAAATTCGTGCTTCAAATGAATTCCATACTTTCTTAGGCCATATGAAACTTCACGACAGTAATAGCGCCTTGCCTCTGTTTCATTAACAAAGTGGTGATTTCGGCTTCTTGGTAAGTAGAAGACTTTGATTTCATAACTAGCATCAGGAGATGGCTCAATCACACCAGCACTATATGAACCACCTAATGGTATTTTTGAACATCTCAGTAAGGCACTGGTCTTAAAGCGAGATCGGGGGGACACAACGGCCTGGTTTTGCTTGCCAACAAAAACTGTCAAATTAACAACAAATTCATGCTCAGGATCATAATCAACTAATGTCTGTTGTAATAACACTTGGTGCTTTGTAATAATTCCCTCTCTCGTAACATCGCTTAAAGGAGCGTAAACTGGGTCCTTAACAAAGGCATTTGTCCCAGAAACAAGGAAGAATTTGGCAGCCATAGGTGATGTAAACGTTATGTGAACACACCCACGACCGTATTCTTGAAAACCTCCAACTGCTACTAATGATAGTCTGTTGTTTATTTCGCTATTTGTTTCGAAACGGCGAACCAACGCCTTGGTGTAGTAATTTATTCTCCCGTAATAACACGTTAGTTTATGCTCCTTCCAATCGGCCTTTCGACACTCTTTGCTGCAATAATAAGTGAAACACGAAACACAAGACGTAAATTGTGAACGCTGTGCCCATTCCGCATAATCAGTGTTTTTGCACGGTCCAAAAGCACAAGCTATCAATCGGCCTTGAGGCCTTTTAGATTCAGAATGTAAAGGAACGAAATACTCGCCTGACGAAGCATCGTCGTTTTCATGAAGCAGAAAGTCGTCGAAACTTGGAGAAAAGTTGCCAGGTCTTGATGAATTAGGCAAGAAGAAGTCTTCGTCTTCCAGTTCATATCCATCTAAAGCCATTCCAACGTCCATAGATGAGTCCGAAAAACAAGCAGTAAAATCACTGTAAACAGTTTCACAATCAGCAACATCATCATCGATTTCAGAAAGTCGAGGAGAACGAAGTGGTGAGAGAACTGGAGATCGAAAGGAAGAGCGTGACGACTGGCGCGATCCACTCCGAGGCGATCTAAAAGAGACTGGAGAGCGAGGTGTACGAGGTGAATGTTTTGATAAAGAAATTGTCGATGAACCACCTGATGGGAACTTTGATAACCTGACTGGTGAACTTGGTCCGTCTGTTGGCTTATCTATCAAGTCCGGCAGCGATCTGTGGGCCTTTTTCCTCTGATCATAGCTCCCAGTACTCTTACGAAACGGAGACTCCCTGACGTATCTTGGTGGTGACGTGGGTACTGACTGAAACTTCTGCACCGAAGGAGCATTGTTTTTGTTTTTGGGTGTTAAGTCTCGGAGGCTAGCAGCTCTGCGTTTTTGTTGTGGTGATATCTTTAACTCACGTATTATTGGTGACGGCATTGACCTAAAATCTGTCACATCTTTACTTGGCTTTATCACTGTTTCTCTAGCCTGGTTGTGCTGTGGAGTACTAGTTGTGGGTGTGGCCACATTGAGTTTTGCACGTAGATTTCCATAGGATGCATCTTTCAGCCTTTCCATACTCAAAGACCATGGAGAATCTTCATAAACATTCAGTGCTTTAGGCCATAACCTATTTTCTGTGCCATGTGTTTCCCAGCCATTTTGCTTTATCTCTAACGACTGTTCGCTGTTTTGAAGAAAAACTTCAACTCTACTGTTGTTGTCCATAGACCCAAGTGATTGTGCTCGTGATTTTTCTTCAAGTGGCTCAGCTTTCAATACTGATTTAGGAACACTGTTTCTTTGCGCTCTATTTCTTCTGTTTCTCACAGCAGAATTTGCCATGCTTATCAAGCCGTTAACGTCCTCTGGCGAAAAAAACTCAGACGCAATCTGCTCCTCTACACTGTTGACAACTTTCTCTTCTGAACTGACATTAAAATTCTCCTCCATTTTATGTTCCGCCTCCACAACGCGTTGATGGACACGTGGAATTGCGACTTCTTCTGGACTCAAGATTTTCGTGGTATCTTTGCTGTTGATAGCTTTCAACAAAGACTCGTAATCTTCCTGTCTTCTTGAAATAATATCGGTTTTATTCCTTGACTCTATTCTCTCCAAATGTCTCTCAGCTTCTTCTTGTACTGCATTATGGTACAAATCTTGTTGGTGCTCCTCCTCAACATCAATACTTTTCGATTTATGCAAAGAGCAACGACTAAGAGAAAGACTGTTTAGAGAATATCGACTTCGTGTGTAGTCAGAAAGCGAAGTGTCAGTTATATCAGTAAAAGCATCACTATCATTGCCTTCATCGTCTGATGTGAAAGGGGATTTCCCCTTTTTCAACTGCCTGCTCATCTCGTATTCTTTTAGAATTACAATGGCATCCTGCTCCTTCTCAGTAACAACTAAATCCTTTACATAATCATCATAATCATCATCTTCAAAATTTATCAAGTATCGTAGCTGTGTAAGGAAATCAACATGCCTGCTTTGTAGTGAAGAATACCTTTTCTTCCGGATATCATTTTCCTCGTTGTTTTCCATAGCTATACCCTTCGATCTTGCAATCTTTTGTAGGAGTCTCGACTGATCCTCTGCATCCATGTCATCTATTGAAAGTCTGTCCTCAGACTGCAAAGAATTTTGTCTTTCCTCTAGCCATTTACGTAACCTTCTATCTTTTCTAAAAGAATTCCTTGAGCGTGACTGCTTACTTTCTGCTTGGTCTTGACTTTTCTGCCTTTGTAACTTATCAGCACAATTGCAGCATTCTCCTACTGGCGACTTCTCCTGTAACTCCTTTCCACAAGACGCACAGGCATTACCCCCGTCATGGAAGAGACTATCCAGGCTTTCACAAGATCCGTTTAGGGGGGTTTTCAATAACAAATCAATGTCACTTACTTTTGTTGAACTTTTTCCCTGTGCCTCGTTTCCGTTACATTGTTCATACCAAAAATGTTCCTCTGACTTTTCTCTAGCTTTATTGATTTCATTCTTACTCTCCGCTTCTAATTCTGCCTGGTCATGGCTTTCGCTCAAAACCACAGTTAGGCCATAGATACTCGTCCTTTTGACTTCTTGTTCTTGAGAAATTGATAACTCCGGCTCACAAACAGCCTCGATAACACGTTCAGCCTGTTGAGGGATGTTTTTTTGTGCATCTTCTATACCACCATTTCTGTAAAAATCAAGTGCATGTTCAAATTTTCCATTATTTTTTCCCACATCGCCAGGAATGGCATTTTGTTTAAGTTGACTATCAATCGCTGAATCTTTCCACACATCAGATATCACCGGATTATTCCTCTCTGAATCTTCGGTTGTATTGATAATACCTAATTCTATTGTTTTGCCAACCTCAACATTGTTCGAAATATTTAAATCCCGCTTTGTCTTTTCATTTTGTCTTAAAACCAAATCCTTTGTTGCATTCTCCACAGCATTTGTCGTACTTGATCGCGTCTCTATCTCATCGACAGCAAGTGATGTAGGCCTCACAATAGATTTGCTTGGTCGAACAATTGTTTCACGGTCCTCTATTCTCCGTTTATTGTTATTATCATCTATCAATCCAACAGCTTTATTTCGGTTTTGCAAATTCCTTAGATTCTCAGCTATATCCATAGACTTAGCATTCCGTACACGTAAACTTTGTTTATGAATTGTCTTTGTTTCTATAACCAATTTCCTCGATTCCTTTGGTCTACTTTCAAATTTTCCTATCAACGTCGCAACAGATCCACTTTTGTCATCATAATTGCTCCTTGATGCCAAAATTGTGGTACTTTTCGCTTTACGAATATCTGAAACATTCCCATTAGTGGCCCAAGCTCCCTTCTTGCCCACGTGGTTTTCGACAGTCTCTTTCCGCACAATATCGGCCCGTGAACTCTTTTCATTTATATCAGAAGTGTCATTGTTGTTATCAGAAATTGAACGTGGTCCTAAAAATTCAAGCGATTTCATCAACTCATCAAGGTTTGTCTCTTTAATCGATTTTCTCTCCAAATTGGTTGCAATAACAATCTTCGGCTTCTTTCGAGATATCTCTGCACTCTTTGCTCTCCTAAGTGTGCCATAGTCACTATACGTCGAGGGACCTTCTTCTAAACAAACCGAAGAAGGGCGATTTCTGTAAAACCATGCCATTGGTTCTGAATGCCCTTCAGGTAGGCAACTCAAAGATCTTGAGCGAAGTTTCACGGCCACAGATTCCTCCGGTTTTGTTTCCGCTAATAAGAGCTTCGTGTCCACATCTTCAATCAAAATCTCATTGTTTTCGAATACTTCGTCCCCTGTGTCATAAACATTGATACAGATTTCTGGAGAAGAATCACTTTGATTTCCCAATGATGTCGATTGCTCGCCATCTGAATGAATATTTTGATCTTCGCGATTCACTCCTTCGTTTTTATCGCAATCAAAACAGATATTCGTATTCACACCAGTAATAAGGTTGTTGCTTTTCACAGATTGGATTAAACTATTACAGTCCGCTTCATTAAATCCGTGTCTAGATTCTTCAGATACCTCCCAATCAATATTTCCAACAGGCTTGTTTTGCTCCTCCACAGTAGTGTCAATTTTTCCAGGATTTACTTCGGAATTTGTGCCATACTCTTTTTCGTTCCAAGTTACTGCGTTTGGACATGATTCCTGTTCTGCATCTATGATTTGCACAGCAACTGGCTCTAACACCACATCATTCACACATGTTTCTACTTTCAAATCGTCGTTAGAAACAGGCTTAGGATAAACACCACCATTAATGCCAGCAACATCCTTTGTAGTTTCATGAAAATCTCTATCATTGGCTGGGACAAAGTCAACTGACTCCGCCAAAACATGATCAGCAGCACTCTCGATACAATTCGACTTCACGTAAAATTCGAACTGATCTTTAATTAGAGTAGAGAGTTTCGGGACTTTCGAATCAGTCTCAATATTCCCACCTTTTTTGTTTACAAATTCATCTAAAAGTTTTCCATCAACAACATCAGATAATTTTTCGTGATATATTTTTTTGGTATCATTACTCTGCTCAGGGCCACGAAAAACAATATTTCCTTCCTTGGCACTAGGCGAATTATTCTTAGATTTCGGTACATTGAGGGTAATTTCAATTTTACGATCGACAGTAATTATTGGCGAGAATCTTGTGTTCTTATAATTGATAACAGTATATTCGCCATGATTTTGAACTGATATTCCCTTTAGTAAATAATTCGAAACAGGCATGGCAAGGGTGCCTTTTTTCAGTCCAACACTCTGTCCCTGACCCATGTCTGTTTTTATCCCCTCACCATTAAAATCTCCAGGTACTTTTGACAAAGTTTCAAAATAATTGTCGCGTAAATCAACCGAGTCAGTTTGATTTCTTTCAAAATTTGTTTGTAAATTTCCAGGAATAGTCAATTCAGAATCGATGTTATTTTTGAGAAGTTCAGACTTTTCTTTAAGATCAGCTTGGCTTAATCCCTGCGAATTCAGCAATCTTTGAAAAAACTCGTTTTCGAAATATTCATACTTGCGTTCAAAAGGCACATCAAAACAAAGTTTACTTACTGGTAGCAGGCATTTTTCAAATGAACGGCTGCGTTTAGGGGTCGCATCAGACTGCAGGTCTTCTTCTGAATTTCTTTTTAATTTCTTCCAACGTTGCTCCTCATCTGTCAACGACGCAGAACTCCTCAGGTTTGAAAGTGAGCTACTTGTGCTGTCAAGCTGCCCTTTTTCCCCCTCCAGACATTCTTCAGTGCTTTCGAAACTTGTTGAAGATCCACTAAAATCCTCCGCATCAACAGCTGCCAACGATGTTAGAAACACAAAGTCATCAAAGCCTCGTGTTGATTCCCATGCATATTTTGGCTTTGTTTTGTTGTAATGTTGACTGTGAAATTCCTTTAGACTTTCAGTACTGATGGCAGGCAGTGTAGTTTCATTTAGATTTTTGTTTTTGTTGCCATTGTTTACAATCTCCACGCCGTCCACTATTATTTGCGGTTTACAAGCGCTGTTACTAACAACTTGCTTCACGACAAAATCGGCTTTCTCTGGATAGCAATTTCCAAAACAACCAGGTAATTTTATCAATCCCTCCCCACGTTTGCAGTCTTTTGTAGATTTGCTGCTACTAAACACAATCTCTTCACGCAGTTTGCTGTTTTCCTTTGCTGCGCACCAACTTTCATGAATCACAGCCGATTGAAAATCCGCTCTCAGTTTAAGCCTTTCAGCATAAATTTGAGCGTATTTAGCGACATTATCGTGAAAACAATGAAATTCCAAAGGGTTGTTATTGAAAACATCAACGAAACCTGCAGGGTTTAGTAACGACTTTCGAAAATAAGACAGAAAACTAAGACCTTCTGGAAAACCGGACAACGCCAAAGAGATTTCCCGCCAATTCAGCTTTATAACACTGACCACATCTCCATCAATTTTAACAGCAGCAATCATAGAAATTGCATTAGTATCATTTCTGTTCGCGGCATTCGGCAATGCTACAGCCAAACATTCACATGACACTTCTTCATCACAAGATAATTCCTCAGCCTCTTCAACAGTTTCCAAGATTTCCACATCAACTTGTAAACCAGGCACTTCTTTAGTTTCTTTTGATTCACAATTTACTTCAAGTATGACGTCACTTGTGGGATGATTCTCAATTTTGGCTGTATTGGAGAAGCTTCGAAGCATTCTTCATTATCAGTAGACACAAGAGGCTCGTAAGGGACGTCGTCGTAACTACTCGAAGATTCGCTTGTTTCAACAGTTTTTCCTTCGCTGAATTTGCTCAGATTTATGTCATCTAAATCACATCTATTTAGTCGATATTCTTCAGTCTCAGTCTCGTTTTCAAAAGCTTCATGATCTCCATTTTCTCCTTGAACTTCAGCATACTCCCCCGCAGACACCATAACTTCAAAACTAAAATATTCTGGCATTTCTTCACAGATGGAAACATTTAGACTTTCTTCAAACAATTCTTGTACATCATTCTCATTACCATCATTTTGTTGCATATCGACAGAGATTTTGCATCCATAGGCCTCCTCTGAGTTATTGTTATCATTCTCTGTACTAGAAAACTCACCAAATTCAATTTCTTCAAATGCCCCCTGTGCAAGAATCTTATCAACTCCCTCAGATTCTTCTTCAAATTTTCCATGATGACCTGTGTCTGTGTTTTCTTCGTGAATTGCAAACATACCTGCTTCCTCGCAAGCTGTCCTGCACTTCTCATCCTCCTCCTCCACAGAACCGATCCCCTCACTTTCATTATCTGATGATATCAAATTATCCTGTGGGAATTTTCCTGAATTTTTATCACTTTTTTGCAGTTCTTGCTTATTTTCATGGATATGCTTATATTCATCGCCAAAAAACAACTCTTCTTTAATCTCCTCACTGAAATATCCTTCGTGCTCCTTCACAGAGGTATCGTTCACAACCAATTGTACCATTTTATCATAGTCTGCAGTGTCATTGCCTTCAGCAATCTCTTCTACAAAATCTTGTTCCTTGCCATGGATTTTATTTGCAGGGTTAATCGAAGGTTGAAGTACTGAATTTTCATTCCTTGTATCAAGTTTCACACTAAGACCTTCTGAAAGTTTACCACCAGCATTACGGCCACCCCAAATATCACTTACATTGCAGTCAATATAGTCCATAATTGAGTTGTCACATACATTTTCACTAAATCCATCTCTCACTTCACTGCTGGTATCTTCAGAATCACTTGATACCCCGATTACTTTGTTCTCGTCTTCAGCTGCTTTATTGCCAAGTACTAGTTCGCGCATATTTATGTATTCTTCCCTTGAGCAAAAATTTAAGTCAAGTTTTTCTTCACAAACATCACTATAACCATCTGGAAATTCACTGTTAACATCAGTGCTAAAACTGCAACATTCAGACATTTCGTTGACGTTATCAGCAATTTCCTTGAAATCTACACGTGTTTCACTGTAGCCGACACTTATATCATCGTCCAAATACATTTTGTAACAGCTAGCCTCGCTTTCATTATCGCTAATCTCGCCTGGGATCCCAATCCATTTTGCAACTTCCCGCGCATTTGGCCTGCAAGTCTGCTCCGTAATATGAGAAGCATGTTTACAAATTCCATTATTTGATTCAAAATTGGTTTGTTTTTCAACAGCAGCAGGTGCAGATTCGTCAGCTTTTTCACAAGGAAAGATTTCGTTTCCTTCCCAAGCATCAATGCTGTTGACTAGCTCAGATATTCCATGATTCTCGACTTCTATCTTCTCAGACACAGGATTTACAGCACTATGATTAAAATCATTTATAACTTTCTCAGCCACCAAATCAAAGTCCCCCTTATTCTTGACTGTAATGCTGTCAACAGGCTCATCGAGTTTCTCCATATTCATTGACCGTAGATCAACCAGGTAACCAGAGACTACGCTTTCACTTTCAAAAGGCATATCTTTTAAAACAGCCGTATCAGTTACAAAACCATTTTGACGCCCATTGCCTTCATCACAAATCTTCACACCAAGGTCTCCATAACTAACTGCATGATTTCGTTCAGTAGTTTCCAGCTCCATAACTAAGTTATCATCAAATTCACGGACACCAAAATCAGCTAGATCTGATCCCTCGCACTCAATAGGCACCATCTTCTCTAATTCAAGGGGACTTTCTAACGACCCTGATTTCAACCTCGGTACAGAGCCACCATTATTAGCGACATGTTCGTCTTTAGCACACCATATAAAGTTTTCTCCAACATAATTTGATTTCTGAACTTCGTTTGAAGCCCCAGAATTGATATCAACATCACTATCATCACCTATTACAATAACTGGTACATCTTTGTTAACTACACTATCTACACTATGAGGTGATCGATCTTCTCTAATATCACAAGTTTCACTTATAGCTTCATCATTAATTACTTCACTAAAAATATCATCTTGTGTGGAGGGTGTCTCCAACTGAAGTTCGCTTACAAACCCAATTTCTATTTCTTTCTCCACTTTTTCCCATGTTTTATCAACCTCAACCTTACGATATTTCAGTTCAAAATTAATATCCTGATCTTCATTAAAAACAGCTGATAAATCACTGCTACCAATACCCAAACCTTTATTTAACAAAGAATCACAAACATTATTATCCTCAGGCAGTACAGAGCCGCTTTTGACATTTGTACTCTGTTTACAATCTCCAACTTCTCGAGCAATTTCACACGATGCAAATTCCTCGCAGGTTAGTGTCGCACGAGGGTCTGAAGACTGTTGTCCGTCAGTCATTCGATCCGTTTGTGTTTCTCTGTCTGTGCACAGAATTTCACTGTGCGTACCGAAATCCGTGGAAGCCGGCTCAAGATCCAGATCGAATGCCTCATTTTCGTCGGCATGCTCAAAAATTCCACTCGAATCCTCTGCATCTCCTTTTTCCTGATTATCTCTGTCGCTATCTGCTGGATCATCTGCGTGATTTCTGAAATGAACCCAAGCTCCAACTAAACCTAAATACGTAAACATGATAACCCATACGTGGAATACATAAGCAGGGCTAATATAACCGAACAGCGTAGCTGGTTCCCATAAAAGTGAAGGCCATTCCGCGTCCAGCTCCATTTTTAAAATCGAATCGAGGATACTCAAATGAGCAGGTTGTCGTGGCTTTGAGCATACCAAACATGATCATGGCGAACTAATCCATTATTGATATTTCAACCACATAGCTTGTCAATCACGGCCAAGCATTTTGTGGTCAATTCACTGAACTTCATAAAATGGTGATGTGTCTTGACTAGGCCGTATCAAATCGCATCACCGACAGACAATGCCCGCCCTATGAAAACAAAAGTATCCCCCATTAGCTTATTTTATTTTCCTGTCGAACTGAAGCGGCAAACACGAGAATCAATATCAAATTAAATCAACAAACAGCAATTCTTTGTCTTTATGTCACGCATATCATCAAGTATTAACATATCGCGGTCGAATTTCAACGCTTATAAATGTATCCACTGTTCAATAAATATTTCAGGATTTTATAACATGCACGGCTAAAGGTTCATTATTTTTCAACAGTCTTTGTTTAGATGCTTCTTCACAAAGGATGACCTGTCACTTTAATAACCCATCTTCCAGGTAAATAAGATTTCACGCAAAGAGGCAAAACAAAATTTGAGTCTGTCGTCAAATGAATACTCGGGAGGTGCTGTGAAGGAAAATCCGAGCGCTTGCAGAGTAAAAATTGAAGAGGGAAATGGGAATAAAGAGAAACTTTTCCTTTTCCCTCTTTATTTCTTTTCCGCAGACATCTTCTCTCGACGAGAGGCTGTCGGAGGCCATAGGTACATATACAAGAAAAGATCTCCTTGCGAGAAAAGCGAGCAGAAATTTTTTTGGGCACGCTTTTATTAGATTGATTAATTCCAATCTTAAAATGGTATTCATTACTTTTTGAGGCACTAGACCTCGACTATTCCTTGAGAACTTTAGCAACAAAATGATTCATCACACTATTCTTTTCTTCTATCATTTTTCTTTTATATTTGTCTTAAGGAAAACCTATAACCTTAATTGACAACTGAACATTTTTCTTAAATGTTCTTAAATTACAAATTTAAAATAGTAAGTAAAAAATTGTTTTCACTGTCAGTAATAAATTTGCTCAAGAATCTCAAAACAATAGCATTGAGTCTAAAATGACGTTCGTTGAGACGTAGGCAGATCTTCAAAAATTGCTAAAGGGGGAGAGTCTCTTCAATACTCGACATCAGAGTATGCCTTCATTCTACTGAATTGTAAAATCTTCTTCTCGGCAACCTGGCACTTGCCACTCCCCTTAGAAAGTTTTCTAGCGCCGCCCCTGGCTGCATGGTCAAAACTTCGGCGGCTTATCTCATACTGGGTTAGGGAGCAAGGGGAACAAGCAAGGCTGTAGAAGAGGGGGCCCAAGGGGACTCAGCCCTTTCTACTTTTCGAAGGGGGGCTGTGCCCCCTCCACTTTTTTCTGTGTAATTCTAAAACATCATTTTTGAATCATTTTTGAATCTCTAAATCAAACATTTTTGCCAGGATCGAATCTTTGATTGAACCGATATCAAATTTTGACATTTGCATTCATGTCTGACCACAATAGTCCTCTTGATAACTGAAAATTCGATAAATGCTGGCAAAATTTTACAAATTTAAAGACTTTATTTTTGAGATTTTCTGATCAAGTAACGGGTAGACATTGGAAGACGATTTAACTCTGACAACTGAACTGAAAAGTTCATTTAGTATAAAACATAGAAAAAGTTCTACACTGTTGGGAACAAGACGTTATGGGGGACAAGGGAACCTGCCCATTTTTTAAAGGAAACATTTGTCGACCCGTCCCCACTCCCCACCGTAGCGAGGGTCACGCTACAAGCTTTGCAACAGTCCACGGAACCCCTTCCTAACATACTAAACTAAAAAACTATTGGGCCCCCAATATCTTATCTCAAAGAGTTTGCAGCTTAACTTAAATGAAATACTGTTGGATTGTGTAACATGCCAGGGTTGTAAAGCAAGTTGCAAAAGGTACCAGTTGACTGGATAGGCAGCACGACGACGAAGCTGTTTTAACTTTATGACTCACTTTTGAGTTAGTCTCATATATAGTAGATATGAGTTTTTACTGACATCTTATAACCCATGTAATCCCTTTCCATTGTCTTTCAGGTCTCACCCCCATTGAATAGGTTAAAAACTCTGACCCCATCTAGCAAGCTTCCCAGCAAAATTAGGCTCCAGAAAGGGTAACAAAAAACTACAAAGATGTACCAGAAAAACACAATGAAACAAGAAAACTAAGAGCAAGGAGGAAAATTAAGACAAGAATGGGTAACTCAGAGTTTGAAGCAGATTTTCTAATATTTTTGCAAAAGGTGACATATTTAGCAAGTCCAGCATTCATAAGCATAGGCTTTGGAGCCGAGTGCATAGGGGGTACATGCCAAAGTTTCTCAGAAAAGTGGGTAAAGTGCCTATTTACAGCTCATGAATGTGTTCCTTTTTAACTACATTGAAAATAGAATTAAACGTCGTAGTAGTACCGAAACCTTTCATAACCTTGTCTTGGAAAGCCGTAGTACCTCTGGAAAAGAGATGCGAAGTACTGAAACTTTTAGGGCTTGGCAATTAAGTATATCAAAAAAACATTCTGTCTTGGTTTAAATTTCTGTACAGAACCTTGCCCATTTCTTTGTTTTTCAACGGGTTTTTTGAAAATTGAAACTATTCGAGCGAAACAACGTTTGGACAAAACCAGATCTTGGTAAGCTAACAGTTTAGCTTTGATTGTTTTCGCCTTTAATAAAGGATGCCCCAAAACTTGCAAGAAAGCACTACTGATTTTTCGCTTGAATTCTGGATTTGCGCAACAATAAGCAGAATGTATAGCAAATAGAAAAATCCAACTAACATGGATTTGAAATAACTACCCTCCCCTCCTATTCTCCCCATAAGGGGCATTAATGGCACTCGGAAGGAGCATAAGGGGCACTCAGAAAGATATTCGTTTCACCCCCGTATTGACTTGCATTTATTTTATATTATGGTTCAAATCAACGATTGCAATTCATACAAACAAGAACATCATGATCATAACTTTTAAAGTTAGTATGTTTACTTCCAGAGCTTTTCCCGACACCTTCGTCTTAACCCAAACATCAGTTTTGCAGAGGTTCTCTTTCCAGTGCAAATTATGAAACGTAACGGGAAAAACTTTACTTTCCCATGTGTTTATATATACTTATTAAATTCAAGTTAATTTTCACAATGAAAAAAGCAAATGGACCCAAGAACGCATCTTGAATGGAGATTTAAAAAGCCTTTGTTTAGTTGATAGAAAAAATTGCATGTTTTATTAAAATATGCAAATCTTTAAATTAATATTTTTTCATCAAATCACGACTTAACTTGAAACAATTTATAGTCAAAACGCAATTTGAAAATGCATGTCTTGATAATATTATATAAAAGTACTTGGTAGAGAGAATCAAGACGTGGCACTTATGGAGTTTTGAATTCTTTGCCCCTCTGATTGATGGGATATTTTACGAGGTTGTGTTTTCAGCTCCTTAAATATCTTCTTTATGTTGTTGTCAAAGAAAAAAGCCAGGCCAGGGAAGCCTCCACTCAATGAGGGCAAAGGGGCAAATCGCCAAGAAAAGGGGCAAATAAATAGTTCAATGAAAAAATCATAAATTGTGCAAGGGCAAGAGGCAGGTGTCCTTTTGTGGGGCAGCAATAGGAGAAATAAGAGAAAGAACAGAACAATTATAATCTTAATTCGGACGGTTCTGAATGGAATCGAATCAGGCCCACGGTATTTGCGGTGATACGGTAATGGTATACGGCGAAAAAAATATCTTTGGTGCCAAACTCAGAAATCCTGAACTTAGCAATTAAGTTTATTTTAGAAACATAATGCCTTAGCTAACTTATCTACGTAAAGCCATGTAAATGTCCCCTTTTCCCAGCCTTCTACAATTTTCTTTTATTACAATGGCTTAATCCTTGTTTGTGGTTATGTTTATGTAATTCTATTGCTGCTCGTTGTTTCCTATTGTTTATTTCTAAATGAATTGGCAATGGGGGGTAGTTGTGCTATTTTGTTTCATAGGGCACTGCCTTTGTTTTTCATTGGCCATTTCATAATATTGATAAAAACTAAGCTTATAGTTCTCAACCCTGGATCGATTGAAGAAAGCCCAGGGAAAGGTTGGCACGGCTAAAAATCCTAGCAATGTGATTTGAAAACCTTGGTCATAGAGTCATCAGAGAAGAAGTTCAAATAATATATACGGTAAAAGCAATCGACCAAATAAAAGATGTATTTAAAGACTTTTTTGAAACAGTGGCGCTCCTAGCAATCTTCTTAACTGCATACTGTTGATCTTGTGACGAAATATGCCCGGTCTTGCAAAACTACCAACAGAACCCACCCAGACCCGTTCCAATGAAACCTGGGTCTGAAAGGCAACTATGAAGAACAATATAAATTCTGAGAGCATGCTCGATTTGTACGTACTAGCAAATGCATTTATTGATATTTTGACTGTATACGAGCATGTACACGTGGAAAATTAAAAAATGGTAGCAAATGGCGATATGTGGAGCCAAAATGATGTTTACGGTTGGAGAAAGGCGATGAAAAGCGATTTTTTCTTTGATTTCCTGGTTTCTTGAATCACAGTGATAGGATTTTGAGCCCTGCCAACCTTTCTCTGGGCTTTCTTTAATCGATCCAAGGTTGAGAACTATAAGCTTAGTCTTAATCAATATTATGAAACATCAACTGCATCAAGGTCATCAGCTCCAGATGCACACACAGTAACGAAGTTGTGATATGTGCACGGGCCGGCCTTGGCCGAGTACACTCTTTTATAAGAACCAGTAAATTTAAGTTCAGGCAGACTGGTCTTAATTTCTTCGAAAATCTGAGGCTGGATTGTTGTTAAACTAATAGGGTGTAATCAGTGCGAGTGCTAGCTTTTTCGCCCTAGGGTGATGTACAGGCGTCATTTGCCAACAAAGTGAGTGAGACAGCCTTAATAAGCTGACAAATCAGAATATTAACCAAATAAGCACCCACACATCGCTAAAAATCCTCGATTTTGAGAAAAAACATTGTTATATTTGCATTTTGCAGAAGCTCAGCATCAGCTTGTTCTTAATTTGTTCATAACTTTTGACCACTTTTGAGGCTCGTGTTCTTATAAAATCGTTCTTATAAAAAAAGAGTGTTGTTGATCTGAAATTTAGTTTCCCAAGCCCCCAATTTTACTTTTGCCCACATAAACAAGTTAAAAAAGTAATAATGCAATAATAATAAAAAGTGACTTACATAAACCAAACCAGTGAACTTCCCTTCTCGCTACAAGTTAGCCTGATAGCGCCTGGATTTTCTATGTTTTGCCCCTAGTCACGCAGTACTTCCTCCAACTAACGACATTTGGCTGCAATTGGGCCAGTGGCTAAGTTGTTCCTCACATTCTGGCTTGACGCGAACGCTCACAGAAACATGATACATGGAAAGAAATCTCAATTTGTACGTGTTAAAGCTCCTAGGATGTGGTTGCTGGTCAGAAGAAAATAGTGAATCTAAATCCTCACACTAGACAAGGTTACCCTTCCGTTGATCTTTTAATGGTATTCGCGGTAATACGCCGTCAACGAGGTCGTACTTCTTTGAGCTAAGGGATTTTAAGTATCATGAAAATACATGGCAGATCTCGCCATTTATTATGGCATCCAGTTACAGTTTCTTCTTTACCGAGGACATCATGCGAAAGTTGGGGGAAAAAGGGCCTATTGATTTGCTTTAAGCGACTACGTTGTTACTGGAAAAGTGTTCCTTCTTTGAGCACGTTTTGAAAAATATTCATTACAAACAGTACCCTAGGTACCAGAGCCACATAAATTCGAGCACAAAAAAATCTACAAAAATTCGAGAGCTCCTATCTTCTATTTCTTCGCACAAAACTTTGTGGCTCCGGTACCCAAGGTATAGAAACAGTTAATTTATCGGGTAAACCAGGGTTGGGGGAGGCGCATATGGCTGTAGAGTCCTTAGGAGGGTAACATGCAGATTCAAAGTTCTGGGGTATGTTCACAATATTTACAAGGAAGCTCGGCCTATTTTGAAGATTTGAAAATTTTGATTTCTTTTTTTGTGCTTCGATTTAAACAATTATTGGGTACCATATTACACGGTATAAATTTGTGGGTTCAGAAATCCGAGTTAAAGTGCTTTGTAAATAAATTGTCGCTATCATTTTATATATGTTTTATTTGAGGGCTTCCAGTTAGTTCCGAAGCAAGCAGAAAATCTCTCACGATGGAGATTTTCCATGGAGTAGAAACCACTGTATACATACGATACGAGATAAACAGCTCGATATTGAGCTCACGTAGGTTGCCTTTTATACTATTCTTTTTCGAAGCATTTTGAGAAATCACTATTAAAGCCGGTGTAAAAACAATTGAAACCAAAATATTACATCTAGCCTCGATGCTGATGCCTAACATCAACACCCCATCTCAAATATCAAGTTTATTCTCATTTTCCTAGTACAAATTCGAACAACCTGTCAACTTTTAAACTTTCTCTTCAAAGTAGAATGAATGCTGAAAATAAACAATCCTTATTTCTCAGTTGATTTAAACCTCTCACAATCTAAACGGCCATATTCGAAGTTTACTTTGCAAAGCATAGCATAGCCCTCAAACAAATTCGGTCTCCTACGGCTTTAATAAAAAGGAAGGAAAACATCAACTCACGTTACGTTGTCTTCCAGCCATAATCATGGCAACTGAATTCTAAATTCTCGAATCATAACATAGGTAGGCTTATCTACGCAAGAATACTCAAAGATCAAAACAATTCTATTCGATTTCCACTGAAATCTATTGTCTTGAGTTAATAAACAAAAGGCCTTAAAGCCGTTTAGAAAACAATGCATTCAATGGAAAACGAAAGATTAACAAGTCAAAAAAGCAACAATATATGGTTAAAACAATAATGCATTACAACAAGTATTTGAAATTATCTTATCGTTTTATTTTTAAAAAAGGGAGTACGGCGACTCCTTCCCCCCTATAACCTTATACCTTAGACCGATCAATAAATAAGAGTTCATCAACCTATATGGAATTGCAAAATTCAAACATCGCGATCCCATAAATTCACTTGCTTCCTTGTTTCATTTCTTCCTTACGCCGTTTCTTTGCTTCGTGAAGAGATTTTGTGGACGATTTCGCCTGGAAAAAGGAAAATTGTCTAAAGTACTTATAAATTTGTATAAACTGTTTGCATTCAACAATGCTTTAAATAAAGTCAAAACCAAATTGCAGCACTCAGACAAACGGTACTCTTTGGCAACTATTACAAATAATTTCCACATTTTGGGTTAAAAGCTATCGAACTGACATTTTTTGACTGCAGGTATAAAGTTTCACTTTCAGAAGGAGATTTTGATTGAGATTGAGACTTGCTAATTTCCAGGGACGACAGGGAAGTCGGAACCGGGGATGTTTTGGAAAAATGATCAGAAGTGCCCCCTATAAATCTTTTGGAAAAGTGACCCCTTTCCTAAAAAAATTTCCCCTTACTACCTCTGCCCTTCCAACATTCAAATGTTTTACCAAACGCTATTCTGTTATGAGGTAATATTCTTACATTAATTATATTCTTACACCGTATTATAATAAAGTGTATCGGAGACCTTATCATGAGTAGCTGCTATTCTGTCATAACTTGTCATAGACTTTTCTTTTTAATGTCATCAATAGACATTTTATATTGTCTTGCCTATCCCTAATGTTGACACACCTTTTTCTAATCAAAGCACAAGGCACTTGAGGTTTCAGCAATGGATCATATGGTACTTCCTTCAAGATTGGCTGGCAACTTCCCACCACTTGTCAGAAAGTTGGTGAGCGAGAAAGGCTCAAATCAGCAATTAGCTGATTCAAAACATACGCCATAATTAATTTTAAATTATTTTAAAAGCTTAGTTTTCCTTTAGTTTCCGGGGACTGCCCCCATATACTGAGCTTGCTCTAACAACCTTTGAACTCCCATCATTCCAATTTTTACCACCTCAACAAATCAAATAAAGGCAGGCTGTTATAAAATAACTCCTTACCTTTTCCACCATTGTTACAAGGTCTCCTTTCTTGGCCAGAATTTTCAGTAGCTCCATTATGAATGGTAAATAGTTATGCTTTCGACGCACATTCTCAATCTGTGAAAAAAGTGAACAACAGGGTTACTTGTATTAGATTTTATTTGCTTGCATTGAAAAGCAGGCGCAAGAGACCACCTCAACTGGAGTTGCTGCTGCCAACGGAGCAACGAAACATTCAATCAAGGCAGGGATCATGTATCCTGTTCATGAATTAGTCTGTTTCTCTATTGATATTTAAAGTAAAGAACTAGAGATTTAAAGTTTTTGAACGCTTCAGAAATATGAGGTAGACAGAAAACAATCCTTTATCTATTCTCAACTAGTTCACAAATTCAACGTGCGATATCACGTGCGATATGCATTACTACTGTAACCCCAAACACACAGCTGTAACACGGCTGAAAATCGCGAGAAAGGCCAATGGAAACAAAGAAAACGTCCTACGTCCAAGCCAAGTGTTGTTTTAATTTCCTTACAGAAGAAATTCATTGCTGGGTAGAATCCGAAGGAAGGGTGTACATTTTCCAAAGGTTTATTGAACGTAACCTACGCACGATAGCGAAGGATGGGTAGATTTAGCACAGTATGGGTTGCTAATAAAGCAGGCACTGAACATCATCAGCAAGACTACATCGTTCGTTACTAACCATTGCACTTAACGCTTCACTACAGATAATATATTGACGCAAACACTAGCAAAAATGAAGCTCATTCTAAGTGATAAACATAAACCTATATCAAGTTGCTCAGCAAAGATCGACCACAAATTAACACTGGTTAGTGTCAATATGAACTTGCATAGTAAAGTTAATAGGAATGAATTAGCAATCACCATTTGTTCAGGGTTCTGATATGTTTTGATTTATGTCTGTTATGTCTTGATTCTGTTATAATCGTGCAAGCTTCAACCAGCTTGTCACTAAAGCTCAAATGCTTAAGAATTTACAAAAAAGGTCTATCCCCTTATTCTTATTCTAAGATACAAAAGTACAGTAATTTCCGTGCTGATCAAGTGTCTTACCTAAAAGGGCTGTCACAAAAGGACTGTCATTTAAGGCAGTGAATAAATAGGTGTGAAGGTAAAGCGAAGCCTGGGTTTACCGTATATCTTCTAAGAAGCACATACACACCTCAAAGCAATCCCAAAACGCACCCATCCATTTAAAGCTACAATAGCAGACAAAGTTGTTGCAAAAGAGAGCAACTATTGCAATTTTCTTCTTTACGTTGCCCCTGTAAATTCTGATCCCCTGTAAATTCGAATTGGCTTAAGATATCTTCTGTTTAAATCGTGTTGAGTTTGATATGAAATTCTTTGCCATCTCTATATATTTTGAGCTATGTGGCGCAACCCCCCCACCCCCCTCCCCCCTCATAAGCGTCCATCCAAAAGTTATTTGGAAATAGAGACTGGGCACCAATTAGAGGAAACAGGGTGTCTGTAAAAAAGTCTGCTTATATAAACTATAATATAAACTCACTTTATAGCGGAGCATTTTGTCTTCCTCGTTGGTAATAAGAGACTGGAATCGCACAATCTCCGCATCCATGCCTTGTAGCAGCTTTGATAGTTCTTCAGGGGAATGTCGGCCCTCTAAACCCACTGCCTCGGGTGGCTAAATAAGGAAATACGAGCAATTAAATTAGCAGAGCATTTACATGAATACTCTACTAGGATCATAAAAGATGGAGATTATTAATATTAAAGTAGAATTACATATTTCAGGTTAATATAAAACATATAGTTTAAATAAGTTTGATGTATCACAGAGTTTACATCACATAAATATTGCTGTGAATCAACATTGCTCATAGGGGAGAATGAGGCCAGACATTTGGAATTTCTGTTTGTGCTGCAACACTTGGCCGCGATCAGCTGTGATGTAAAAAATCTTCTCTCTATGCCATGTAGCTTAAAGAAATAATTCTTCCATCTACTGTTTTATCTATTGTTTTACCTGTCTTCATACGACTCTCTAATACCACCTGGCTAAATTCAGTTCTACCATCGGCACTAGGAAAGTGTGCCTATAGGCAACTCCATCCAGATCCACCACTCCAGATCTCGAAGTATCAAATGGCGTCTCCTTGTACAAAATTGCGATTTATGCAAAATACCGCCTCTTTTCAGAGAAGTTTGGCAATTAGTAATACCTCAAAACCGAATCTATATGAGTTGCTTACCAAGTTTATCAGCTCATTCTTTTTGTTATGAAGCCTATCGATTTCTCTCAGGTATAAATGCTTTCTGTCTGATACCACAGCCATTAAATTAAAATGTATTTCCTCAGCAGAGTACCTAAAGAAAATCGAGAGTTGCATTGCATAAAAAGCTGGTTCTCGTAACCAACTACTCGTAGATACCTTCTTAAAATATACTATTCCAAAACAGCCCGAAAGAGTTGAAAATAGCATACAATAATAAAGTTCTTTCCGCCTGATACTTTATATCAAAGTAAAAATTTGATAATATAGTTAGCAAATGAATTGAGTACCAGAATGGAATGAATTAGTTTGATAGTTAGAAACACGACGTTTCGAGCATGTACTAGTTATCAAGTGAATCGTCGTGAATTATCAAACTAGTTAATTCGCTAACTATAGTATCATTCTTATGAAGTACGACAAGCAACGAACATATTTAATTGTATTTTTAGGAATCAAAGTCACGTGAGAGGGAAAATGGTGCATCTGATTGGCTCCATAGAATATCATGCTAGCGACTGAGCTAGCAGAGATACAATGATCATTTAATGGCAGTTTCTTAGGGCAGATTTTTACAAAAACATCAAAATGTACCTGTATGTTTCATCTAAAACATAGAAAGCGAATACAACATTACAGATCAAACAACATTCAACTTATGTTACTGAAAACACTGAATTTCAAGATTTTCCAGCTAGTGGAACAAACGATCTCAACATCTGCAATATTTGATATTTACCCATATACTTCTGTCTGTACTGTAAGACAAAGTCATGTTCTGCTAATTTCAGAGACTGATAAAAATACTATCCCTGAAGATATTTTATTTCAAAGATGGGACAACAAGAACTTACTTTTGCATTCTGCCTTCTATAATTGGTTTGCAGATTTTCAACCACCCTTCGTGTGTGCAAGCTCCTGCAAAAACAAGCTTTATTCAAAATTCTGATGATAACATTGATTAACATTGTCAAATGTTGTCTAGCTTTGAAATACAACCACGATTAAGCAAGAATAAAACATGATCAACAAAAGGAAAAAATGCCAAAATTCAGTGGACGATGAATAGCAAAAAGTTATGTATTCTGTAAATTATAATTATGTTATTTACAAAATATGACCTGAGCTGATGAAAGACCTGATTGGCTTGTTAGCAATGTTCTTTTAACACTTAACACTAAAAATAAAGCAACCATATGCAGATCACTGTTCCTTCACTTTGAAGGAAACAAAAGATTTCTGCAAGATGAAAGCTACAATCGATATCACTCAATGATAGAGGGCAGTGAAATTTTAAAAGACATTTAGAACAACGAAAACAAATGGTACAAGCCGGAAATGAATTAAAAAATACATACCATGATCAATTGGTCCCTCTTTTAAGCCATCTAATTCATATAATCTTCCTTGAATAGGCACAAAGGCAACAAAATGGTACACGTCATCATCTTTCTCCTTCTTGGTGTTGTCAAATTCAAACATAGCTTGCCTGAAAGAGTGGTAAAATCAAATTAATCATGGCTTGGCATCATTTGACACAAAATATAACAGGTTAGTTCAGAATTTTGTTTCTCCCTCAATGAAAACTGAAAACTTTGAATCAAAATTTTCTCAAGGCCATAACAAGAATATCTAAACTTTACAATTTTAGGTTACACTGGTAAGATAACTGAGTGTATTCAAATTTGCAAAAGTTTGAAATTATTCCTATTTACAAGAGAATTATTTAGTGACAGCATCATAAAAATCCAATCAAGCTGGGAGGTATAATCTGGAACAAAACAATTGAATGCATCTAAATGTCTAAAATTGGTTTAAGAATGGTATCAATAAGGCCAGTTAAGGATGCTTGGCCTGCTGGTCACCTGGACTTTATTAGCAGGGTGTTTGTGGTCCTTTGAACAAAATGAAATGGTACAAAGATATAAACCTGCATTTGTGTTGGTTCAACAGATTTTTACCCATTTCTGCCTATTCTCGCCTTTATTTGTCATTCAAAAACATTTTGCAACTTCAAAAGATTGCATTAGCTACATCTTCATGCAATGAAGCACACCATTTTTTTTATCATGTGTAGCTTTTGAATGCATAGCTTTAGTGACAAAACTTGTAATTAATTAATATCAAAAGAAAAGCCCCATTTGCAAGCAAAAGACTCAAGTTTCATCTGTTGATTTTCCCACAAAGCTAGTAAATAACCAAAAAGGCCTTTCGTAAATAGAAAAGAAAACCAGTAAAAATCATAGTAAATTTAGTTTAATATGTTTCTGCTTCTCCGAGCTATTTTAAAACTAATGAATAGATAAATGATTATCTCCAATAATAATTTTACCTTGCAAAACTGTTATGAACTTGCTTGATGCTATCAGAATTTGTTATAGATAGGCCAGTCAGTGAGGCATCAAACTGTGTTGTAAACTCTTTAAAAGTTGTAAGTGTTTCACCAAGGCGAACATCTGGATGATTGGAATTCAAAAGAACACTTAGAATTGCCTGGGTTGCACATGCATTGTTGATAACCTTAGACAAAAAGAAAATGTATCAAATTTCATGTACATTGAATGAAATTACCAAATAAGCCAACAAGCCAACAAGCCAACAAGCCATGAATAAACAAATAAGTAAATAAATAAATAATAAATAAATAAATAAATAAATAAACAGATAAATAGATAAATAAATGAATAAATAATATTTGCATCTTAATCAAAATTATGATAGAAATCCATTTTTAAGAGTTGCAGCTCATATGCAATTTGTTTCAATAATTTTTGCTATAACAGAATTTACTTCATTAATATCAAATTATTGCATACAATCAGTTAAGCCAATCATTATAAAACAGTTCTGTTGAAGCAGACTTCCTGAGTCCCTTGAGCCCCAGTTGTAGCTTTACACTGTGTGTTCCCTGTGTTTAGGGTTTGCTTTAAGTTGTAGTTTGTTAGCAAAACATTACATTTATCAAGCTTTTTATTTAGTTAAGAATCCATTCATATCTATGGCCATCTTCTCTTATAATACTACGCAAATGACAAATTAAAGAACACTCTATAAAAACTATGAATAAACATACTTAAAAATATATCCCAAGGTCCTTAAAAAACAGTGGAAATGGATGTTGTGAAATCAAAATTGTTGATCAACATCATGCTGATCAACAGTCAATCAGACTAAAATGCGACCAAAAACTACTTATGTCAATCAATGACTATTTTGATATGGGGTTGAAGAAAAGGAGCCTTTCCAATGCCGTCTTTGAAACCAGTTAAAGTAATTTGCAAAGATGGGTGATCTAAAAACAACAAGGGTTGATATTTTTTGTGTGAGAAGGAAGAACCGTAGGATAGGCTGTCCGCCGGATTCTGTGAATCTTGCAATGAGTGTTGTTATGAAGATATACAGGAACAAAGCAATACGACGACGAGAATCCAATGTTACGAGATAAAATTTTCAAAATAAATTAAATTTAAAGAATTTGATATTTTTTGCTGAGGAATTACTTTATCCCTTGGTAGCTGAAAAGAGACGCTACATCAGATTATATTGCTTGTATACTTTGCTAGGAGGATGTGATTTTGATTATGTTATTCTGCACTTCTAATGGATGATAGGCTCAATTTTTACATATAGATTTCTTTGCTTGTTGCAAATGTAAGCTTTTATCCTAGACCTAGCTCAAACCCTTTAAGGTGTTGGTTTTGCTTTGTAAGCAGCACATAAAGGATTCATTAACTGGAAAATTTTAACATTCATGCTCTATTTGCTTTTCAAACTTGTTTTTAAATTTTAATCCTACAATTAGTCTCAATGTTACTTTTCTTTACTTTAAATTTTCTTAAAAGGATTCACGGCAGTGTGTTTATGAAATGACAAGCATCTTTCTGAGCCTGTAAATCAAATCACCAGCTCTATCTAAAATCATGGTATTTACTGAGATATCATTACAATCATGCCAAGATGTCTAGTTGATCGACATTTCATCTGCTGTTGCTAGAGCTTTGCTAGAACTGTTGCCTTGTCCTTTTGTCATCAGGAGATACAATATGAAAAAGTCAAAGGATTCACCTGTCTTGCAAAAAATATTGACTCTAGTCTTGAATCTTTAACAATTGAGCCCTCAGTTTCCTCACCTGGCCTCCATTTGAACAGAAAAATCAACCCATGGACTGGCCTAAATGAAACAGAATTTAAATTTTACAGGGCCTTAACAAAAAAACAGATAGAGTGATAACAAAATAAGTGCACTTATGCAGGACAAGAATCATCATATTCTTTAGAAAGGAGTATATTTGCTGGGATTCCACAAAAGAGGTTTAAACATTGGAAATAAGTTTTGGGACAACTTACTATTATTTCAAGGTATTTGATAAATAGAAATTTTACTGTTCAAAGTGTTTTATGTCAGGGCTATTTCAGCTTTAGACGAAGGAGCTAAAAAACCTTTGCAAGTATATCTTTACTTCTTATTAAATACATTCCTTGCAAAAAGCACAGCTATGTTTAATTAGTTCAACAATAATTGAAAAAGAGATCATCAATGATGATAACTGCACTTATGGTTTACTTCAAGTTACCATGTTAAACAAATATGTTTACTTCGAATTACCATGTTAAACAAATATACAGAACCTTAAAAGATCTAAAGTGTGATCATCAAGTGACCAAAGCTCTTCAACTTGCACACCAGTGCATCCTATGAAAAAATTTACAAAACATTAATATGTCAAAAGACAGGCAATGTCAAGACAGGCAATGAATGTCTTCTAAGGAAAATCTTACACTGCCTGTCAACTACATAAAAACTACATTTAATATTATCATTGATATGTTTCTAGGTCATTCATTTCTACCATATCAGCCCATAAAGGTGTTGATCACTAATTAGAACCATGTCCATAACAACCATGAGTATTTTTAGCAGGGGTGAGCTCATACCAGCGTTGTAACAAAATCATATCAACCAACTCAACAAGCATTCAGGCCATTCTCGGAAACGAGGGCTATAGCTGACGCCTGCGCAAACCCCACGCAAAAAAGCTTTGTGAGGGATTTTCTCCACCCGCGCAGTTGTTTATAACAATGCTCTCATTGAATTATTTTTGTCTCACTCCCCAATGTTTTAACTACTTATCGCTATTTACCAGGGTATTTATGAATAACGTTGTGTCAAATAATGAGATATACGGTTTTTATAAATATCGTTATAAAAAGAAATGTCCATTTCGTTTGACATCCAATGTTAACAACTTTAGTATTACCTGTTAAAACTAGCAATGGAATAGGAAATGAGTGTGCAGGAAAGGAAAAACAGATAGAGTAAAATATAAAAAATGAGAGTTGTTACATGACACTGTAAAGTAAGAAATTTGTGTTACAAATACACTCATATTCTAATAAGAAACATGCTACAAGAAACAGAAACTGGGCAATCAGAAAAAATTAAAAAACTTTCAGAAATAATTTGTTTTTGCTCTTTGACTCTTCAACTGGGTGAGAGATAAATGGTTGTTATTTGTCAAAAAAAGAACCAATCATTCACCCTTTCTGAACTCTCTCGCTACTTTCAATCCACATTTCTGCTTCCCTTTATGCTTTGAGGTTTTTGTGTATGTTATCTGCAAATCTTTATCATGTTATTTTTTTCGCTCTTCTGTGCTCTTTTCAGATTAAGAAACTCTTAAGAAAAAATGAGTATTGGAATTTGCTATACCGTTTAGGAACTGGAGTACTTAAAGTTGACCTTCATTTCATATAGAAAAAGTAATTTCGGTTTTTCTTTCTTGAATTTTTAATGAAAATCAATTTAATCTTCTATTATCCTTTAAATAACAATGTACTGCTCTTTATCTTTTTAAATAAAGATGAGTTTTGTTGGGTACTACTCAATAAATCTGTGTTTCTACATAAAACATTGCTATTTTCCAAAAAACCAGATATCGCTATTGTCATTTTAAGGAGTAGTAATGCACACAAAACAACTGTCTTCTTAAGATAAATCATGTTTACAAGTTGACAAAATAATATATTTTTTGGCTTGTATATACTCAAATATAAATAGATAAACAACAAATTCTGCCAGGGCTAAATAGCCCACACAGCCAAACCAGCAGAGGTCTTTTTTAGCCTGCCTGCTTTTTATTCCTGGAGAGGCCTGCAACGTGTCATATTACTTGTTCTTTTACTTTAGGGTATATACCAAGGCAAATTTATATAGTTTCCTTTTCAAGCTTATTCTTTGTGCCTGTAGTATGAAAAAAATTTGCCCTTTTTCCAAAGAAAAAAACAAAAGAAAGAACCCATTAGGTGAAAGTGTAAGTATCACAAAGTTTGAATCTCATTTCTTTGAATTAATGGGTTGAATTAATATTTTGATGCATCAAAAGATTACAAACATGTTGAATCCCTCTCAAGACCCACATTAAAAAGCTACAAAGTGCTGCATCTATAACAACCTTAGCGCAACTCTAAATCTTTCATTTTGACTTAAACATTTGCATACGAAAATTTGCATTGAGTTTAGTTCAATTGTTGAAATGAAAGTGCTGGCATCTGGAAAACTATAGCCAAAACAAAGTAACACAGCCATGAACTGGGGCCTATGGGTATGCTTTAAATTGACCTAAAAAGCTTAAGCTGAAGTTACAACTTGGGTTTGATTAAAGGGTAGCAAGAAACATTACTGAATCACTTGTAGATAAACTTTGAAACCCAGGCATTCAAATTATTATTTTTATGAGCAGGGGTACGGATTATTTGCATAGCAACACCCTTGGTTACGAAGCCTTCTATTTGAGAACCCATCAGAATAATTTCTGTATCCGCACCCCTGAGGTACGGCAGAAGCTTCATTGCCATTAAATTAGCCAATAAAATATGATTGCTTGTTTTGGCTGGAGAGACCCCTAAATTCAAGAGCTAATACAATCAACTGCAACTTTGCAAACCTTAAATTTCTATTACTTAGAAAAGCCGGCCTGAAAACTTGGCAGAAACGCTCGTTTCATCACCTTCCTTGTTTCCGCAATCATCAGGGGCAGAAAACCTTTGAACTGCACAGCTAATGACATGAGCCCTTTTCTACAACAATATTCTGATTTCAAATTCTGAGCCTCATCTAAGGTAATAAATGATTACGGGTAAGATTCTTTAAAGATTCCTTTGCAATAGCATCCAATTAGCACCCTGGCCCAGGCGATGGAAACCTTTTGGTCTCATCATTTATGACAAAATCAGGGGAACATATAGCACAATTCAGCAAAAAATATTGAATTTAAAGACGAATTGATAAATATTCACTAAAAAGAACGCACCAAAGCCGCGAATAAGCTCAGTAAAGACACCAGGATCGCTCTCGATCAGGCACCAGTCGCCATGTGAACCTTCTCCAGCGGCCATCTTTCTTGCAAATGACAGACAGCCTCGCTTTGGAACATGGGCTCCTTAAGTTATATAAGAAACTTCAGGATTAGAAATTTAGACCCCGTTTACACTGTCCCGTGCAAGTTTGGAACCGTGACAAAACTGTCGCGGTTCGCCCTTCCGTTTACACTAGCACTGTGGAACCGTGACGATTTTGCTCTGCTATCCGGAACAGTTTGGACCCTGCTTTGAAAGCGAACGAATTTTGTACCGTCACGGTTCCGTTTTTGAACGGGACAGTGTAAACACCTATCCGAGACGATTTTGTCACGGATTCACAAAGAGGTCTTTTGTATGGCTGTTTCAGGTAATCGAGGCTTTGATTGTGGCGTACCTACGTTGTCAAATTCTGAAGAAAAGGAAATTCTGAAGAAAAGACGACCACAGAAAAGGCTTGTAGTGTTTCCCAGTCCAAGCCTTGATTAGACTTTGCAGTTTTGTAGTCTAAAATAACACTGAAAATTAAAGCCACCTTGTCGTTCGTCCAAGTAAAGTTTTTATCGGCCTTCCACTCCATTTTAACTCTCAATAAAAATTCGATTGTTGACTTCGGCGGCAAAATAAAAGCTTCTGCCATTAAATTTTGAAGCCATTACACTGTACCGGTACAGTGTAAACGGAACGGCTAAACGAAACAATTTGGAACCGCGACAGTGTAAACACTTGCGAACCGTAACGGTACAAAATTGTCCCGGGACAGTGTAAACGGGGTCTTAGATGGGAAAAGATTAAAAAACAAATGAATTTCGAAGAAAACTCCAAAGATTGGAATTCTAAATTTCCAAAATTTCGCAAAATCTTCAAAAATCTCACATATTCTTCTGAACCAACTTCGAAAGTGCCTGTAATAGACAGGTCTCAAACCAGAAAAATCGGAAACATTTTCCAGTCAAGATTCTGAAAACGGTTTAAGGGTCGCTAGACATTGTAGAATCAAACTTTACTTGGGGACTTTTGAATTTTGTTTTCAAAATGGCGGATCTGTTGCAAAATGATGGATTTTTAACAAAAAAGTAGGCATTAAAAGAGGCTAATGGACATCAACTGCAGGTTTTGGATGTTTTCAAGTAGATACCTATTTCCTTTTTGTAAATAGTCTATAAAAAAGTGTCTATTATATTAACCATTACCTTTTATAAGGGTGACATTAATTCAAAATGGCGGATTTTCAGAATTTATCATTTTCGATAAGTTTGCTTTTACTGATCCAATTTTGTCTAAAATCTGTGAATGAAGTATTTGAATACGAATATTTTAAGATGTGCTTGGGTCACAATACCAGATGAAATTCATAAAGGTGTATTCGAAATGAATGGGGCATTCTCTCAGCAATATCTATTCTAACCAATGATATGGTCCTTCTGCCATCAAACCAAATGTGATGTTCACTATTAGTGAAACTTCCCAAAACTGCTGTCTGAATCCCAGCCATCGTCCCCATCATCTTCTGCTTCAATTTCATCTTCTGATGGCAGGGCAGCAAACGAACTTTCAATCTCTAGACGCCGTTTCTCTGCTTCTTGTGATCTTCTTTGTTTTTCTTGTGGTTGCTGTCCATTTCGCGACCTAATCTCGCCATCTAATGGCATTATGGGAGCTAAACACAAATTAAGTCTCAGAAATCTAAGCAGGAAGACCAATCAACGATCAGACATTGGATATCATGCTGTAACAGTTGCCTTTGAGCAACTAGAAAGCAAGCTTCGGCAATGCAGAAATGCTAAGATTTGGAAGAAAAAAAATTGCCAATCAAAATTTTATTTTTACATTTTTGTTGCTTACAATAGACTTCTTCGTTAATTTTAGTCAAATCTGGTAGAAATTGCTTGCACAGATGCCACAATGGCTTGATAATACCATCATGCTGACTACAGTCAAAAGTGCAATGACACCAAGTATAGCAGTGCACCTAACTACGCTTTGAGTGTTACAGAGCACTGTTTCTGTCTGTAATGATTCCCTTGCTCGACTTCAATTTTTGTATTTTTCTCTGTGACAATTGTTGGTATACCGCAGGGGCGGACTGGCTGGTCGGGCTATTCGGGCGATCGCCCGAAGGGCCGGTCGGTTTAAGGGCCGGCTGATAAAAGTGCAAAAAAAATTAGCTTAGAAAGTGAATGCGAAGCAAAAAAGTATACCCACGCGTTGATCTGCTTGCCTTGAATTTTCAGAAACTTTGTGGGAAAGAATAAATATACACGCGAGTACTCCAAAACCATCAAAATTATGAATTCATTATTGTCACCGTGTGCTGGAGACGTGCTCACACATGTGTTGTGGGAAATTAGTAACTTATCAGTACGTATAGATTTAGTTATCCGCATGTTTAAGAAACCAAATTAGATACTTACAGATACAGTAAAATTAATAGACTCGTGGAAACAGAAATTAAGGAACCATAAATGCACACAACATCCTGCATGATGCACAGGCACATGGTTAAATCGTAGTAAAAACCGTAAGCAAAGCAGATTAATCAGTATTATTAGATAAATTGGAGCAAATTCGTACAAAAGATTTAAATAGAAACACTAAAGGAGAGTTAGCGTAGAGTCGCTCGAAATGTAGGTAAGAGACGAGCAACGTAGAGTCATCTAATAATTGTATGTGGAATAAAACAGAAAATTAAAGATGTACGAAAACGATATGGTCTTTTTCTTGAGAAATTCGGTTCACTTCTGAAACCTCTCTCGAATCAGTAGAGTGAAGCAATTAATGCAACACACCGCAGCCCAGACACACTTCTTCAGGAAACATGTTATTGACATCTTGTTATATTTTCTCTTGACGGTATTTCCTTTTTGGCGACATACTTTACTGTAACACCCCTGTTTCAATGCGATACATAAGATTTAAACCGGCCTTGATGTCTTTTTACTTAGCTTTTGCTTGAAGCTGGTCATGTTTTTGCCTAAGCACAAACTATTGCTAAATGCAATAAATTCAAAAGTACAAAAATTAGAGTTCACTAAGCGATTTGCTCTGTGATGAGAAGCAATGAAGAGGACATACGTAGAACAAGGGAAAAGCAAGAAGACTCAAACCAAAGGTGGTGCACAGAAATTTCCTGAGGAAAAGCTGCGAGACTTAAAAAAGGATCCAGCTACGATACAAAGCAACTTTTATCAAGCAAAAGCCACAAACTTCCCAAAAAACAGCAGGGTCTTGCTTTTGCTCCTTTCAATAAACTCATACAAGTTATGGCAAGTTTATTAGGCCTATACTATCATAAGTCAAATGGACCCCCCGCCCAACAGGGGTGTGGTGCTACACGATAAAGTTTCAACAGGGGTCCCCATGTTTAATTTTTGGGGTCAGAAATTGATAAATTGATATTCTTGGGTTGCTGAAAATCATTGTGGTTTTCCGGAGGATTAGAAAATTATTTGTCACAAGTGGAGTGTGATAGAAGCTTTTCCACTTTAAATATATAAAGAACAGATTACGTGGTAATTTTTCGCAGCCAAACCTGGAGTCCTTCATGTTAATGTTTTTAGAAAAACACCTGTTAGATGACATCCAGAACGATCACATTATCAACATATAAGATCCTGTATTTAGAAACAAAGTCAAACCAATGATTTAAAATTTTTGTTTATTTACTCTTTAGTCAGCAAATGACATATTTAACATGTTCTGTTAAGCATATTCTGTTAACCAGCATTCATCCATGCACAAAGTTACTGAATTTAAAAACTTGTTTTCCTTACAGACTAACATTTACTTGCATTTTCCGAGGAGTTAGTTATTTGCTATTATTGTGGGCCGTTTTGATAAAAATTTGCCCGGGCCAAAAAAATTAGCCAGTCCGCCCCTGGGTATACCTGACCGGTTCTCTTTTAGAATCGAGGCCAGAAAGTGGATCTGATCAGTTCCATTATCGGGTTGTGAAGAAAAGAGTTCCGTTTGCTCTGCCTAGACATATTTTGCTGGGGTTTGTTATAAAGATCCGTCTTCCTGGCATTCTATGATGCAACTGTGTGAGCTGTTTTTGGCTGTGTCTTCCAAGCATTTGCATCTCCAATTAAGTGCCTTCTTACTGCAGCCTTTAAACCTTGTCTAAGATCACCATCTTGTGATGCTACAATGCCTGCCAAAAGTACTTGGAACACCCACCAATTTACGCTGCATTTGATATCTTTCATTCCTTTCATGAAAAAAATTTGCTACTTCCGCCCCCTTCCCCCTCAAACAATGTTGATGATTTAGAGAAATATCATAAAAGAAGCGCAAAAGAAAGTGCTTCCTAAAATCCTAATCCGTTTGATAGTAAACCAACATTGTTCCGTGGGGGAGAGGGGGATGATTGGTTTTGACCTTGGAAATTGATGTCAGTGTTCCAAGACTTTTGGCAGGCATTGTAGCTAGAGCTAAAGGAGCACTTATGAGAGGGTATTAAAGCAATTCCTCTGAGGACGCATTACTGCCTATCATTGCACTAAAAGCTTGCTGATCTTCCTTCAGCAAGATGAAATTATAAATCTATTTTTCATCTTGCCAGTTGATCAATCAGGCAGCCAGTTTTGGAATGTTGATCGGGATCAGCTAAAAAAGAATCAAAGTAGCTGTCTAGCTTGTTGATGAGATCTTGTAGCATTATATCGTACATCTTTCGAGCATGTGCACTTCTTTCCTTATGTGATTAATTTTCCCGATTTTTCTGGTATAAGACCTGTCTATAATATCCGATCAGTATCGTTCATCAATTCTTGTTATGCATTGGCGATGCCTAAAGCTCCGTCTACACTGCAATAATCTACCTAGGCTTAGCTCGGGTTCAGTTACCCAGGAAAAGCACAACCATTTGTTTCACTAACGCAAAATAAAAGGAGCAGCATAAACGATAAAATTTGTTGAGCGTGGATCACTTTTAAAACGGTGCTTACACACAGATTAACAGAAAAAGAATCAGACATTAGTACCTATGCGTCACAGCAAATAAAATATAGTACCATTGGGCTCGATCCTTTAGTGCATGTCCTAACACAATGAAAAGTCTTATCTAAACTTACCCCAGGCTCAACTCACTCCAAAAGGTGGGTTATCTTAACCAGTGTTCAACCTGGATGAGTGGCGCTTACAACATTTTAACCTGGGTTCGTTTGACCTGTTTCATTCGATCTGCGTCAATATCTAAGGGAAGACTTAGAAAAAGCACACTAAAATAAAAATATCACTTAGTCTTTATATCAAGCTGAGGCTAGTGTAAAATAAAAGTAAATTAGTTACGCTAGGGAAATAGTCTATACTTTGTCTTCCAATCACTGCAGAAAGATTCAATTTTAGCGAAACAGCTCTTGTCAGGAATGATCGAACTGATTCTTATTGTTTTATTAAGACTCCACATATTGGCAATAACATGTCACTATTTTGTTTTTGATTCAATACAATCCACCATCAATACGATTCAAGTTACGTGCTACACTATCACTGATTAATTGTATCTTCTTCTAATCTTCACGGTTGCCTAGGAAAACGCTGAATGTGTCTGACAGTTGCTTTCTTATTGGTCAATGAAATGCAGATTTGTTGGAGATACGTACATAATTTAGAGGTTCACAAGAACTGAGACAGACCTATCTAACAGTTTGTATAACATCCGTGGTCACGGTAAAAAGGCGGTTTAAATCGGGCTTTACTTTACCCTAAGCAATTTGCAAACCACATGTAAAGTTTTGCAACTGTCAGAGGCAAGAATTAATTTAAAGTGCAGTGATGACCACTTTGTACAGTGACGAATTGAAAATATGCAGTGATGAACTGACAAATGTACAGTGATGAATTTCTTCACTTTTCAGTTTGAAACATTCCAAAAATACTACTGATTCGGATGTTTTCAGAATAAAGACAAATGAATACAAATTACCATCGAGAATCAAATGAGATAATGGAATCAAGCTACGAGTCAAACTCAAATAAATGAAAAAAATATACAGTTAGTCACAAACACACTTGCAAACGATGTTTCTTGAAGATCAGACTTAGTAGAGGATCTTCACCCAATACTGGAAGAAGCACCTTTCCCTGTGAAATGCTATTCACCTACTGTAACCTCATTTCATTTCATTTCATTTCATTTCATTTCATTTCATTTCATTTCATTTCATTTCATTTCATTTCATTTCATTTCATTTCATTTCATTTCTTTTCATTTCATTTCATTTCATTTCATTTCATTTCATTTCATTTCATTTCATTTCATTTCATTTCATTTCATTTCATTTCATTTCATTCATTATCAATCAATCCCAAATACAATTCATACACAAAACTCTATAACTAAGATTCATTACAACACTGAGAACTAAAAACTAACAATTTTAAAAACAAATGAAAAAATTACTTGACGTGATTTGATTTAAGATTGAGCCCTCTAAGTAGGTAAACTAATCGGGGGAGAGCCCCCCCTCCCCCCTCCCCGTTAAAAACAAAGAACCAACAATTATTTAAGAACAAAGGCAGTACATATTAACCAAGAACCAGATGAATCTCATGGGATAGATCATATGTGTTTAATTAAAGTTTAGTTTTGTGAATATGAATCAAGAAGGTAACTTTTTAATTTTGAGCGAAAAACCACAGTAGAAAAGCGTATAAAAGTGGAAGAGTGTTCCAAAGTTTTGAACCAAAGTTTTGAACCTATTTGACTTGTAGAGCAGAAACTGGCTTTCTTGCATTGCATGGCCAGAATGACCCAGTGCCACTACCACCATCAATTGGCCTGCTTCTCTTTGCTTTGTATCAAACACAATACGTCACGATAGTAGGAGTGAATACCATTTCTATCTTTATTTTATACAAGGATAAGAACTTTATTTAGTTTGGGTATTCATAATGTTAGTCAGGCATAGTTTTGAAAGATTAGTAGCAGTTACAGATTTGTATTATATAGTTAAAGAAGACAAACCTCATATTCATATTTCATAAAAAATATGTAATATACAGTAAGGCTATGTTTTGGAAAGTTCTTAGACAAATAAGAATATCTAACAAGGTTAGAGATCTAGTCTCTAAAAGACAGCTTTTAATTAAAAGAAACAGCTAGAAACAGTTGATTTGCTTAGAAAGAAGGATCAATCAATAACTTACAAACACAGTAAATTGCATTACACTTCGTTTCCCCCATTCCCAAAGAAATAGTATATTGACTCCATAGGGTTGAAGTGAAGAAAAACTCCCCTGTTATCAGGTTTGCTACTCTCTTTACTTTTGGTCAGGCATGATATGTTCTGGTAAGAGGTATACATAATCGGTGCTAGCTGTAGTTAGGCTAAATTACACTGAAACATGGGCTCCGATGCAGGTTGAAAAGTGAGGGGGAGGAGGAGGGGGGGGGGCAAGAGAGATTCTAACAATCATAACAGAAGATTTCTGTTTTGCAAAAATCTATTTCTTTGAAAAGCTCTATTTTCTTGCAAAAGAGTAAGGGGCCATGGCCCCCGGTCCCCAATTTCTCGGAGGCCCTGTGAAAGTGTCGCTGAAAATCATATAAAACGCTTTTGTTCCGTCCTAAAGAGGTCCAGTCAAAACTTAGCCACACCCCTGGCCACACCCTTTTTGGCCCCGAAAACCTTCGATTTACGCTGTTTTGTGCAGTGATGAAAAGGGGCTGCGTTTTTAGACCCTTTTCTTATGTACTAATGTAGATAAATCATAGTAATTTGAAAAATGCTAGAGGCACAATATTTCCTTTGCCAACTAAGCATGCAAGTGGTGAACAACTTTTTATCTAGTTTCCTATCAGTCTAGATATTCCCTACCATATTTTGGTACTCTGTTTCCGCACGCTGGTTAGGTTGCAAAATTTGTGTTAGTGTACATAAAACAGAACATTTAAGCAGCGCAAGATGTTCTATTTCTATTATCGATCGAAATTATCCCAGAAATAGGCACAAAACTTATTTAAAGAATCTTTTTCAATCCATCTTTAAAACAGTTTTCAAACAGTTTTTTAAGAATGAGTCATGATCATGATCATAGGACTTGGTTTCATATAGACAGTTTCTTATGAAAAATGACATTGATCGTCTAAATGATGGTGGGAGATAGAAATCTTTTTTCATTACAAAAGATGGGCGTCAACCAGCTCATCCCCTTTTAGTCTCAATGACGTTGTTGACCACTGGCAATATAAAAAGAGCTGTTTGACGCAGTCATGCCGTTTTACGATTTGTGGATCAACTTCAACAATCGCGACCCAATCGATTTCAGACGTGTTGCATTGTGTGCAATTGACGAAAGCAGGCTTGACCAAAACAATGCTGAATGAACTCTTGGTTACAGCAACTGAATGCGAAAACCTGAGCAGCTATGAAAGCACACTTTCGCCGATTCTCAATCAATCAGAAATATTCCTGTTTGTCGATGTATTTATTAAATATTCATAGCTCAGAAGATTCAACCGTGCAGCAAGGCTGCGTCAGTTGGCCAATGAGTCACAAGACACGATCAATTTTCCATGTGTCTAAGATTTGCAAGCATAAACGCACGAAGCATTTCAAAGGGAAGGGAGGGGGGGGGCAAATTTACGCAAAAGGAAGCACCTCCATGACCTGCAAATAAACACTTAACCTCTATTTCTATAAGGTGGGGAGAGGGCAAGTGTTTCCTGTGCCCTCAGCTACTACAATTAGGCTTTCATGTCATAGCATGCTGCCCTCTGTGAGAAAAAATGTTCTTCTCTGTTGTGAGTCTAGGGCTCTATGGTACCACAATTCTAGTTACAAGATAAGAACTAAAGTTTACATTTACAATCTGCACTTTTATTTGTAGAACGTTTGCTCCAAGACTGTAAAGGACATACAAAAATGTGATGTTTAATCACTCATTGGTACTGAATATATTTTCTTCATAAAGCCAAGCAAAATTAAAAAAAAGTTCATTTTGATCTTGGCCTAAAATTTCTGTAAGCCTCACACTATTTTATTCATACACACTTTTTTATAAGATTGATCGTTGATACACACTCTTTTCTCTATATAAAAACAGCTTTAGCAACCTCGAGAAAAGTTAAAAATCTTTAAGCATTTTCCTTGGAAAACCTAGACATTTGTTTGTCTCACTGTCATCAATTTCGAGTTAAAGGCGAATGTTATCTACGTTGTGTTATAGGTGATTTTAAAACTATCATATTTCATCAGTAAAACTGAAAATGCGATTAAATCCCTTCTTACTTTACCATGCTTAACAATTCTTATCAAGAGTTATGAGACAATCACGAAAGAATCAAATCACAGCATTGATTACTCAGGAAATCCCCCAAAACAACGAACTGTATTCAGCATTGGTGCCCAAATTCTGGGACCGTGAGGGTCTTTTTGTATCGCTATACGCGTTGTCTAACATTTTGGCATTTTAAGCAGCTTGTGCTTTTACAGCTGAAAACGCAGTTTCAAAACAACGCGAGTCTACACTTTAAAGCACAGGTTCCATACAACAAACTGTTAGTTGGATTGGAGCTGCACTGGATTCCGCCACCCGTACCATATTCACTTCTTCACTGGTCTTTCGCGTTCTGCTGAAATCCCGAAGCAGTTTCTCAACACAACTGGGTGTAGCTCATTTGCTGAAGAATTTTCCATCAATTCCGTGCAAGTTGCGAGTCATCAAAAATTGAAAGGCTACTGCATCGAAAAATTGAGATTTCAGAAAGCTCAAGTGAGAAGAAGAAAAGATGCCGAGGGCTTTTCTTCTGAAAAGGAGTAAGAAAATCAAAGATGAAGAACATAAAGGCTGCGCTGCTGAGATTGAACCGCAACAAAGATCAGGTAGGATTTAATATTTAATTTTGAGGATTGAAGATTCATATTACCTTTATTAAATGTAAATGACGGGAATCTATAAACCTACTGGAAAGATTATTGCATTGCAAAATGCAATTCTGCATGAACAAATTGATATATCTGCAGATAGGGAACTGGCCAACCTACTCAAGAATACGGGTGTCGTTTTCTGCTCCAACTTTGATATAGCTTGCTTGCTTAGTGCAAGATCAATGCGATGTCACCTTTCGTTTACAGGGGCAAAAAGTGTTTGATTAGTGATTCTGTCTGCTCAGTCACAAATAAAATTTGCAAGTTTTTTGTTTACTCATCAAAATCAGATTAAACAGCGATTGACGAGAAGTTCATCACACAAAAACTTGTATGTGCCCAGATCAAAACTGAAAAAGGTTGATCAGTAAATATCAATAAAAGGAAGTAAAATATGGAATGAACTTCCACTTAACATTAGACAGTCAACGTCACTGGGAATTTTCAAGAGAAAAGTGTATCAGCATTACCTTGACGCTTTAGATTTAAATACTTAAAATTTACTTTAAACAAAATTGTTACTAGGCTTTTTAAAAACTTAAAGGACATTTTTTTTTAAAATAATAGTATTATATTCTTATAGCGTTGTTAGTAGAGAGGACCCTGGGGAAGATTAGTTAGTCTAACCAGGTTTATCCTCTGTAAATAAAGTTTATCTATCTATCTATCTATCTATCTATCTATCTATCTATCTATCTGTTTTTTGAATTTTGATTTACCGCATATTGAACATTTTAATTATCATTTGAAGTTTATAATTTGAAGAAAAAAACAACACTCTTATGAAGTAAATGATCAATACAATGCAAAAATCTTGACCAAAGGCATTCCTGCAAGCATTTTACCCTGTCTCTTATCTGCTAGAATGATATATTGCTATATCGTGCTGTATGATTCGTGCTGATCAGCAAAGCACAATTCAGGTAATGATAACAAGTGAAGTTATTTTTATGCTAAAGCTTAGAAATGAATGCCAGTCAATTATTACATCATATATCTTCAATAGGGCAATAAAGGAACTTAAAGATAATGATAATACCGGGATTTACTCTCAAAAGTCCTGCAGTTTGATCTAGAAACATAGAATTCATTTTTCTCGAAAGTCTTTGAAAGATTGCAGTTCCCAAGTCTGCTGTAGCGCAGAGGACCTTAAAACCAGTGCAGTGAGGGTCTCGACATCATCAAAGTTATAGATGCAATAGGTACAATCACTGCCGAGCCTTTTGTGACTTTTCAATCGTTTGTATGCAGCCATTCCCCGCTATCTTCAAACAATGTTGTCATACAAAGTTAGCATTGCGACAAAACTTTTTGTCACTTATGGTTTAATGTACTTGGTTTAATTGCGAGGAGAGTTTGTCTATTAGAGACACAAAAAAGAAATAAAAAATGCAAATCTGTGCTGAAATATTTAGCTGTTCCATGGACTTTTGGCAATCAATGTAGACAACTGTCATGAATGCGCCACACATTACGCAATTCGGTTAGCAAGAAAAGCAGTTATCTGCTCTTTTAGAGTCATTCTTTCTTGTCATATTCCTTTTCTTCCAGGAATATCAGTCCAGGAATAACGAGGTAGTCAGTGTGGATATGTTATAGAACAAGTTGTTTGGTTTTTTCTCAGTAACATCGAGTAACATCTAAATCTAATTATCACGAGATTTGTTCCCAAGCCTCGATCTCCCTGATGTTACTTTCTAAAATAAAGACGGCTTGAAAAGTGAGATGGGTCGATTGACTTTCGAAGAAGATAGAGAAGAGCCCAGTCTTGGACCTTGGTTAGAAAAAAGTGTATACACCACATTATATCTAGAAACTGACTTGATTGTGTATGGGCAAAACAGAAGTATGAATATACATCACAATCCTGTACGAAATAGAGTACCAATAAATTATTGGCACTCGTATATGATATCGACAGCCACAGGTTCAAATAGTGAAAATCAAATCCTTTTAGTGCCCCATCTCCACCAGAAGTAAGACAAAAACTTTACGAACTTTTTTGTGAGGTTTTAAGTAGCTATTGTTCTAAATTAGCTAAGTAGCTAGGATTTTTCTAGGTTTGCGTTAAAGACTCCTTTTTAGATACCTGACATGACGATGATGGCTAAAAGGAAGAATTTATGATTATACAGTGGAATTTTTAGGAATTTCAATAACTCTGTACGGACCGAGAAGGTACATAATAGCGGACGTTCGTTATACCCTGGATTTGTCATACTGGGGGAGTATATTCCAAGGTTCTAGACTTTTAGATTGTAAAAGCGAATCTTTTATATAAGCGGAGATCGAAATAACGTGATTCTACTCTAGTTAAAAAACACTTATTCATTAACTATCCTAGTGGACAAGAAATTTCTGAGATATTCTATTGCTTCTCGTGATGATGTGAAAGTTAACATGAACACGTGGTCTACATCAACGCTGAAATGACGATAAGCATAATGAAATATAAATGAATTTGTGCCCATTTGTTTTAGAAACGAGGTCAACCTCTACACAGTCGGCATCAAAACCCTAGCGATGCGCTAATGACGCACAGGACCAGATTAGAACTTCTGAATCACGAAGCAAGGCAAACATACTTGCGGGAACAAACAACGTTTGTATTGCGAATCAAAACCTGCTTAGTTTGCGAAAGCGTTGTGAATCAGTTTTATGTAACGGATTTATTTCCTAATGAAGCCACAAGAATCGGAATGAATAATGCACCCATTCGTTGATTTATGTCGAACGTTCCTTTGGTTTCACATTGACTTGGCACTTCAAAAAATCAAATGTGCAAACGCATTTATCTCGTTATTAATAATTCCGTGTCAAGAATTATCAAATTCTAAATACTGCCTTTAAATTTTTCATGAGAGGTAAAAAATGTTTATCATTTCGATTTGAAATCGGAAAAGTCTGCTTTTCATGCCTGGTAGAGCATATATTCTGGCAACGATTAACCTGTCACCCTATCACCAGATTTATTTATTGTACCTTCGGCTCGGAATATTTTTAATGTTACATATTCTTCCTTATGTTTCCTAAATATTGCCTTATATCTCATATTTCCTCAGTTTGTTTAATACCTTGCTTTGGCATGTTTTTCTTTGTTACTGTGAAAAAAACCAAAATCTTTTTCCAAAACATATTCACATTGACTGCCGCTTCGAAGGCTGGCAGTCCTTAAAGTAAGGGAATATGATAAGACCGAATGACTCAAAATGAGCTTACTTTCTTGCCAACCGAATTGCGTATATACTTGGTTTTTTACGTAGGGTTTTATTAGTAACAAAACTAATATTTGCTTGCATGCTCTCTTAATATAAAAAAGATGGAGCAATCAAGTAACAATGCTCCGTATGTAGCTAGGTGTCCAAAAGTTGTTGATAGTGGACAATCGCTCCTAGGCCCTGTTAAAAACGTATGCGAGAATTCATTAGACAATGCTCGATTTATGTAGAGAGGGAAAGTTGAGTATGCTTCAACTCCTTCTCGAGCGATGTACAGTGATGTGGGCGATGTTCAGCGATATTGACTCAAATTTGAAAGAAGATGTTCGACACAACAAAGAAAATCGACTTCTTCGTTGTGCCGAGCGTTGTTCAGTGCTTTTGAACACCTCTTTCCGACGTTGTCAAGCCTGCACAAGCGCAAGGGGGACTTGTAAGTTTTATTTGGTAGAAATCTTGCTTTAGGTGTCTGTGATCAACAGATATTGTGTCAAAGTGTTCGATACGATGTGCATCTTACTGAACACAACAGGACACTGCTGTACACAACTTTGCAAATGTCGAACTTAATCAAGATAAATGTTGCTTTGGTTTGAACAGGGTTTAAGATGTGCAAGGAGAATCTTCGCGACATTATAAACACATCTAGACATTTGAATTTTTTCTTGATAATTGCATGTTAAAACCAACGCCTTCAGAAAAAGTTAACATGCAGCGATTTGTAGAAAATTCAAAATAGAATTAATGTTATTTTAATTTAGGAAGATGTTTAAAGTAGTGAGGATCGATAACACTTAATTCCACATCAGTTCTCGATCATCTCTATTGAGTTTTCTTCTTTGCAACGCATGTCTGAATTCCTCACCTTTAGCCCATTAATGGGAGAACTGAGAAGTCTGAAGAGCAAAGTCGGTGATTGAATGACTCATTACCAGGATTATTATGAAGCTGACAAGTTATCTGCGTGCAAAATCTATTCACATTCCCTAATCGACATTCTTTAATCGAAACCAAAAATATAAACTAGATCAACAGACTGTTTAGTTATTCCGTAAATTGGTATTGAAATTCCCATTGATGTCATGGTTTTGCAGTGAAAGCTATGCGCGTGTTAGGCTCGTCATAGAAGGTTCAAATCACAGTCAGTGATGAATAGCATTGAGATTTCTTCTTGAATAGAAGACAGTGAATAAGAGTCACTGCAGGGACTGTAGAGCGTTGAGAAAAGTAGGTGGTCTAAGAAAAGTGGCAATCATTAGTCTTTTAAGCTAAATGCATTATATATAAAATATTTATCTTCTGTGTTACATATCATAACTTCTTTCATTTTTTCCAGAAGCAGAAAACCATCAAGCGGAAGTGGCAAAGAAAAACAAGAAAATTCAAGCTGATGATTCCATCACAAAGCAAGAAAAAGTCAATCCCTTTTTAAGCTTTCTTCCCAAAAATGCAAGCCATGAAATGTCACCAGAGGATAAAGAATTCCATAATTCCTACCAAAGTGCCATTTTAAGTCGCTCCCCATTTTTGTCTCCTTCGCATTTTTTCCTGCCAATCCCTCTGAGACACTCTCCTCTACTGGAAAGCAAAGCTAAAGCCATGATGCTTAAGAATTTCCATGAAAGGTATTTTTACCCACGAACGACTCCATTCAGAGCCCTGGAGACAGTAAACAACAACAGCTCACTGGCTAAATACACACAACTCTCTGACAGATTGAAAAGGCCTATAAAAACCCATATTGAAGATGCCTATCATAGCCAGCCACCCCTATCACCAGATGACAGATGCATGCCGCGCATTTACCCGTGTAAAGTCTGCGGGAAATCTTTTAAACGCTCATCAACTCTCTCAACGCATATGATGATCCATGCGAACATTCGCCCTTTTGCATGCAACTTCTGTGGTAAACGTTTTCACCAAAAGTCAGACATGCGAAAGCATACCTACGTTCACACAGGCGAAAAGCCGCATCAATGTGGATTCTGTGGCAAATCGTTCAGCCAGTCATCCAATCTGATTACTCACTCGCGTAAGCACAAGGGTTTTAAACCATTCTCATGTGAGCGCTGTGGCATGTCATTCCAACACAAGGTTGAGTTGAGAAAACATACATACACCCATGTCTCACCAAATGACAAAGCTGAGCAGGAAGACAGCCAACCAAAAGCTCTATAAAACTTTTTTAAAGAGAAACATGCAATAATGTCATCATACACAAACTGTGAAGTAGACATGGTTCTATTGTAACAATTAGGTTGTACAGGGACAGGATTAGGTCTTGACAACGGCACTAGAGCTTCAGAGGCTTATTGTGAGAGCGTCAGTAGAGATATATATATGAATAGCGTGTAGTTAAACTAAGTCGAGAACAGTGACAAATATGTCTGCTTTCTTAAGAGGAAATCATTCTCAAAATAAGTAGCCATAATAATAAGGAAGGTTTTTAAATCTATATTTGGTATTGTTATACGCTGCACCTAACTCGAAAGGAGTCTGTTCCATTAGGAGGTCAATATAGTCTGATAAAACAACCTCTTCAATTAATAATAAAGGTTTCAAAAGGTTTTTCAGTTAGTGAAAATCCAAAGAAAAATGCTCGGACCCTTTGCAGGCAGCATGTAGTGGATTACTAGAAAGGGCCTAAACCAACAATCTAACAATTCATTGCTTTAATCGGCTTATGAGGTTCTTATATAAATTTGTAAGTGTCTTAAATCCTGTCAATTTATGTAAAGTGTCGTAATACTTTTAAACTATAAAACTAACCCAGTAAACTGGACAATCAGTAAGCAGGATCATGCGACATACAAAATTAAGAGTTCGCTATTGATAAAACAACTGCGGAGGAACATCGAGGACCCCAAGGTTTGTTACCTGAAATCATTACCTAATCAAACATTGCTGCTATCTCTCTATCTCCAGCAAAATTTCATTTGCTTCTTATAATTCACATTGAAAACAAAACACAATGTTAATGCCTATACCGCTTACACCCGAGCACTGTATATTGTAATTTTTAGACATCGATGATAGTTTTATAGTGATTTTGAAAAAAAGTTTATTTAAATATCATTATCAATGCAGAAATTCAATGAAATCTCATCCGTTGCTCTTCATTCTGCTTTTGTACCATCTTTACAGTTTAATTTCTTCACAAATGCAAAGAGTATGAAATTGCATCCCACGATATCCTTTAACAGTGCTGTAAATTAAGCGGGTTGACGGGCAACTGACAAACAACGCGGAATTTTTACCTCGTGAAATGCGTCTTTTACAGGAAAGATGAAGGAAGGCTGATCAACAATAAATCGGCAAATTCACTACGCTTAACGCCTACCACGTTTCCTTACTTACAATTATTTTATAGAAGAAAAATAGAAACTTTTAAAATTGTACTTAAATCCGATTCGACCTAGCACCAAACAACTGTTTAAACGATTTGCCAGACTTGATCTATGTTGGGATCACTATTTCTAGCGGTGCCCCTATCTTAATATTTAATGATAGACGAAGTGTAAGATGAAGATTCAGAGAAAAATCATCATTTTGTGTAACTATTTTGTATCAAATCCATCAATATTCTATTTCACATTTCCGCCGATCACAATCCTTACTTCAACTCTACTCCCACCAACTAACTAACTTATTTCGAGTTACTACATACATAATCGCGTTGACTGAGACTTGTCGATTGATATTTTCCATACGTTTGTCCTTATTAGGTATTGAGAAGCAAAACATGTTATTTACCACTGCTTTAAATCAAATAGTAAATCAACATTACAATTAAAACTCTACATGCCGCCGTGTATCTCGGCACGTATTACACTACTGAATGTAATAACAATAACTGTGTGGGGTCTTAAAGGCATTGAGTCATGATAAAATGGATTGGGTATACCCTAAGTGCCAAAATCCGCTGAGTCATGATTTTCATGACTGCGATGCTATTGGTTGACCTGAAACTGGTCACATGAACTCACCTCGTACTGATTGACAAAGCAATTTTCATCAATAGCAAGTTGTCAACAACGGATGCAAATATCACATGAAACAGCAGCGATCACTCCGAAACCAAATGGCCCCCTATAGAAAAGGCCTATTTACCATGACTCAATGCCTTTAAGATACCAAGAAGGTCTGGGCCCCAACAATCTATGCCAAGATTATCTGGGATACATTGTGTTTAAATGGCAGTGTGTCTCAGCAATGCCATGCCTTCAGTCAGAGCAAATCAGACTTAGTTTTGAAATATTGCATTAAACATTTGTCTGTTAATATTTTTACAGTGATTTCATACTATGACCAACAAGAAATGAAAAACTGCTTCATTTGAAGCCCTGTATACGGGGGAGAAATATTTGTATTTATCAAATTTAATTTATTTCAAAATTCTTATTCCGTACATTAGTCTCGTTGTCGTGTTGCTTTGTTCCAGGCAACATTTCGTACTATTACTCATTTAAAGATTCATAGAATCCGGCGGACAGTATATCCTGCGATTCTTCTTTCTTCCACATCATCAACTAATCCTTGCCATGCTATGAGACCTAGCATTAGACACCAAAGCTTCCAAAAAGCATAACAGGGTATATATAGCTTCCTTTCATTGGGTACACTCTTCTATTAGCAAACAATCTTTTCGTGGTACAGAATTTAAAAATTGCTTTGATAAAAGCAAACATTTTGAAACATGTTATTAAAGCTTTTCGTTTGACACTCTTCCGAGTATAAAACGTCAGAACATAGATCGAAAGCTCTACGCTAGGAAATATATATACCCAGTTGTGGATCGAAATAGGCCAATCAGAAACGCGAGCATATGACTGTTAAGGTTGACCAATCAGTGCCGCTTGCCTATTGAGAATGTCACCTATGGAATCCTAAGGTGAAAACGAACTCCTTCTGTCTACACGATAGTGGTCATGGTTCTTAGCAAAAAGCAACTATCGCGTTATCACAATCTCGATAATTTGGCTCCCACGCTAAAAATTGGACAACAACCAATTGAAGGTGAAAAGTCAGCAAAATTACTTGGTGTTATCTTAGACCAGCATCTTTTGTGGGAAGAGCCCTTGCCATAGTAAAAAAAATCAAAAATATAATGTCACTGAAACTTAGCAAGTAAGTTGTTGAGTTGCTAATATAATCCAAAATGGATTAAGCCGATGCCGTATTTCATCTTCTTTCATTAAAACTACAAAAACAACTACAAAAGGTGGAAAATGCAGCTGCAAATTTTGTCTTAAAGAAAAAGGCCGCTAAGTTAAAGAAAAAGGCAACATATCATTAGGCTGGTTACCTATGAAAGAGAGACGAGAATGCCACCTTGTGAAGCTGGCTTTTAATTATATAACAGATCAAAACAAACCAGAATACATTGACATATCATTAAAAGAAAACAGTAAACATTTGAGATCAAACTCTGCACCACAAATTGCAACTACAATAAATTCTAAAATTTTGAGGAATAGTGCAACTGAAATTTTTAACAAGATGCCAAATGCGATAAGAAATTAAAAAACGAAAGCCGAATTCTCATCAAAATCTAAATAATATTTTCTTACTGAAGCAAAAAAGAGGCTGTTCGTTTGATTCATAAAGATAATAACTTAACTTTTAATTCTAATTGACTTTTAGCCAAATTTAAAATCTGGTAATTGCTACTTTCTCAGATCTTAATTCGTTTTTAGTCAAAATTGGACTATACAATTCCTATTATGTTTACAAAAAGTTACTATCAAATAGCCTGAAAATATTATGGCAATTCATGGCCAGTTTTCGCCCACAGCTACTGCCAACTCACCAGCAAATTTGTGAAACGTCATTGATAAAATCGACTATGACCTGTAAATTAAAATTTGATTTGTTAAAACGTTTTAACCTAAAAGATCGTACAAAGGTCTTAAAATAGAAGTATCGATCAAAGGAAAAAGATTTCCTTTTGCTTCAAATTCTTCATACAAGGTAAAGCTTCAATTTAAAATTGAAGTACAATGATAATATAATTCCAATATGGCAGCATCATCGGCAAACAGTTTCGTAACTTAGACTTGAAAGCAAAAATTGAGAGTGCTTTTTTCATCTTATTGTAAAGTTGTTCCAGATGCATGCATCTCTGAATAGAAGGCTTTTTGCTCCTATGAGGTTTTAACACAGAGTTATGTATATCTGTTTTAAATATTACACAGGTTCATGAATTGAGTATCAAACAACCTGAAAAGCTGTTTTGTGTATTCCTGTAAAACCTTTATATGGATTGGGATTCATAATATCCCTACCTACCATTATTAATTTTATCACAGACCAGACACAAGCTGCATCTTGTTAAAAGAAATAAAAGGGGCTAGGCCAAAACACGCACCTTGGTGAGATTATAACTGGGAAGCGTGAAATTGTGAACAATACTGAAATGATCTGTGTTTTCCATACTATCATGTTTAACCTTGTACCCAGCATTTCTCAAAGCCTGCAAAAAGAACACATTAAATAATATTATGCCATAATATCATATCATTACATATATAATATCATATCAAAATATTACTAACAAAATATCATATTATATTATTACATATCGTATTATTACATGCCATATTATATCATATAATATTCTTACAGACACATTATTCTACAAAACAATATACTACCATACACTATAAAATACAATACATTGTTTTGACATCATATCTTATCTTTGTACGTAACAGTTAGCTTTATTTAGTTTCAGCATGCTTCGTTGTAAAGTGCTATATAAAAACGTAAGTTTGAATCTCCTACTTCAGCGAACTCCTTTGATTGTCTATGGAATTCTGGCGATTCGTATTGGCCAACGAGGGACATGATTTTACAACTGGAATTGAACTCCATCTGGTCAACTGAGCACATTGGACTGAGCATCAATGCTTCCTCTCTGAAAATAAAAAAAGCAAAGCTAAAGACAAGCAGTTTGAGCAAAACACATTACAAAGGACAGGATTCACCAACAGGTATTCTATTATCATTCACCTAACATATAAATGGCACTGAGGTTTAAAAATGTGGATAAGCTTGATGCGAGGGATCTTATTCTTGCAAATATAACGAGTTAGATTGTTTGCAGCCAAGAAGGGTTGGATTCACATCCAGGTATTCGTATCAAACGCTTTGCTAATTCCGTTTCGAACACGCATTTATTGAATATTGATTAGATTCACTAAATACATCAGAACTTTATGTTTAAATTTTCTGTAAAGGCTTGTTTCATGAAAGTGTGAAGAGTTTATCCTAAACAGAATCAGGTATATCATAGAAAGATGAACTACTTCATTTGGATTCTGCACCATTGCCTATTGTATCGTCTGTAAAAATTACTTGAAAGTTAATCTAGTGCAAAAACATTCTTCAGAAGAGGCATATTTCTAAAGCAAGGTGCAGCACAATGATACAAACATCAAGAATGTTTGTTCATATAGAGCTATAATGGCTAGGGCGAGCTGATTGAGCGTTATCACATTGGTGCTTAACAAAGTATTTAAAACTTTTTTACAGGAAACTGGTCTCTAAGAAATTCTTACGTATTCATATTAAGAGCATCGTTGACATAGGTGTTAACAAGAGGTCTCAAATCATACACTCCGCTGATTAGAACCAAGCCTGCCCAGGAAAGAAAAAAGATGAATCATTGCAGATCAAACACTGAACTGTCCATAGCCATGCCACGGAAAAATCTTAATCAGAAAGAGGAATTTACTACATCACTTGAAATCAAGGCCTTAGCTCATGACCAAATGTAAAGTCTTCTGTCGCGTTAGTCACCCCCTGACAAGAGGATCGATCTAAAATATTATTGTGCGTGTTACACAAATGCAAAGAGGGGGATGACTCACTCCTAAAATCTTCTATTCCGTTCTTTGAATAAATTTTCTAATATCCCTTTTATGTTCACCGGCTATATAACCTATTGCAGCAGAATATATATTTCTCATGCAAAATGTAATTTTTGAAAAATAAAGCATTATTTCATTGTGATTGTCCAGGCCATCGTGCTTTAACTCGGCGCTTCTGTAAGTGCAAAGTAATGCACTATCACAATAACAATAAACCCTTTCAAATGTTTCATATTGTATCCAGATTGAGGTATTTGGAACATGCATTCGTTATGCTCGAAACGTGCTGTTCTTAACAGTCTATCTAATTTTAGTACTTGTTCTATTTTCACATTATGTTGTTTGAAGGTGGCACAAAATTGCAGAGACATTTTGTGACAAATTTTGCAGAAACATTAAGCTGGTAGAATCATACATTACAAATGACAGCTAGGAAGAAAAGCTCTTGATTGGACTGATTTTAAACAAATAAGACGACTTTATAGAAAATTAGGAAAATGCATTTTTCTACCTTGAACTGGAGACCTAGAAAATCCTAAGGAGTTCCAGTTGACAGTTAATAGAAGTGATGCCAAGTGAGCGCCAGCCGAGTGGCCAGAAACAATCAATCTATAACAGATTAGATATTGATGTAATTGTGATTTATCAAAAGGATTTCTACATACAATCCCAAAGAATGTAACTTGTATAAAAATAAATGGCTAGTCTCCTTTGGGTTTTCAAACGATCCCAAATGTCCTGTTATCTTTGTGGTTAGCGTAGCTACTGACTGTAAAAATTGGTAGACTGGGAAATTATGGTTCTTTGCAAATTCTTGCATCAAACAACAAATCAATGCTTACGGTGCTGAAGGAAATCTTTCATGGATGGAACAAACTGCATTCCTGATTTCTCCAGCAATTGTCTTCAGTTTTACTATGCACAAAGCAAGTAAATAAAATTATTATTAAAAAAGATCAAAATTCAGGATGGTATAATAATTGAGATTCATATTCATAAAACAAAAGATAAAAGACAAAAGTAAGAATGAAAAGACAACATCTTTGGCCAGGTTTACAATGCGAACATTGCAGACTTTGTGGGCTTCACTAACTTTGTGGATTTATGGTTAATAGTCTGTGTGTCTACGAATGTAGTAATAAAAAATATCAAATTGCTTGCATAATTGATAACACATAATTGGAATGATATGTTATAAATAAATTCTTTTTATCTCTTAACTGCCAAATGACAAAATTTCAACAATGGTTTGCAAAGTCTGCAAAGTCCACAAAGTCTGCAAAGTACTGCAAATGGTCATAAATAACAAGGATGAAAAATGTTTTCAGCCAATCAGATTGTTTGTTTACATACGTCACGAGCCAATTAAAACGCGTAAAAGACAATAGAAAACTGAGGAGAAAATAGAAGAAATCGAACGCAACATTGACTTTTGCTTCTCCTATACAAAGCAATGGGGAAAAACAGCATCTACAAAAAGTTAACGCTGAACGCGAAATTTTTCATTTTTCAAGAACTTTCTACAATTCTGAATAGAAAAAAGGCATATCTAAAACTTTGTCGTCCCCATTTTTGAAATATTGTCGGAGACGCGAGAAAAGCTACGAAATGTTTGACCCTTTTTTATCCCGACGGATTAGGCCCTTTTTCTACTTCCAAAGATCGGTTTCATGGTAAAGCGAGCCTTCACCTTCAATTTTGTTTACTTATTATATTTAATTGACACCAAAAGAGTAGTCTAATTCTTATCTCGTCTTTCTATGTTACTTTTGACTTTGAGGACGGTTTTTTTCAAATTTATATTATATCACAGCCAATGTTAATGTTTTAATGTTGATCCTGCCTGGCCCTTCGCCACATCTAGATTAGTTCCACTTTACCCACCCTCACTCAAAATATGCTAACATCGAAATCATTAAACACCTTACTAACTATATCAACTTATATAAAAATCTCTCAAGTATTTTGCTGCGAAAACTCGGGGGAACCTCCTCCGCTAACCTCGGCATGGTTTGGAATAAATTTTCGAAAGTGAGTTCAGTGGAAGGCGAAGACTGGAGTTTTTAAGATTGCGGCGGGGCTGCACGTGGCCACTGACAAATTGCGGTTACCAAAGCTGACAGGGCTCTATCTGTGTAATGGGTATCGTCCATCTCAACATCATCAAAATCATCAGAAGGTCGGTTTTCAGGCTCTCCTTTAAAGTCAGACACATCGTCATCCGCAATAACTTCGTCGTCCCCGGCTTCATCAACATCATGAGGGCGGAAAACAGCACTGTTTGCTCGTTTTGCCAACAAATCAATTTTATTCTTCAGTGCATCTTTGCAAACAGGACACTCACTGACGTTTGGAAGGTTGCACTGACAGTGAAACGAATGTCCACAGGTAAATATACGCCACAAAGGGCTCACCAATGAGCAATTCTTTTTGTCACATTTTCTACAAAAGAAGGTGTTACAAAGTCCGTGAGTTCGACAAGATTTATATAAATCACATACATATAAACATATACAAACATATATACAGATTGCAACATTCTATAATTGAAATGAATGATGTTTTGATTGTATCTAATTCCTCATAATTTTTAGAACCCCTGACTATATATTATAATTCTGATCAAAAATGCTGAGTTACCGTTCGGGAGAAGGATGTTCCAGAGATGAGAATCCAAAAGGCAAGACTTTGTTTGTGACAATAGTTTCTCCAAACAAATTTGGCAGTGACCACTTTGTGACATTTTTCGGTTGATTTTGAGTTCTTTGGAGCCTGCTTGCTTTGGATGGGCTTGTTAAAAGTGTTTTGAACTTTTTTACGAGAAATTCAGCTGCCTTGAACTTTAATCTTTGTACTTTGCTTGGGCAGAAGTTGTATCTCCTTGGTGGCACAAACCAAGATTTGAAAGCATGGAGCTCATGTTTGCAGGCATCAATTTCCCTTGCTTGAAGGCAAATCTGGGCAGCATTGTCTGTAACATTTGTCCTTCCTCTTAGTATTGAATGAAAATTTTCAACTGAATATTCATCAAAGGCAACCAAAAACTTTGAGATGACATGAAAAAGAGGATGATTGATTTTCTTCAAGTACTCATATGTTGTGAGGAGAATCAACAATGCTTTATCATAGTGTCTTCTTTTGAAGACAGAAAGCATGATCCAGCAGCGAAGAACTGATTGAAAGTAATGCTCTGTGTAGTTGTTTTTGAATGCAATAGAGTAGATGCTTAAAACAAGAGGACAATAGTTATCAAGAAGGTTTATCAAGGTAAGATATTCTATGTCTTTGCAATGTGAAAAGATGGATATAATTTCACTTCGAATAAGTGACCAGCCTCCATAAAGAACTTCTAACAGCAAAGACTGGAGCCAAGGCTTGGGTTTCTGTGCAAGAAAGGCTTTTGGACCAAAAAGGAAAGAGTAGAGCTCTTTGAAGATGGCAAAGAAAGTAAGAAAGACAGTTTCTCTTGAATTTAAAGAGATATGAAGAGGCCCAATGAATGGAAGAATGTTGCTTCGATTGAAGATGATGCTTGTTTTGGAATAGGCTAACTGGCGCATATAAAACTGAGTTGGCCAGTCACCAACAAAAGGAACAAAGAATTTGTCAAGGTAAATGGACAAGCCATTCTCAAGCATATGATTCAAAGCTGTAACAAGATCTTCAAATGACTTTAAATTAATCTCTATGCTGTCCACCAATTTTGTGTTTTCCATTGACCTCATTTTCCTAATTTCTGTTTGTTGATAGTCATGCACTAATAATCTTTGTCTTTCAGATGTTTGGTCAAAATATTTGGCAAGTACCCAATCAGGCATTTCTTGAGCATATGATTTTGACAAAGTTGACATGTTTTGGTTGATCATCTGATGAAGAATGTTGATATCAGCAGGATTCTCGCTCAGTGGTGATTCATTTCCCTCCTGTGGAACAGCCTTTATTTTTTCAAATACTTTTACCATCAAGGTGGCCATGTGAACTGATTCCGACCGCTGCTTCTCATTTGGACGATGCTTGGTATGAATATTATGATAGTCATCAATGAACATCACAATGAAGTGCCCTTTATCCGTTGCTTCTTGGAAAAAGCTTTGCACTTGTTGCAGATGATTCGATGCCACTGAAGCTGTTGCCTTTTTTGTTGTCCGTGGGTGTGCTGCTATTCCTAGATTTCTTAAAGCAGTCAATCCACATTCACTTATGCCATATTGTGACAATGTTCTTGATAGAGCTACCTGAAACCAATTTGACTTTTGTGACTGTCCAAAAATCATTACATAAATAATTACCATTGTGCGTATTTTGTTCAGCATAAGTCGATTTTCTGACATTCTCTCTACACTCAAAGCATTGTAGATGTAGGGAAAAATGTTTGGAGCCTCTGCATCTTGACAAATTTTTTCAAATTTTGATGGGTCCATTTCAGGACTTCCCTCATCTCCATAAAGCGCAAAGCATTTTTCTTTTACTTTTGTTACTTCTTTTTGTAGGTTAAATGACCTAGATGCTTTAAAGATAAGTTCTTCATATTCTACCTTGTCAATTAAAACAGAATTACTCATGGAGCTCTCTGTTTGACAAGCATTATCTTTTGTCTCTGCACTTGGGATCAGAGAATCTGTTTCTTGTGAGAGGATTAGTTGCTGGCTAGGAGAGCTCAATGTCAATGTGGTTGAGTCATTCTCTTGGCTAAAACCTTGGGTTGAAATTTCAGAGGATTCCCATTCCATTTCATTATCAGAAGTTAATTCTGGGGAATCAGCCTGGTCAAGGCCATGTTTTTTCAGAATGTTGTTGATCTGCAAATAAGGTTATTTTTTAGTTACTTTTAGTTATTAAACTGCATCTAAAAATATTTTCTAATTCTAAGTTTTACACAATTTGAACAAAGCATACCAAAAGCCTGTATTGAAACATTTTGATAAATGAAAATATATCAAGTCCTTGAAAGTTCAAAACCTATTAAACGAATTTTCTTGAAAGTGTAAGATATAGATATTCAACTAATTATCTAGCAAACAATTGTGTTACCTTATTCTGAAACTTGTAATTAAAATAATATTTAATTAACTTATTTTCAAATTACATTAATCTAAGAGCACCTGCTTACCTTTTCTTTCAATGAAATCTGTAAATCACTGCTCAGGTGTCTTGTGAACTCCTCTTTTTTAAGGCAAACACTTAAACAGTAACAGCAGCTATGAGAGATATACCGTGATTGGTCTCCGCAATGATCGATTTTAAGTCTTTTGTACACATTTAAAACTTCGCTTAGTCCGTAGGCTCGCAAATGTATACATTTCGAATCATCATTATTTTCGTTCCATTCTTCGTGTAAAGGGTTTTTGCACACATTTGTAAATTTCGGCATTTTGCAACGAGTAAAGAGAAGGGCATTTCTGTATACATTTATGGACTTGGATTTTCCCGCCCTCGAGTTCCCGCCTAAACCTGGGAAACACATGATTAAAATCAGCTGATTGGTCGACCGCGCGTGGAAAAGCCACATGACCCACTGCATTTTGGTTACCCCCCTCCGCAACAAAATAAAGATCGTTTCGGGTTATTGTTATTGCCAAACTTTCTATTTTAGCATCATCTAAGCATTTTTTGGTCAAATCAGCTGATCCTAAACGAACTCCAAACCATGCCGAGGTTGGCGGAGGAGGTTCCTCCGAGTATATTGTATATCGATTATATTCGCGGCATATTGAAATGAAACCTGTTCGTTCGCAGCAAATATGTGGGAAGTTTTTAGAAGATGCACTTAATACTTGAGAGATTTTTATATAAGTTGATATAGTTAGTAAGGTGTTTAATGATTTCGATGTTAGCATATTTTGAGTGAGGGTGGGTAAAGTGGAACTAATCTAGATGTGGCGAAGGGCCAGGCAGGATCAACATTAAAACATTAACATTGGCTGTGATATAATATAAATTTGAAAAAAACCGTCCTCAAAGTCAAAAGTAACATAGAAAGACGAGATAAGAATTAGACTACTCTTTTGGTGTCAATTAAATATAATAAGTAAACAAAATTGAAGGTGAAGGCTCGCTTTACCATGAAACCGATCTTTGGAAGTAGAAAAAGGGCCTAATCCGTCGGGATAAAAAAGGGTCAAACATTTCGTAGCTTTTCTCGCGTCTCCGACAATATTTCAAAAATGGGGACGACAAAGTTTTAGATATGCCTTTTTTCTATTCAGAATTGTAGAAAGTTCTTGAAAAATGAAAAATTTCGCGTTCAGCGTTAACTTTTTGTAGATGCTGTTTTTCCCCATTGCTTTGTATAGGAGAAGCAAAAGTCAATGTTGCGTTCGATTTCTTCTATTTTCTCCTCAGTTTTCTATTGTCTTTTATGCGTTTTAATTGGCTCGTGACGTATGTAAACAAACAATCTGATTGGCTGAAAACATTTTTCATCCTTGTTGTCATAAATGGCAATGAAAAAAACAAACTTAGTACGAACAAGAAAACAGGCACAACCAAGTCTCTAGGAGAAATGCCAAAATCTCAAGAAAAAGTTCAAGAACAAGAAGATCAAGATCAGGAAGAAGATCAGGAAGGAGATCAAGAAGAAGATCAGGAAGAAGAACAAGAAGCAGATCAGGAAGAAGATCAAGGACAAGATCAAGAACAAGATGAAGAACAAGATCAGGAAGAAGATCAGGAAGAAAATCAAGAAGAAGACCAAGAAGAAGATCAGGAAGAAGTTCAGGAAAAAAATCAGGAAGAAGATCAAGGACAAGATCAGGACTAGGAAGAAGATCAGGAAGAAGATCAGGAAGAAGATCAGGAAGAAGATCAGGAAGAAGATCAGGAAGAAGATCAGGAAGAAGATCAGGAAGAAGATCAGGAAGGTTGATGAAATGAAGAATTTGACAGCAAATGGTGATGGGGTGACTCACTTGGAAAAGAAGGAAGCTGGAGGAATTGGTGAACTACACATAACTCTCAACAATGATAATGAAAACAGCACTAGTGGCAGCAACAACAGTTTGTGTGCCTTAAAAGAAGAACATGAATAAAAAAGGAATTTATCAACCTTTTGGAGCAAGCTCATATCCAACAACTATTGTAGTTATGCCATACTGTCCAAAAACACTTCCAAGAAAACTGTAGTAATCCTTCCTAAAAATATAATGGGATGCAGAAAATGACAAATATTCAAAGAGAAAAAAAGGTTGAATAGGCTGTCAAAAAATTTAAACCCTTGTGCCTCTTTCAGTCTTATAATTTGAAAGGAAGATCATAGGATAAATAAAGTACTTCCTAGAATTTCATATTCTTAAAAATAACATGTCTTTAAAAAGACAAACCCTAGTTCTTGCCAATATCCACCATGAATGAAGACAAGGATTGGCTGCTTTTCTGAAACATCAAAAATAAATTACATCAAAGCATAAAATAACCAATCTAAAAAGGCTTAAATCTAAAATGAAACACTTTGATGTACCAGACGATATTATAAGAAAATATAAGAAAATAGAACATAACATCATAGACATGATATAATGAAAAAAGCACAATAAATAAAATGTTACCATGAATTATGTAATGTTATGTAAGCATGAATCAGTCACCTCTAAACTCATACTCAAGCACACAACAACAACAACAACAACAAAAACAACAACATGACTTCCCCTTCGGATAAAGAAAATACAGTAGTGTGAAAAATTTGTTTCAGCTTAAGTCAACTATGTTTGTCCCCTAAATATTGCAGAGATCACTGAGCTCTTCTTGGTCACTGTTCTCTTTTGCATAGTTCTTCTGTGTCTTCACTTGCAATGTCCTTATCTTCTTGTCATCTGTCATCAGGAAACCATGGTACTGATTCATCCTATTTTACTGTGCCCTTTACCACAATATGGCACCACTCTGTTAGCATGCCTTTTTTCCATCCTCAGTGGTAACATCAGATGGAGTTTGATGTACTTTTTCCACACTAATTTGGTCTGAATATTTGCTCTGTAGTTTTTTATTTGATGGAAGTTTGATGCAAACAACATCACCCTTCTGGAATCTATTTGCTCTGACTATAGACTTAGAATCATAGCGATCTTTGCATTTTGGTTCTAACTGCTTGCTTCCTGAATATGACATTAACCAGGAAACTCAGAGGTGGAGAGCTTCAATATTCTATACATCAAAATGCGTAACAAAATAATATGGTATATATTCATAGTAGTGTATAAGGAACACCGCAACGCGACGAGAATAAACAACAACAAACACACAAATCAGTGACACTATATATTCATGGTTATAACTGTATATACCCAAGTGATATTTTTCTTAGGAACAAGAGCAAATTATACATAGAAAACTAAGTGGCAGATTGGCAAAGTGGCATTAACAGTCTTTTCTAGCGATTCTAGGGCAGTGATACTGAGCCCATTTTGAGCCCATCACTCTCGGAAGTATCATTATAGGAGTTAACGTTTTGCCTTTAATTCATGACAAAGATTTGAAAGGGAAAGAGGATATAAATTAATTCAAGAGCAACATCAAATGACATACTGATTTTATAAATAAATTTTCTTTTAAACCTGTTAAAAAATAGGTTTAAGGACATTTGTTTCTAAACATTGTCTAGCTTTTTCTACCCTTTTCAGGTAATATTTTCATTTTTTGGGATGCAGAAAAACATCAGCACAAGCTGACTTTAGTTCAACCTGCAATAACAAATATCAAATCTGCATGCTACATGTAGTGTTGCTTGTTGAAGGCCAGTATTTCTACAAAATTGTCTTTTGCTTGGTTCTATTGTGGTAAGCAAATCTCAAAATACTTAACACAAACAGCACCTTAAAGTTTGGATAATATCAAACCTTCACCTCTTTTCTCTGAACTCTTAGGAAAGAATACATCCATTCTCTCACCAGCACTCTGACCATATTGAACATCAACATCACATTTAACTTTTTTTATTGTTTGAGTACTTGCTAGAATGATATAAAATAAACAATTAAAATCAATTAGAAGTTTCAAAATATATGAGACACTCGACAAGTAGAAAATTTATTTTTAAACTTGTAAACTAAAATGTGGGACTGTTGCTAAAAGTAGCACCAGCAGGAGCAATGAAAACTACCTGGGAATAAAAGGTGCTACCCAAGAATGGACAGGAACAAGCTTGTTTTTTCATCTAAAGAGAAAAAAATTTTTTTCCTTTATATATTCTCATAAAATTTTACAAAACAGACAACTACAAGTTGATACCACAGGGAGCATGGAAATACATAGCAACCCTGTGGCCATTACATTAAACATATTTGCTTCAAATTAGAGTGACATTAAATGTTGCAAATTACATGTTACAGATTACTAATAACAAAAAACATTTACAATTTGGATGTTAAAACAAAAACAAGGACAAACTACATTGACAAAAACAAAACAAGAATAACAATGAAAGACAAATTACATAGGAGAGAAGATTTATAAAACTACTTAATGAAACCTTTCAGAGGTCTGAATATATTTTAATGTTGCCTCAAGAATTTTTGTATTTAAATTTAAAGATAATTTTTTATGACCATAAAGAAATATTTGCAGTAAAGCTTCATTTGAAAGGTTTGTTAATCCATGGGGTTGCAATATAGCCCTCACATTGTCAAGAAGATCACATCTATTTGTATCATAAGCATGGCAGAGCAGCAAAACGTGTCCCATATCCTCAATACCATCATTTACTGGGCACAAAGGATTCAAGGTATCACTGAAGTTATGTTTGAATTTGTGAAAATTCAGCTTGCTAAGTCCAACACCAAGTTGTGTCAGAATGGATAAACCTTTTGGGTCATGGATGCTGTAGACTAGTTTTTGAGGTGGACGGATAAATGCAAATAGTTGTTTTTTGAAAGCACTTACTGAGTAGGGTTGTTTGATCTCTGGGTCGAGTTTTTCCAATTCAGATAAACAATTTGGATAAAAACAAGCTTTAAATTTCTCAGTTCGCGCGTGTATTTGCCCTACTGAAGCCTGTCTGCGAAGAATGTAGCCTGATTTCTGAAGTTGGGGTATAGGGCTTCTAGTGTAGTCTGGTGTCAAGTTATTGATTATTTTAAAAAAAGAAACAAGACATCTACTCCATCATCATAGGTTTAGCGATTCCCATACGAGTTCATTATAATATTTTTGGCCCGATGTGCCCTTCCAGGCCCCAATTATTGCTAATGCAGCAGAGTATTGAATGGAATCGAGTTTTTCCATCGAATTTGTCAATGTAACAGTTTGGCTACAATCATGAGCATTTTGTGGAATGTGATATATTACGTCAACATAATCCAGATGGGGACGGACATAGAGTTTATACATTTTGCTGAGCAAATATCGCGGCATGTACTTTGAAAGGAATCTTAACATCTCTATACCTTGTTTACATTTAGAAAATTTAAATCTAAAAGCAATGATGCAAATTTCAGATCGAAGATTAAGATGTTTGAAAGCTGTGCCTTGAATCCTGGATATTAGTAGTATGATCGAAAATCTGGGCCATGACTCACATAACTTGTTCACTTGTACAAATCTTTCACTCTGTTTCATTGAAATTCCAAATCTTCTTAAGTCCTAGACTAACAAATTTTCCCTTTAGAGTGAAATGATCAACTATGGAAGCACAGATTTTACAGTAAGATTGATAGACTAGATCTGCCTGCTTATCAATATGAGAAAGAAACTGACCTTCAGTAATTTTTTTGACATGTAGTTGAATGATTTCATCGGAAGAAGCCACATTAGACCATCTGCTTGGAGAATATTGATGCTCAAGAAACTGGAGGTAAATCAATTCAATAATCAAAGCTGGTGTATCACACAAGTCAAGAAAAATTGGGCTTAAATAAGGTAATTCTAATCTTTCATTTTATCTTGTTTTCCACTCTACATACATCTATGTGACTGAAACTAACATGAGTTTGACATTTGGAAAAATTATAATTTTCCATGGGAACATTGGGCTAACTTTTTAAAACATTGAAAACTGAAGATTGTTCTGTCATCTTTTCCATACTATAACTTAAAAACTGGTCAATGCTTCTTGTTGAGATTGAGTTTTAGATCTAGTGTTCAGCAGCCTTACACATGTCAGTAAGGATCCAAAGATGTTCTAGGAATCCATAGGGATCCAAATATTCATCAAATTAAGACAAATTTCACCTTTTGCTTATGATTAACCATACTTAAAATATTAAAAAAAATAAAGGAAATAAAACTTCACTACAGCAACAAATTCCATTGAAATGTATAGGAAAAGCAAAATTTTAAAAATGCGGTAATTCGCTACCTGACAGTCCAATTTTGGCACAGACTAATTTCAACATAAAGGTTCCATTTCTATGATCCATTCTTGGCAAATGTGAAGATAAAAAATTGACCGTAACAGACAATTGGTCGCTTGTCAGTAAGGTCTGCATGCAGTCTTACCTCCTTATTGCATTTCTGTTTTTCTTTGTTCTTTTGCTCATCCATCTTGAAGGAAACAGAACAGCTTACCCATATCCATATGAAAGTACCGCAGACCTTTTTGTTTGCAGTGGCGTAGCATGACTTTTTCAACTGGGTATTCTCTATTGAGAAGAGGGTGGGGCAGGGTGTGGCTTGGTGAAAATAAGGGAATAATAATAGGAAGATTAAAAGGACTAGCTATTGACATTTTATTTAATTTTCATTTTGGTCCGGTTGGCAAGTACTGCACTGTCAGGACGTTACTATGATGAAAACAATACTTTGCTAAAGAACCAAACGCAAATACACTCTTCCAATTCATTCATTGCATCAAAATACCACTAACCATTTCATCAAAAGTAATTCAAATCCAAACATATCATTGAAAGTCAGTAAAAATATACTGGTAAAATATCTCACAATAGTTGTTGCTTAATTCTGTAAAATATGCACTGATGTAAAAAGGAAGTAAATGTAAACGTCTACTCTTGATACCTTAACGCAAAAGGGATTTCGAAAGTTTAGAAATTATTCAAGTAGGGCATTACATGAGTTATAAATGGTTTGTGGAATGCAGTCTAGACTTTTTTCTTCATGGCCTAATCGTAATATTTTCAACACAAGTTAATGTTTGAAAGAATCGAAGGTAATGAGATGATACAGCACAATAATGCAAATAAATGCGCTCGAATAATGCAAACAAAATAGGTCAACAATGTAACTGAATGCACCAGGCAATTATAAGGATATTATCCAAGCCTATCTGCATTTACTTTATTCTATCACAAAACACAAGCCTACCTTTCCTTTCCGCTTTACTGTTAGTGGATTAGGGGTCAAATGAGAGAATGATTATGAAACAGTAATAAGGACATTGCAATAGTTTTTGAATGAAATCATATTTACTGTTTTCGATGAAGCTCCAACCACTCTGACGTTCATCAGCTGTTTACGTTGATCTCAAAATGAGGCTATTTTGAACCAACTTTGAGGCTGTACGCTGCATATTTCTCAGCGTTCCTGGGCACTTACTTTCAAGGATTTTTCCTAAGACTAAGGAATTTTGGATATTTTTAAGGAGATTTTTAAGGAAAATATGTTTTTGAGGATTTTTTAAGGAATTTTCCAAATTAAGAAATAAAAACAAAACAATAAAAAACATGATATTAAACAGAACAAAACTAGACAATGGCTTTTAAAAAAGCAAACATTTAGTAAACCAAAGCTTTTCATCTGACACTCTTCAGAGTTTAAAACGTCAGAACAACATGTTCCGCCTAGTATTAGAAACAAAATTCGTCCCCAAAGAGAACATTCACCTCGGTCTTGCAAATCTAAAATTACAACTAAAACCTGCGATTCTGCTATCGGGCAGCATTTACTGAAAAACCCAGATTGTGCAAAAAACAACAATGGCGACATGTTTCGGATTATTGGTAAAGCCCGATCGTCGTTCTACCTAGCAGTTTTGGAATCTATCTACATGAGCACGAAAAACCTACTACTGTGTAGACAAAAGGACTTGTTTTGTTATGGTGAAACAAGTTTTGTTTCACCATAAGATTGTTAGAACAAAACTACACAAATCTACTATGCAAGTGCTGGCACTGCTGTAAAAATGTCAATTTTTGGCAATTTTAGAAAGTTCGTTTTTAACAATTTCATGCGCTTGACTATCTGTCGCACTGCTTTTTACTTTCTGCACCAGTTCTAAAAGCATACCATCCAGCTTGATTTGGTGTGCATGACTTCCCATTGCCTTCATGCTTTGATTGGTGTGCATTCAACCAAGTAATGTCTCGCGCTTTAAACTTCTTCTTAAAGATGTCTTTACCAGCTTCAAAGAACTGAACAAACACTCAACAGATGCATTTGATAAAGGTAATGAAAGTGCCGTTGCTACCACTTTTCTCAAGTTTGGATTCTTGTAACCGCCGTTAAGCATCTTAGCTTCAAGCTGGTTTTTTCAAAATGCTGTTGCGGTTTGATTTGGAAGTATATCGGTGTCCTCTTCCAAAGCTTGCTGCCCCCATTCCAAGTCTGCACGGCTACTGTCTGCTACATTTCTTAAAAACGGTATCAGGGTGAAAGCATCTTGAAGCGATGGAGGCTTGCATTGGACGGCATTTGATGGCAGTAAAAAATCTACACATCTGAACACTGGCTGGTTGACTTGAAAGCGCTTTCTGATTTGCTTGACTAACTCAACCAGGAAGGCAAGGCATGAGTTTCTCACTTTCAAAACATTCAAACCTTTTAACCTTTTATATAAACAATAAAATATGCTTAATACCTATTGTGTTCATAATAAATAAACATAAGTTATTGACATACGTAGTCAAGTTTCGTTGTTAAAGGAAGTATGTTGCGCCGTTCATTGGTTTATCGAAACAAAGAACAAAATTTCTATTTCAGTGAGTTTTCATTTCGTAACAAAGGACGCTTAATGATGCTAACGATGAGTTGTTCTAATTTGTCACGCTTCTTTAATTTCGAGGACCCTCGAAATTCAACAAAATATCGTTTACGCCAAGTACCGAATCGTTTATCGTACTACGCGCCGGGACAAGCATATTCGGTGCAAGCTTCGACTTTGAATATTGTAAATAATAAACCATTTATCGATGATCAACCTATACTCGTTCGGTTTCCATTGAATAATCAAGTAATGACTCAATAGACCTTCCCCTTATTACGTCATGGCGCAATGCATTCTGGTACTTGTAGTTAAACCCGCGAACGTTTGTTTATGTTTTGTACGGCGATCGTACGAAGTTCTGTTATTATTCTGCGAAGTTCTGCCAGTTGCTTGTCGAATTACATTTACGCACTTTGTTGCTGCCATGTGCATTTCTTTTAGACTACAGCTCTTTGCCGTCTTTTGGATCTCTTGCCTTTATTAGGTTTAGAAGCGGCTAGCTCAAGTTCACTGGCAAGTTATTTTCCGAAATGAATGACGCAATTTGTACTGCTGTGGTTTCTTTATATGTGTTTTTTCTACTTGATCTTGAATGCAAGCTGTAAGACTTCTCTGTGTTGCTGAACTCAAAGCTGCCTTAGCGAAACTCGCGTTGCCTTAGCTATGTGCGAGTTAATGCACTGAAATATGTCTAAATAATGCAAAACAGTCTCTTTGATGGAATCAAGTCAATGCTAGGGAAATGAGGAAGGCAGTCTTTTTCATAAAAATGCAGTACATTCCCCTAACAAGGACATTGTTACTCAAATTTACCTAAAAATCTGCAAACTCTATGTCCTTCCTTGGCCATTAAAAAGACCTAACCTTAAAATAAGCGAAAATTTCTTGTTGCCAATGAAAATGATCTGATTTGAAACCCACGAGATTCTCTAAGATCCAAATAAGAGTTGATTTAGAGAGTTGATTGAGAATTTTATCAAAAAATTTTGTGCACCAATTCCAAAGCAATTTTCTGCACTTATCAGAACCAGAAGCACCTAGCTGCAAAATGTTTGTTTGGTTAAAAGTTACTTGAATTGCTGATTTAAAATTTTGAAAAATGAAGATGGAATATTTGAATTTATGCGTCATTGAATCTGCAGTTTTATTTGCACGCCATTGGCTGATTAAACAATAACTTAATCAGACAACAACAAAAGTTATTGCGCGATCTATGTTGTAGCCTGCCTGCAGACTCTTGAATTGAATTGCAACTATTAATCCTTGTAATTAAGCTGAGAATACACATGAAAATTGAAATTGAAATTCTTCCAAGGAAATACCTTTTAGAAGCATGTGTTTCAGCAACGTTGAGCCTTACTTTGACAGTTATGGGGGGGGGGGGTGTTGTGGCTTTGTTTGGACATGCTGTGTTAGCGATATATTGAGCACCTTGCAAAAATTGCATTTAGTCACTAAATAGATTGTAACCGCCATGTTCAAAATCTGGTCTTACGTTATACCACGTGCGGTCTCGCAGTATCCTCAATAAAAACTGCGAATGGCTAAACACTTGGTACAAACTCCATGAATTGGTCAATTGGAGGTTTGCACTGATCTGTGGAGGTTTGCCTGTGGTTCATGGTGATATATTGGATCCCTGTGGCAATACACGTAAACGAGTTTGAGGTAACAACATGGCGCTCGCAATGTTAGTGCAGAAAGTCTTTCAATTAAAGGTAAATGCTTAATTTTCTTGCATATTATTTTTAATTTCATAAAGACGAAAGGTAACGGAACATTTTGCTAATGAACTACGTAACCTAAGGGTCTTTATCCTCAGCCACAGTATTGTGAATGATTTTCATGCAAATATTTTACACTGATTATCCCTTCTAGTTCTTGTACATTTATTTTTTAGGGCTAATACAGAACCTAACACTTAACGAATCATTGGCCCAGATCTAGGTTTAGGCTAAGCATCAGTGTTTTCTAGCTTTATAGGTTAATATAATATCAATTAGTGTATACTTTTATACGGAAAGAAAAAAACATTTTAATCCTGGCATGGAGAGCTGCTCACTGAGTGAATAATTTAAGCTGGTAGGTAAGATTTCGTATAAAATTATTATAAATATTTAATCATATGGTTACACTTTTGGAATGTCGAACAGGATGGCTCTTAGTTGTTACTCAGTTCATTAGGCAAACGTTAAAACTACTCTCTCAATCTCTTTTAACAATTTTCTGATGATCGCATTTTAATTGTGAAACTCAGAGAAGAAACTCACAAGCTTCCATATTATATACACCAAAGTGGTGTACATTTATCGTCCTATATGGCATCAATTTGAAATTTTTACTTTTTTCGTAGTCATGGCTCAAATTGACATTAGAGAATATGTCACTTGCAATACAAGGAACACTGTTATCTGTAATTATTCTGTATCTGCTTGGATTGGCTCAAAGTGTTTACAAAGTGCTAGCTGTCACCCCTGGATTGTAAGTGATTCTAATGTACTTTTGGACCTATGTGTTTGCTATCAGTTGTCTCTTAGTGTCAGTTTGAAGTATCAATGTTGATGAAAATGTAATTATATAAAGGGGTGCAACCTTTTAATAGTGAAGATAACTTTTGAAGTTTGCATAATAATTGAAGACAAAAATACAGAGCATAAAATTTGTGAAATGGTTTTAAAGTAAAAGTAAAGTAGAAATATTTTCATGTCTTTTGCTTTCTTCTAACTTTTTTTGGTGATTTTAATAGGTGCCAGCTACAGGCCTGTACCCAAGGGGTGGCACAGGGTGGCAATGCCAATCCTGGAGCAACTGTAGACCAGCTGTTTGCTACTCTGAGAATTTTATCTCTAAATTATTTAATGGGATTTTTTGTCGTTTTCATTGGATTGTCGTGACAATTTGAGTGAAGTTAATACTGGCAGGAAAAAAATGGTTACTGTGGTCAAAAATCTTTTCGCTGCCAAGCAAAAACTTAGCACTACTTGGGCACTCCACAAAAAATTTTCAGAATGTCTGCCTGGAACACGTTGGTCAGGGCATTTCAAAATCACAAATTATGCAAATAACAATTTTTGGGACAATATTGTAATATATAGACACACACTGCTTAAATCAGAGTTGTCAAAGTAGGAATGTTATTTTCTGTTATGTTAAAATAACATATACTTCTTGAGCTAGCCTACAGAAACTATAGAATATTGCAAAAGCAAGCGCTTAAAATTATCTTAAAATCAAGAGAATGGAGTCTAAAAGGCAAAGACAGTGGCTTGGTTGAAGGATTGCTGCATCAGCTAGAAGAGGGTGTGGACGAGAGGGTGTTAATTTTTGTAACTTGCCTGCTGGTGGACATTTTAAAGCCAATAAACACTTCTGAATCAGCTTCATTCTTCCAGACAAAATGTTGTCACAGCACTCTCTATAGTTCAAACTGTGAGAAAAGATCTTAAGGAATAATGTGTATACTTGAGTAAGGTTCAATACGTGAAAATGGTTGCTGATTTTCGAAAAAGCAATCAAATTCCCTGAAGTCAGCATCGTTCAACGAAGAAGGGCCTTTGTTCCCAAGCTCTTTGATGATTTTGTCAGTACCGACACTCTCTATCAGTGAGTCATAAACGCTCAAAAATTCAAGTATTTAAGAATCAATTACAGGCCTTGCTCTAAGTAAAATGAAGGTGCTCCATAAAAAGAGCCCCTTAGAAACTCTAGGTGCTTTATTTCGCACCTCTAAGTAGATTTCCTTGAGAGCATCCTTCGAGAGCTTTAGGAGATCGAGAGCTTCATATCGAAAGCTTCAGAAGAATGTTAAATATGAAATTCAACGGTGATACCAGAAAGCACCATAATATGAAATAACAAAACATGCAACAAACACTATGTTAATATAAATATAGAAATATAATAGAACAAAGTCGCAAAATTGTTCAGATTTTTCTAGGTATGTAAGTTGCCATCATTCGATGAGCTTTTATCAGTGTCGGTATCACTACTGTTATGTTTAGCTTCACATATTGCTTCATCAAAACGCATGGCTTTAAATCGAACATTTCACTTTGTTTCCTTTTTTCATGATATCCATTCTATAAGAAACGCTAGAACATCTACTACTCGCAAAAGCAAATGAAAAGCAATGCGATAATTTGGACGGAAACGTGATCGCTGATTTGCACAGGCGATTTTAAGTTATTAAGAAAAACAGAACATAATATACACTTCAAAAGAAGATTAATGCTTGCTCGATAATCAAATAAATCTGCCGGAGAATACGCTTGATGGCCTGTGTCCTTGATGGTTTTTAGAGGGTTATTAAATTAAAAATGATATCGAAAACCCAACGTTGAATTTGCTGAATTTTTTCTCAAGGGATAATCTTACGCAAATCATAGCATTGCGGTCTGTTGGGAAGATTGTTTATGCTTGATCAAGTTGATTCAACAAATTCCAAAAATTTATTTTGCTCCGTGTTAATATTGTTTTTACGTTTTGAGGGGCTCTATAAATCGCTCTCCAAGGCTTTTTTTGGGTGCGCTCTAGGCGCGCGCGCTCGATCGAGCGCCTTTCCGGGCAAGGCCTGCAATTAGTATGTTGAGTGTATGATTTTAAAACAAAAATGATAGAACTAAAAATCCAACATTGATTTGGGGGGAAAGGGTGGATTCAAACTAACAGGGGCAAGGCATTAACTTTTACTGCTGGCTTCACATCAGTTGTAGTTACTGCTGGTGCTGGCTTACGTCAACACATAAGGACTGTAAGGATTGTTTGATTTCTACATTAACAAATGTAGATTCCCCTCAACGAAATTCTCTGCGAGCAGAGAGGGAGTGCAATCTTGCATGCCTGGCCTTTGATAATATGATTTTGATGGAAGACATAAAATTTGAAAGTTTTCTAGCTGAAAAGAAATGTAGAGGTTTCCAAAAAAGTTGTTTAATTGCTAAAGATGCTTCCATTAACCCCCCCCCAACCCAACAGATAATTCCACTTTAATCTTAGGCTGCATTGACCATGGGGAGTTACCACCCCTACTCCACAGGCCCGGCTACGGGCTTGGCCAGTTATCAGCAGTCTAGCCTCTCCTGAAAATTTAAAGAGGGGACCATAGCACCCATTGCAGCTTTTTAATGTTCCATGGCAAAAGCATTAAATTTTACATTTTCTTCACCTAAAAAGTTATCTATGGGAAGAAAGGTGCCTTCATAATTCTCAATGAAAAGTACTTTTACTTGTCAATTGTTAAAACGATTTAGTCAATAACATTTTGAAATCTTGAATCTTGATTCATCCTGGGAAAACTGAAACATCAGTGCCTATGGTGATTCCTATGTTTGCCAGTAAACTAAACCATTCATCATTTGAAACCATGAAACACAGCAGATGATGTTGGCAAATAATGATGAATTATAGAAATTTACTTGAACATCTTATATATCAAATATAATTCATATTCTCATTTTTCAGTCTAATACCACCAAATTTCAGAATCTGGACCTTAATAAGTGGAGGCCTTATTGAATCTAGCATCTTTTATGTAAGTTGTTTTTTATTTTAAGAACTTGTACTATTAAGATGTAGTGATTGTAATTTGTTGATACTTTTATAAACTGCTAGATTGCTACCCAAAATGGTACCTATAAAAATGTAGAAAATAAAAATTCAATTGAAAAATGACATGATTTCAGAAGAAATTATTTGTAGTAAAACAGAAGAAATCTCTCATAATAAAGTTGGTGGTTCTAGAAAAAAGTCAGATGATAGAAATATGAGCTAGAGCACATATATTCTTTTCACCATCAGAACCCTTAACATGTTATAAGTCTCAAAAATGTTTTTCCCTGGAGTACTGTCCTCATATTTAGGGTGCTGCTCAAATCTCCCTTGCGCCTCCTTGACAGAGTCCATTCTAAAGGCATTCATCTAATCAATAATTGCAACCTCACCACACCAAGTCTCTTCAAGTCTCTCTCCCATTGATGCTATGCCGCTGATGCCATATTTTATAGCTCTCCCTGTTTCACAGACACTTACAACCTGTCTTTATTAAAAAAAGAAATAAGCATGATGTTTCCTCTCTCATTTCCTAATCCTCTCTCCCTTTCCCTTGCTAGGGCTTCGGTATAGATTCATAAGCCTTTCCCTAACATCACCAACTAAAGAAAAACATCATTTTGTATCATTTTTCCTGTCAGTTTTCCTTTGAACGATGCTTTGGCAAAGCTCTACTCGTATCCACTCATCAAAATAAAATGATCAACTGCCCTTTTGTAAAAATGTATGCTATTCGCCAATCCTTTGTTTTTGTAATTTTTTTAGTGTTTTGGCAAAGTTTCATTTTGGAAAACAACCAATTTTTGCCAATGGTTTTGATAAAATTGGTTTTGATAACATTGGTGTTGAAAACATTAATTTTTTATTTGTTTAAGTTTATTCTACTAGATACACCTTAAACAGGCAGGGTAAACTTTTACTTGTTTCTATAATAGAATGTTCAGTAACAGGACACCATTGTAGATTGTTTGCTAAATGAGATATTTTCCAACTGCATTATAAAATTGCAATTTTCAAGTTATGTTCTACCATTGTCAGTTTGCAGCCCAAGCTATTCAAATGTCTTTTTCACATTTTTTCTTTTATTTATCCTGTTATTTTCATTATTTTATCTGTAGGTTGTAGTTGACATTGCAATTTTACTTGTCTGTGGAAGACAGATAGAGCCATTATGGGGAGCTTTGGAGTTACTGGTAAGATACTCTTTTTCTGAGATATATTTTTTTACCTTAAAGATTCAATTGGGTTTTCACATCAAACCAAATCTTTTGAAGCTCTTGCTTACTTTGCCAGTCAAATAGTATGCTAGTCAACTTTTTATGATTGCCATGAAGAATTTTACTTCATTCAAACTTTTTTATTTATGCAAGCAGAATTTTTGTCTTGCAACATGCAATTTTTTCAAATTTTGCTTCAACAATTTTACTAGTTGTTCAGATATGTGTTTCTGAGTCCTGTACCATTTTTAGCAGGAAAAAACTGAATTTCTGAAATTTGTAATTTTGAACCACCTGAATTCTTGCTGTCTATTTTAAACAAAAGCAGGGCAAAAAAATTGTTTTTGATTTTGGCAAAGATTTCCAACAAATCTTGGCAAATTGTCGGCCTAATTTATTGGCCTATTCAACTTGGTTGTTCTATCAATGGCCATTTCTTCTGAAAACAATTTATCAAGTTTTGATGTTCTATTTATTTTTTTGCAGAAATATTTTGCTATTCTTGATGTATTTGCTTCAATTTCAACAACAGTTCTTTGCTTGTTAGTGTATTTGTCAACACACAATTTTGATGTCTGGTAAGAACAGAAATGCTTTTGTTTGTCTGCTTGTTCTTCTTAGTACAACTTGAGTTTTGCTTCTCTGTGAAAACTTTGTTGATCACCTATTTTTAAGTTACTTATATTGTCTCTCTGTGTTGCTGATTTACTTCTATCCGATTGAATGCTTTCATCATTTCTACATTTTTACTACAACAATGAGACGGAAATCTTTGCTTTTGTCAAAAAGAGATCTCTTATTGAAGAGCCATCATTGACACAGAAAAATTGTTCCATGCATGCAAATTGTTTCATTAGGATTTTTATAGATTGCTACCTAAATATATTTTTGGCTTTCAAATACTTATTCAGAAAAGCCAGTATCTACCTTTTATTTATGTCATTTGCTGTTAAGCGAGGGACATTTTTTTTTCCAGGTTTGCTACATTTAGTGGGATGGCAGGTATCTGCGGAGGCATCTCGGTGGCATTTAAACAAATAATGCCAGATCAGAAAATCGATTTGAGAATAACAGAGATTCGAGCTGAGGTGAGCGGGCAGTTATCTAATAAGGAACTTTTTTTAAGGGTTCAAGGCTAATACTACTGCGTTTGCTTAAATCATACTTCCCCCAAAAAAGTTAGAACGTCGCCAACAAATGTTTTTGAAATCATCGAAAAAATAACAGATTCTTTAAGCTTCGTATTATCATAAAACTATGGCTTACTGTTGCTCAAAAATAGGTGCAAAGGTTTTTGCAACCTTAGTCACAGCTTGTCCTTAAAGTCAAGCAACAAAAGTTTTCTCATTTGAACTGTACTGATTTTGATAGTAGCAAGCCTCCTGACATAAACTCTGACTGTATCTCTCTTAAGAGCTTCTTCTTGATGCGTTGTCACCCGACATTACGTTTTATTTTAGAGCCTCCCGTCAATACTGCTGTTTGCAACCACAATCTTTGCTGTTGTTGGCATACTGCCGTTTACGAAGCCCCTTCATTTCTTCAGTGGCATCGCTGTAGGCTGGGTTTATCTGCGCTTCTATCAACCAAGAGGCAAAGGCATAAAAGGAGACATGAACGAACATTTCGACCTGGCTTCATTCTTTCCTGAGCCAACACAGTAAGTAGATTTCGATATCTTTTACTTGGTGATATTTCTATTTTGCTTTTAATTTTGTATATTTAATTATTGGTTGACACTACAGTGATTGTTGATGTCAAACTACACCTCTATATTCGCAAATCAGTAAATGTGATTAAATTGTTAGTAGTTACAAATAATGGTTAAGTGGCGATTTCGGTAAATTTTTTTTTAAATGTTTTCAATATACATAACAGCTAAACCTATCAGATGTTGACTGTGATATGCCATATGAATACTAGTTCCTCCCTGCTGTTCGGTCTTGGTGCCAAAATATGAGCCAAGGCAAAGCAACCGGATTCTTTTATTTAAACTTGCCTTTCATTTGCTTTATCTCAAAATTTCATTTGAAATATATTTACGAGATTATTTGAGGTTTGTTGTAGTTTCCAAAGTACTCAAAATTATGTTTATTAATGAAGTTATTAAGGTGGCTCTTTTACATATCTCCGAATCAACGTTAGTTGTTGACATTATCAAGTGTAAACGACTTCAGCCTTCAATAGTCAGTGCAATTATGCATTTGAATCAGTTCCTGAATTTCTAAGAAATAACTTGATTTGTTTGGGAAAAGAACAGATTCTTCCCATAGATAGGAGGTCATTTCTCATCGATGCAATCAAGAACTTACACAATAAAGAAAGAACATGTACATTGACGCGATTTATGGCTCGCTAGAAGAGTTAGACTTCTTCGTTTTCAAACAACGGTGCTGTTATCAAAATAGGACGAAGGGAACTTTCTTTACATATTTTTGGTAAAGAGATGTATTTATCGAACCACCAAACGCCACAATATGACTATAACCAACCTAATCACCTAATCACCTAATCACCGACACAAAACCAAAGTTAGCGTCAAAATATACAAATGAACCAACATGAAATATATTTTTCAGGGACTGTGTTACAAAAATTTTGTGAAAAATAGGTCGGAGCAATCAACATTTAGGTTTATTAAATTGGAAAGACACGATCATTTAATCGTTTATCCACAATTTATCAACACTGCCGTTAATATTGAATCATAAAGCCTATTTCTGTTGGATTTTCATGATATTGAAGTTCTGTGACATTTTTTTATGGAGGAGGGGATCGCAAGTATAGTAGATTTATCAGCTATTCTTGCACTTTTCTCTATTTTTCATTCATTTTAAATACGATAAAGTGACACTGTCTTTTAGGCCTGCAATAAAGAGTATATCGGTAGTTGTGTACAACTTCTTGGTAAGAATTGGTGTATGCAAAACACCTGTGCGAACCTACGATGTTGGTTCATCTTCAGGCATCACCATCAGTTTGCCAGGCACAAGTCCCAATGACGCCGAACGCCGCAGGTAACACAAAATTGTTGTTTCTTTGCATATTATTTTGCGTCTGTAATCACTTATGTTCAGTTATGCGTGTCTTTTCAGAATCGTTTTTAGCCTTACTGTAAAAATGCCAAAGAATTTCCAAATAATCTTTGAAAGATCTCAGTAACAAGCAGAAGTATTTTCTGCTAACATGTAGACTTACTCGACGAGCCTCTGTTTCGGTATTGCCTCTTTTTACGGACCCTAAAACTAGTCAGCACAACACGTATATTATGAAAGCATAGTCAATAGAAAAAACTCTGGTCTGGAAGCCTATTGTTCCGTTCTTTTGTTCTCCAAGCGAACTTGAAATCAAATTTATTTTTATCACGTGATCTAAGTGAGGGGACAAGATGAAATGTTCTGTTGCCTCACAATGGCGGATGCACAAGACAGAGAAGAAACTCCGGAAAATTTCGTTGACATGTTGGATGAAGAACTGTTGGATCAAATGTTCCAGGAAGATATTAGCGCTGTGGAAGAGGACTTGAACATTCAAGAGGTTTCAGTATATTTTACTTGCGGTAAATGCGATAAAGGTTACAAGACAAAAGGCGGCCTAAATCGACACACCAGAGCAAAACATGGTGAGAGAAGCACCAAAGAAGCTGACGGAAGTGCAACATGCGAACTTACGTCAACTGGTATATTTGATCTTGTCAAGAAAACCAAAGATGAGTTGTGTCAAAATGAATGCTACCCAAAAACCATGCGGGATACGATTGCTGATTGCCAGTTTCAACCAAGCGAACACCTGCTCGGTGAACTAAAAATCGCTTTTGCCATTCTAAAAAAATATGCTGATGGTGAGAAGTTTTATTCATTTTTCTACGGGAAAATTGTGATAAACGCTGGTACACTAATCCCAGATCTGCCTCCACCAATGTGCACACTAATGGCCAAAAAACTTGGAGACAATGTTTTGCATTATTTCAAGAAACAGAAGCAACTGCCTTGCCAAAAACCGCATTCCCCAATCAGTGCCAAAGAAATGGATGGACTACAGTATCTTGCTGGATATGTAGTGAGCAGATTTTTGAAAAGAATTAAAAACAGCCCTAATTACATGTCAGAGTCCAGCCAGTCACTCTTATCAGTATTGAACAATTTTGTTGAAGAAAATAATACATCACAGAGGTTGATTGCCAGTCAGACAAGAGGAGGGTTAATTGCTGTGAAAAATGAGGTACAGAAAATCTTCTTGTGTGCAGAAAAAACTTTCAGAGCCCACACTTCAACACCAAATATTGTTAGGAAAATAGCTTTACAGCCCATGGTAGACCATCTACTGTTTGATACTGAAGTCATTAGCATGTATAACTGCCTTATAGAAAATGCCACTTTACCAATAGACTTCGAGGTAAAAAACAATTTGTTGGAAAACATGCTGAAGTTGTACCTTCGTGTCAGGTCATTTTCTTTTGCAAGAGATGTTGCAGGAAACCACTTGTATGCTTCAAGAAAGGTGAAAACAAAAGCTTTGCGGAAAGACATTAAAAAAGCAACAGATAAACCAGGCATTAATAATTAACAAATCATTGTGTAGTAACACATGGGGTCATTCAAAAAGTAGGTTTCTCAGAGAGAGGGAGGTGTCAGCTATAAACAGACAAAGGGTTTGGGTGGCTATCGATCTTAATTGTTACTTTCACTCCAAAATAACCAATTATCTATATCAAGAAAATCACTCATATATACATGGAATTTAGAAAGGAACACTGGGTGAGCTGAAAGCATGGAAATGTTTGTAATGCTTTTTGAAGATGGCATGGGCAATATGGAGTATGAGAATGAAAGCTTCATTAGGTCTGGGCAAACTAATTCTTAGAATGACCCCAAGTGACATTGTTACTTAAAATAGCTGAAACAGTTAACAAGTAAATTGTAAAACTAAATGCTTTAGACAACTGTTTTTAGTGTTCTATCTTTTCTTTAAAGGTTGGTTATCAACAATGTACCATGAAGGCTTGCGTTTTTGTTGGTGTGCTCCTACAGTGTTGCCTGTAACAGGAACTACTGATCTCTGCATTCGTATAATGTTGTCATTGTACCCAAATTGATATAATGAAGGGTTATCATTTCTTCTGCCCAAACCTCTTTGTCTACCAAAATACTCCTCTAGGACATCTTGATTGAATTTCTCTGTTAACACAAATTCAAAACCACTTTGCAGCAGAAATTTTGTAGCTTCAATGACAGAATGAACTGTGATTCTTATTCCTTCATAAGTCTGAGCAGACAAGAACATTTTGGCTTTGGCATCATTTGAAAAACCTTCACGCTTCTTTATACTTTCTTTCCAGTCTGCTAGATACTTTAAAAAGGAGTTTTCCAGCCATTCAAATCTTTCATCATTGACACTGCGGTATGGCAGTAAAAACTGCTTTCGCTTTTTTACACCTTCTACTTGATTCCTTACATTTAGTGAATCAAAAAATCTATCCATGTTTTCACAAAGGACTGCTGTTGCATGCATTGATTCTTTGAGGATCTTTCCAACTGAATCACTAAGTAATTGAACTGCCAGTCGTACATTCATACAGGAATATGGATTTAAAACTATATGCTCTTGTGACAGCTTTGAAATACTTTTCAAACCACATCCCATTTCATCACGAACAACCTTACAAAAATGATTCCATACAATGTGCTTCCCATCATTCCACATGTATCGTGTTTTTCCTTCACCTGGCAATAAAAAAACTGTTTAAAAATTGGAGAAAATGCAGAAGGAACAGATAGGGAAACATTTTGCTTTGCTTCATCAGTAATAATCAGTATATATATAAATATATACTATCAAAAGCCCCAAGTCTCCATCAATAATATAATCTATATAATATATAAGAACACATTATATAAATTACAAATATATATATGCTTCTACAAATGGGATAAAAATGAGTATAAACATAGTGAGATCTGTATGTATATTCATTTAAAATATGAAATGGTCCACAAAATATTTTGCATGTTAAATTTTGCTGCAAGATATCAAGTTACATATTTAATAGTTTCTTACCCGAATGATAAACACAGTTTCGAGTTGTCTTCAGCAAATGGGGTGCATCAGAAAAGAACCATATGTATCTATCCAGTGCAAACAAATTTATGGTACGGTGAACAACATCTGCACCTCCCTTTCCATCCAACATATCATGCATTTTGTAAAACTTTCTATTGCATGAAGCTCCATCTGAAACTGCAGCAATGACAGGCAATTTGCAGGTCAGCTCCAGTATAGCAACTGCTTCCCAAAAAGTTGTCATAATTTGGTATGCTGTAACTCCTCTTGTAGCAAAATACGCAAAGCTGAATTTCAAGTCTGATGCCAAACCTCTCACATAGTATACCAGGGCATGACTGGCTAACTGGTCAACATCATCAAAGCAAGAGTAATTTAGATCTGCATTACCCAAATCAACAAATCCAATTAGTTCTCCATTATTTTTGTTGTACACTAAATTCTCCTGAACTTTCACCTCATCAATTGAAATAACGATGTAACGTTGAACACCTTTTAGCATTGAAGCCGTTTCAATGAGCTCATTGATCACTTCAGAGTTAAAACCTGTCTTAGGTCTTATTGCATTTCGATAGTCCCTTAATGTTCTACGACTTGGCAGAGTCAGTATATTTGTATGTCTAAGTTCATCATAGACAGACGCAGATTTTGATGCCAGGGACAGGCAAAAGCGTATTATCATTGGGTGATACTTCTTACTTCCGCTTTGCAGAAGTTTAGTTTGCTGATCCCAAAAACGTTTCATGAATGGTGATGCATTCTCTCTGTTGCTGGCCATAATCCCAAAAATGTCACTTGAAAGATCATCATCAATTTCAACACCTGCACACTTTATTTCTTTTTCCATTCTTTGAATTTGAACTTTCAATTTTGAAGACTTCAACCTCTCTTCTTGCAAGGCTAACTTCACCCTATTTGGGTGTGTCTGTGACAATGGGGCATTGGGATGTGCAGGAGTATTATGCTTGCTTTGTTTAGACAACTGTGCCTTTTTAATTTGCTTAGTTGATTCATTGCAGGAAGGACATACTTCTGCACTTCTTGTTAGAAAAGAGCAATCTTTTGCCCTCAAATAATGTTTGGGTTGACTAGGGTTGTCATCACTCTTTTCTAGCTCAAGTTCACATGGAATGTGATGAGTTACCAGTGAATCTGATCTGACATCTACAACACCTAAACAAAGTTTTAAGCTGGACAAGTCATTCAGAAACTTCGAAATTGTGATGTTTCTGAGGGATCTTTTGCTTTCCTTATACAAAAAATGGTCGTCTGGCAAAAGATGGCCATAGGCAGCACAGGTGTATGCCAAGCTCTCATCTACAATGACCTCTAATTGAGGAATAATGTATGGCCTTTCAAAAAATTTGAATGTTAATTTGTTTGGACTGTTGGCGATAATCCAGCCATTAGATTGTAGCTTTAATTTCCCAACACGTGCTGCAAACTCATTGAAGTGTTTGTAAGCAGGAACTCTGTGTTGTAAACTAGCAACACTGTCCTTGACAATGCTAAGATGGCGTCTTTCTGCTGCTGTTGGTTGTTGAAAAGACTTCAATGGAAGATTTATTCTTGGTAGTGCACCAAATATCAAAGACTTCCGTCCAGTTTCTGCAAAAAAGGGGAAGAATATTTCACTATTTATTTCGTAAATTAACTTTATACAGCAAAATTATACACACTTTCAAGTATCAAATATTTTGGAAATGTTTAAGTAGGCAGACAGACAACTATGCCTATATCGCAGACAGAATCATGATGGCATAATGACATTTTTCAAACATTGCACTTCAAGGCAACTTACTACAAAAATAAAAAACTAACAGGTGTCTTAAAAGTGTAATGTTTAAAAGCTTTCTTTTTCATGTTATTTCAGAAATTCAATGCTCTTATAAGGTCAAGGGCATTTAGGATTGTTCGAGGAATCGTTATACCTTTAGGCCCATTTGTTTGTTCGTATTTACATACAACAAACAATTACTTTTCGAAAAATTTAAATATACCATTGATTTATTAACTCACTAGTAAGCTCAATATCTCCTTTCTGGTAATGTTTCTCGCAAATGTAAATATTCCCAGATTCGATTTGACGTTTGAAATCGCTGTCGACTGTCCTGTACTTCTTGACGATGTTCAAAGTCTCGCTTCTCCAATCTATGAAATCTTGCGATTTTCGCTGTGAAACTCGAAAAAGTCCAACTCCACCGTAGGAATGTCGACGAGAAGTTCCACAACCTGGGATTGCACAATTTGAACCGACCATAGTTCTCAAAATATCACCAACATCTTCGCAATACGCTCAAAACTCAACAACAATCCCTCTATTCCAATTTTGCCGCGTCCCCTTACTTAGATCACGTGATTGCAATAAACACGAACAAAGAGTTAGAACAATAGGCTTCCAGACCAGAGTTTTTTCTATTGACTATGATGAAACATAGAATTTTTGTTAATATGCAACTGTAAGCAAAACCCGAAGCGAATGGAAAATGACTTGAGAAGATTGATTGGCACTTTGTTTGAAAATTCAGCCACTTATTCAATTGAAGAGTAAAATTTTGAAAACTCCTATCAACTGAAATTAATCTGTCTCTATATTTTGCTCTAATCAATCATGCGGAATTTTGGAATTTTTAATCAACCTCAACCTAAAAGACAATTAAGCATCTATGTGCTTCACAAAAGACTTGTTCTATGTGCCACCTTGTAAAATGCACCTAAAATGATCAGCGGCTCGCCTTTTCATTCAATAATATTTTTTGACAAAAAGTGTTTTGAATTATTTTAATGTGGCAATCTGAAAACACTTTCTTACACTTATCGATATCTTTTTGTGTCTCAAACGCTTTTCTCGAACGTGAACGCTGTATTTTGTTGAAACTCTGCAAGTATCAAAGACAGTTAGCTTTTAGGAAGAAGTAAATATTGAAAAATATTTTAGTGATTTTTTGTTGACAAACTTCCAATGTAGCACGATTTTTCATCGTTTATACAACTCAGAAGACTGAGAGGAAACGTTGTCCCGCTGTTTCCGCAAACCTGTTAGTCACGGCAACGATAGCTCATTTCGGCCTATGATTTAAGTTAAATTCCAATCCAAAATGATCCATGATGGGCATATTATCTTGATCTGATCTGATGATGATTTTGTTTTTGTCTGATGTCGATAATTTTGTTGTTTGTGATGATGGTCGAAAGTTTGTTTTTGGCTTATTTATTGCTAAAAATTCCTTTAGAGTAATAGAAGATTTGAAACAATTTAGTGATTTTATTTATTCTCAATGTTAAATGGGTGTTGCCATCTACTTCAAAAGCAAATTTAGACTGAGAAGCTACAATCACTGCCAAAATTACTTGGAACACCCAACACTTTGCGCTCTGCTTTTCTATTTTTCATTTGTTTTCCCGAATACAACTACTTCCGTCCCCCTTTCCCCCCAAAACAATGTTGAAAGTATAGAAAAATATCATACAAAGCACACGAAAAAGCGTACTCCACAACCCCTTCCTTTTTTTATAGTAAATCAACATTGTTCTTAGGGGGAGAGGGGGGTGGCTGAATTTGCCTTGGAAAACTGATGATGTTCTAAGACTTTTGGCAGTGATTGTAGTTATCGGATACTGAGTTATCTTCCAAGAATTATTATCATAATATGGAAATCTAGTGAAGTGGTATTTAAGTTGATTCCTGATAAAGACAGGATTACAAAAAGTTTTGATCATGCCACTTGCAAAGGTGCTAAAACTTTGAAAATATTTGTATTACATGTGGTACATCTTTTTTTGATTCTTTTGTTTTCACTTAGCCATGTCAAATGCGCTTTTCAGGACATTGAATAAGGAAAACTTTTTATTTTAGGCGAAAAGCCTTGCGTGCCTTGAATGAAAGGCTTAAAAGAGAGAAAGAAAATCATGATGAGACAGGTGACGATAACTGGCCTTCAATTGATGATGATTCTACAAAAATTGAGCCTGTATCAAATGACACAAATATTGACATTGAGAATACCAGCAGCTCTGACCCAGATGTTGAAATAATTGATAAAAGTGAAATTGAAGGGCAACAGTGATGCTTCAATACTTGCTCTTCAATTACTTATCATCAATGAATCTTGGATCAACTATTTATCGGGCAACTGACATGGCATCAATCTATAATGACTAGTGGCTTTTCACATTGTCAGTTTGGGGAGGTGTTTTAAAACCTGGTGTATTCTCAGAAAAAAGCAAGGTTGGACATGCCTTCTTGATTTCATAGCTGCTGAATGTAATAAAGTAATTCCTTGAGGTTATAAAGGTTATGGAAAGACTTAATTAAACCTGGGATGTTGTAACTGCATATTTTTAGGATAGGACTACTTGTTACTTTCTTGGGTCTAGAATTTGAGTGAAAATTATTTTCAGGGTCTGTCCATTGTACAATTACTTTTTTTGGGTGCGTAAAATTTTGAATTGTTTTGCTGAGTTGTTTTAAAAGTTTTAAAAGATAGAGAAATATTGCCAACTTACTTGTGCAGGGACAGGAAAAATTTTTTTTGATCAATTTTTATGCCAGAATTTTTGTGGGTTGTTTTATACCCAAGCCTGAGCACCCAATTTCTAAATGTAGAAAAGTTCCCTCCTGGAGAACTAACTCTTAAAATCAAATCAACATTAAGTCAATATTGAATATTCGAACACATCATCATCACTAGCTTATCACATCACCACATACATCACAACTTGACTATTTGTGATTTGAGTTTTTAAGGTTTATTTAGTTATTTTAAGGTAAGGAGTGATATGTTTCGATATGATTGCTTAGAAAACAAGAAAAGAATGATGGACGCCAACCATAATGAAACAGAATATAAGACTACAGGTTTCTTTTTTGGCTACAAATTTATTTTTATTTAATGCCTAATTATTATCATTTTGTTGCTATTAATGATATTGTCAAGTTTCAACATTTTAAACATGGCTATGGTTGTAAATTTAGAATGAAATTTTGTTTGCCTTTACAACATACAGCAGTTTTTGTTGATGCTAAAAATATTTCATGTAAATGTAATTTATAACAAAATTGTTCTCTGAAAATTATTAATACTTTAGAAACCAGCTTCTAGATACTTCGAAATTATTTTAAATTAATGAGAAATTGAATTATGGTAGCACTATATTTACTGGTACTGTTAAAAAAGAGAAATTGCCACAAGAATAGAGATTTCTTTGTAGAAAGTTGCTGATATTTGTCAAGTCTTGGGGGTTTGTTTTGTTTCAATTAGTTCTCTTCTCAAGTAGCATATTTCAAATGTCTGACAGAACACCTAGTTGAGATCAAACCCCTGAATTTTTATCAACTGAAAATGTTACAGCAACCATAATTAAGTAGTTATGGATTGAAGATGTTTTGGCAAAAATAATAAGTTTATTACTGAAATTTGCAATGGAAGAAAAACATTTCAAAACGATATTAAATCACACAAAAAACCTTTTATCTGGCTTAATGTATGTATCAAATTACAAGTTTTCAAATTTGTTGTTCCTTGAATACTCAGATGTAAAGGATTGCAATTTGGCTCTGACCTGGCCTTTTAAAGGTGGGATTTTTGAAGGTGGGGTCTAAATTTCCTTACACAGGTGAATGTTTGATGGATGTTGTAAATATGTTATTGTATTAATATGTATCAACATGTTACTGTACTTTGAACATTGTCTCTTTACTTCACTTCCCATTAAAGATGAAAGTTTTTTAACTTTCTAAGTCAACATGCACAGCTATGATAATTTCAAAAACAACCAAAAAATTATAAAATTCTTGACATTCACTCCAGATCACCATGAAGTCATATTCACAACGCAACTAATCATTCTTTGATCTACCCCACAAAAAAGTCTACATACCTGTCTAAATTATAATACTTATTGCATAAGATTTTTTCTCCAGCTAATTATTTCTATTGTTCCTATTACTGTGGTTGCAATTACAAGGGTTGGGTGGGGGTGGTTGCAATGTCTGGCTTGCTCATAATTCTTATGCTGAATATCAGGCTTCTACAAAAATGCTGTCTCACTTTTCTGGGCGGTTTACTGCCTTGCATGAAAATAAAATACCTCCTAGTGTAAAATTATTTAATCTCTATAAAAAATGAAAATTGCTTGATACCATATAGACAGAGCTATACACACTATTTGGTGTAAAGAACAGGACAGTTCTAAGTTGCTACTCTGAGTTTCATGTTTATTACAATCATCAGGCAAGTAACCACTGAACAAGAAAATGTTCATTGTATAAGCAGTCTGCTGAATGCAACGTTTGTCAGCTTAATGATTAGAACTTGGAATGTTGTTTTATTTTCTTGTTTGAATACTCATTTTTGCTTTTGAAAGTAACACAAATATTTGTATGTGATTTTTTATGTCCAGTTAAAGTTACTTCTGATTCTTTCAATTTGAAGAAAGTCCAAAAATGCTAGACCAGTAAAATCTAAGGCCACCAAAAGGATGATGATTTTTGTGCTACTTTTGGTTGTTAAAAGGCAGATGGTGTAATTCTGGAGTGAGATACATACACAGGTATGTTGAGCAATTTTTGAAGATTTAGGTGTGGAGAACAGAACATCTTAGTTGTAACTAAGTTGTAATCAAATTCTCTTAATATATCATAATTTATGTCCCTAGACTAACTTGTGTACAACCATCAGGAAACCTATAATAAATATTGTAATTCAGTGATGCTTATTATGAAAGAAGGTTTAGATGAACAATTCTTGTTCTTCATTACAGAGGTGAGAAATATTAGAAATCATTCCATTTGCTTTTGTTGCAAGTCCTTCATTTTAATTTTTCAAGGATATGGTTATTCAGGGCTACCAACAAAACAATGAAACAATGCAAATGACAAAACAGGTAATATAAAAAACTGATGTGTCCTGTGGTTTTGAATTTACATAATAATCAAGTCTTCCAAAGTCATTTACCAGATAAAATTTTTATGGAAATATAATTTTTGGAAGTCTATTTTCCAAGACATTCAGACAGTCTTCCGGTCAGCAAGTACTCGAATGATGCTGCCATGTCCACCATGAGCAACAAGCTGAAAGAGAAAATTACAATTGTCAAAAGTTCATAGCCTCAAAGCTTTATTTTAATGGGTATTACAGCAGCTTAACAGTATCATAGCTTGCCCTGATACCCATCTTCCAGTTAGTCAATATTGGTTAGAGCTAGTTAAAAAGTTACTGCAAGTTTGTTCATTTTCCAAAAATTTGTTACTTAATCAAAATAGGCGCTTCTCTGGGATTCTCTGGCAGGTTTCCCTTACAGTAAAGTGAAATGCTTCAATTTTTATCTAATTCCAGAAGTTGAACTTATCAGAAGTGTCCTCAAAAGGACAAGGTAAGAAACACTTACTTATCTAAATTGACAGTAACTCTGAAATGCAGGCAGACAAATTATCAAATTCAATTTATATATACCAATCTATAGATATTTAAACTTTATCTGTATTTTAAAGAAACACCTCATTGCCAAACTTAACTCAATGTTTTTGCATCCAGCAACATAAAATCATATCAAATATTGCGTACTATGTAATCAATCAAAATGCAATCTTTGAAAATTCAAAAATTAGAGGTTAAACCTAGCATTTAACACACCTTGTCATGCCAAGTTAACAATGATGCACAATAGCTATCACTTGGTTCTGAAAATCCCCTGTAAATGTATTTCATCAGAACATCTATCTCATGAAAATTGAGGCTTTTTGCTGCAGCCTCAACCTCTGATGATTTGTAGGCTGTTAGGACTCTTATTATCAGATCAAATGCTTTGTCCTGTAGAAGATTCAAAAACAAAAATATACTGGTTGACAATAAAAAACTTCAAAATTCTGATACCTGAATCATATTGGAATGCCCTTGATTACTTGGATAATTAATTGCATTAATCTGTAATGTTTAATAGTGTGATTTCATGGTCAGGCCTGGTCATAAGACTTTTAGCAGGGGAGTAATAAACAGCTCTCATAATAATTTCAATGTGAGCTCGATTTGTAGAAAATCAAGAATAAAAACAAAAGGAAAAAGTTAATTCAAGGAGAGTAATTTGATTTTTGCTGTCATTTGAGAAGATGGTTTAAATTTGATAAACATTGTTTTCCTTTTTGGTAATCTTGATCACAATTTTAGGCACACAATGAATCTTTCTTTATGACTATTTTAAGGTGCACCTTGAGCACCTATTGGGGCAAGGCTTGCCTGATGCTCATGAATGTAAAACTCTGGCGAAACCTTGCTGTCTTTCTGGGGTATGCCAATCTCCTTATTCACTATTAGGTTTAAACTCTTGAGAACTCATTAAAAAATGATTTCTTAAGGTCAGCACCCAAATGAAAGCTTATTTCTTACCTTTCTTTCCTTATTTTTTGAGCCGGCAGGAGCTTGTTCAAGTAATAACTTCAGTGCTTCATTATTTTTCTTACTGGGTTTACAAATTAAGAAAATTTTAGATAATGAAGTATATTATTAATAAAGAGCAAAATTGATATAAGTAGCTGAACTATTTGATATCAGTCATTAACCAAATATAATATTCTATATAGGTTGGTTTCCAGTTTCTTGAGTGCTACATTTTTACCAAGATGAATGCCTGCCAAAAGTCTTGGCACACTGACAACAATTTCCAAGGTCAAAATCAATCACCCTCCTCTCCCCTACAGAAAAATGTTGGTCTACTATCAAACGGGTTAGGATTTTAGTAATCACTTTCTTTTGTGCTTCTTTTATTATATTTCTCTTAAGTATCAACATTGTTTTAGGGGGAAGGTGGCAGATGTAGTAATGTTTTTTTCATGAAAGGAATGAAAGTTATCAAATGCACGGTAAATTGCTGGGTGTTCCAAGTACTTTTGGCATTACATTACATTACATTACATTACATTACATTACATTACATTACATTACATTACATTACATTACATTACATTACATTACATTACATTACATTACATTACATTACATTACATTACATTACATTTATGTGTCACCATTATCTCAAGCACAGTGTGAAAATCAGCTCATTTTTATCTTGTCCATTGAAGCTCATATTTCTGTCACCATCTTTTAAAGTTTAGGCAGACAGCTTGTAGTTAATTGACAAACATACTTTAGATTTTTGTCTGACTTAAAACATCAGAATACTGATACAGAATTTTAAACTAAAAAATATGTCCAGTTGTTGATTGAAACAAGCCAAATTGAAATCATGAGCACATTTTCTTCATTCAGTACAGGATTTCTGAAAAACTTTTTAAAATTAATATGCAAGTTTGCAACAACTTGTTGTCCTTGATTATTTTATTTCCTAAATGTGGGGAATGGATCAAAAACTAAAATTTGTGTTGAATCACAAGGGAACTTGAATTTGGTCTCTCCAGGATGCCAATCTTTTGTGTATGTTTCAGGAGAGATGTAAAGGCAAGTCTTGTGAGCTGACAATAGGATTTAGGGGGAAACAACTGAGTCAGGTATTTTATCATGTTTCTTTTCTTAGTAGTTTTACTGTACAAAGTGGTACTTGTTGCTATATTTTCATGTAAAATGGCTTCATTGTTAGGCACGATCAAATGCCTGCATGCCTATTTTTGAGCCAGCATGGCCATGCCAATAGAAATATTACCAAGGGTGAGTCTAAGGGAGAAAAGGAATTACTTCTTTCTACATAATAGCACATTTTTTATTGTTATGTGGACTGATTTTTAAACTGCTATTTAGCTCTGCCAAAAACAAAAGGCTCTGCCAAAAACTGAAAACATGTCCCCATTTTTAGTTTTTGGCACAATCCAGGTAATTTTATCAATGCTGCTTGATGGCAGAACTAAAAGTTTTGGCTGGTTTTAGTAATACAAGAACGTCAACTCCCTTGGTAATATTTTCGACAGGCTAGTGGCAGTAGTGATGCTAGCTAGGCATATTTTCTGATTTGCTAATTTCAAAGCACTACTGGTTAAATTTCTTTCCTCTTAAAATTTTTTATCAATGTTCGGACATTTTCTACACTGAAGAGTGTCAGAGAAAAAGCTCAAGCATGTTTTAAAATGTGTCCTTTTTTAAAGCCTTAAATTTTCTACCACTAAAAAGCTGTTTCCAAATGCATGGGCAATTTATGCTTTGTACGCCAATCACACCAAACACTCACTAGCCTTTAAACCGGTTTAGTTTGAAGTGCAAATATCGCTTTTGAACAAAATAACGGCATAAATGTGAATAATAAAAGTGGACGTTTTAAAACTGGCCTAGAAACAAGGAAGAGGATACGACATGAGTAACTGTTGAATGTCTCCTTCGCTCGGTCCTTGATCTTGCACTTCTTCGGCTTGATCATCCTGGAATACATCTTCATCAAATTTATCAACATCCACTTTTCTAAATTCTCGTGCTGATGATGATTTAGACATGTTTCTATCGTGCTTTATTTCCCCAAAGCTAACTTCGCCTTCCGCAGAACCCTTCCCTTTCCTTCGCAGAGGCGTAACATCCAGGAGAACCTCGAGTAGATGCTGTAGCAAGATTGCCTCTCATTCGCTCAAATTAACACTCTTTTCATGGAATTTGATCGCGGAAGCAATCGACAAACTGAAATTATGAAAGCTCTTATCAAAGATGGCGATTTTGAGTCTTACAAGCTAGCAACATTGAATAAACCTGTACCAAATGAAGGGGAACTGCTCATCAAAATTTTGAAAGTGTCGATTTGCGGGTCTGATATTGCTTTATATAAGTGGAATGATGGTAAGACTTGTTGAATGTTATTCAAGTTGAATAACATTTTACATAACGTACTGTTGTAGTAATCTACTCTAAAAAGTGTGCATTGTATTCACTATATTCGAGAAATTTTCTACAAGCTACATAACCACGCAAATGAATCTCCAAAAGCCAAGTAGTTAGTTTGTTAGGAAACATTGCATATCACTAAGGAAAACCACATGGCATATTGCATGAACCAATTCTCCCGAAAATTGAAATATTTTCCAAAAGGGTCCACAAGTCGCTATTTTGTAAACCTTATTATTTATCTCAGCACAGTTTTATTAGTGATTTAAATTCACTTGTCAATTCTTTGAATTGAAAATCCTAATTCATATTCTGGCAGCAAAGCAGTTCATTAAATTGTTCTACCAATTCGCTGAAAGCATGTTTCAATTTTTCTCCAGAACATTTTAAAAGATGCATTCACAGCTCTAGCTATTTTTGACCATTTTATTAGCCAATCTAAGTTTTTGCTAAGATTTTAAAGCTTATGTTTTTTATTTTCAGTTGGCAAGAGCATTGCTTCTCTCCCATTTATACCTGGGCATGAATGTGTTGGAATGGTACTTGAAAATTCAATATTTTAGCCAATTTTCATTTCTTTGTTTCTATGGAAATATATTATTTTTATATCCTGTCATATCAACCTTTGTTATCCAAGAAGTAAGCAACAGAAGAGAAAGCCAAGAAGGGTTTGAACGTGCTATTCTTGAAGTTAAATGTACTTTCAGATGCTTTTTTCAGATTGAAGCTATTGGAGAAAACTGCCCACCAGAATACAGAGAAGGACAGAGAGTATGCTGTGAAAACCATTTCTTTTGCGGAGAATGCTATCAATGTTCCCATGGTAAATAATAATAATTGTTAAATTTCTTGCAAAATTTTGACATATTTAATTTAAAAAAAACATTTGTTACTGTGTAGTTTTTTTGTTCTATTTCAGACCAGCAAAATGTGTGTCAAAATATGGGGCAATATGGGCATGGGAGAGGAACAATGCATGGAGGTGTGTGGAAGAAATATATTGTTTCAAAGTATTTATACATTGAGAAATTTAAGTTACAGCTGGATAAAGCAGCCATAGAATTTCTGCTTGAGCGTAAGAATTAAGAAACAAAATTCATTTCTGGTGAATCTGTGATTTATTTTTCTATCTTTTTTTAAGTAAAGCAAAATATTGTTTTAGTCTTTGAACTGCTTTGTACCCTTTCCAAGTATAAGTATGAATTCTGATTTGGTAGAATATTTACAAAGTTTCTAGCCAGCAACCATCTATCTCCTGTCAATCACTTTATTCCAAACACTCTAAAGTTGCAGTAGTTTAGACAAAGTGGTATTGCTAACATTTCTCATTTACTCCTTATGTTGACTGAAAAAGGAGAAGCTAAGACAGTGCAAAGAAAATAACCATTTAGTATGATGCAAATGTAATCATTGTTTTGAAATAATAATTGATAAATATGTCTCCTTTGGTATATTTAGTATTTTGTCCTTTGATATTTTTAAGCTACCCACTATTATAAGTCACAGCAAATTTGGTTCATAAAAAATGTAAGCCACCCTTGGTTATAAGCCGCACCCAGAAAACTATGTGGAATTACTTGGCTTGAAATGAGGGATGCAAAAACTGATAAAAACCTAATTGTGTACTTAACAAAGAAATAGACATGAGAAGTTCAACCAACAACACAACAATATTGTCCAGCATGGGATCATCAATAGCATCTAGAAGTAATTCATCCTAGTCTTCTGCATGAACATTCTCAGCTTCAAGGTAGCTAGCAGAAAAGCTTGGTAGGATCTGGATAAAATAATGTAAGCCAACCTTGTTTATAACCCACCCTTGATTAAAAGCTGCCGCAAAACGTGCCAGAAAATAATTACAAGCCATCTCTTATATTCGAAAAAAATACAGTAATGATTAATTGAATGTAACTTAGTCAAGGTAGGATTACTAAAGGTGCAATGGGCTTGACAAAAATTGTTTTAAGCATAATAGCTATTTTTCTTTCTTCAGAGTTCCACTCATGAGAAGACTGAATGACTCTAATTTCTGCTTTTAAACTGTTCATATTATGTTACCAAAAAGTGGATGGTAACAAATGGAAGTTATCTTTTATAGTTTTATTGGTCATTTGCTGAATGCTTGATTAGCTTTTTATAAACAATCAATTCCCTCTGAGTTAACTCCCAGTCTGTGGCATATTTTCAGGTTGCTCTGTGTATTCCATCATTCCTGCACGCTACTGCTACATTTTGAAGACGGATATTGATGACAACAAAGCCTGCATCTTGGAGCGTAAGTAAGAAAAGTTGACCAAAGTAATACTACTGCAACTACACAGACATACTACATGTGATCTTGGAATTTGTTCAGAGAAATATAATTTATATATTCTAGATTATACATTGCAGCAAGGCCACACAAAATAAGCTGTTAAACATGTTTTTACTTTGCAATTCAGATAATGCAAATAACTGTGCATTTAATTATTTCCTGGGGACATCTGTCGCTTTTTTGTTGCAGATTTTGATGTAAAGTTTTGATCACACGTTTTCAGTAAATGTCTGATGAAGTGATTTTTCTGTATAGCCTTTGGTGTTGCTCATAATGCTTGCGAGGAATTAAAACCACAAAATGACACGGTTCTAGTGCAAGGTAAAGCATTGTAACAGCTATAAGATTTTCTTTTTATCACACTCATTCAATTCCATCTCAGCATTTTCTCTTTTTTCGCTCTATCTGAATCAAGAAAAATATTTCCCCTTTCTTACAACTTAATTTGATTATCCCGAACAGAAATAGTGGAAGGAAAATGCGATCCTTTCTTCCTTTTGAAGCTCGTATGATATTTTCCATGCTCTGTTCCCCTTAGCTTTGGTCTCTTAGTTTCTTCCAAGAGTCCGAGTCTCCAAGTCTCTGGTGTCAAGGACAGTCTTCGGCCAATGTTTTCAAAACCTCCTTAAAATAATGAATAAAATCCTATTCTAGATATAGAAACTGGAGCTCTGTTGCTTACTCGAAAGCAGATAAGATACTCAAAGAAGAAACTTGGGAGACTAACTGTGTTTGCTCCGCCACTGAAAGAGTCCAGTTTCCGCCTTTGAAAAGCTATGCCTATATAGCATTTCCTTTACCCTTTCTTTAAGTTGATGCCTTTGAAAACTGCAATCATGCAAGGCGGGGAACCCCTACTTTCATGGCTGTAGATTGTCTAATATGTGGGATTGTGTGGGTTTTCGGTAAGAATGAATAGATTTTTGATCGAAATTCGTAGGATTTTTCGAATTCTGCTAATTTTTATGGATTGATGTCTTATTATAGGATGTGGTGCAATTGGCTTAATGTCTATTGGTATCATCAAATGGATGGGAGCATCGAAAATGTAAGAAGGTCTCTTTCATAAATTTGCATGCCATGAAATCAGAACTTCACATAGAAGACACGATGTTGTCCTTTTTTGGCTATCTTTGAATAACCATCCATTAATTTGTAATTTTGCGTTAAGAAAAAAAGATAATGGAACTTAAGCTTATTTTGTTCTGCAAAATTTAAAAGTAGCATTACTGCTAAAATCAGAAGCATTACGATTTTTGACGAAGATATATTCAGAAGAGCTATTTCCACTCTCATTTGGTTACATATTATATCAATTTAAGTTTCCTCAACCGCTTTAAGCACATAGTAATCCGTATTTGAATGAATAACCTATACAACCATCTGTGTTCACATTGTTTCTTTGAGACGATGTTATTCGCCTATCTGTCATTTCAAAATGAGCCGCAGTCTTAACATGGCGTCTGTTCCATTTTAATTTCGATTCGTTTTCGATGTGCGTTTTCAAATCAAACCGTTTTCAGTATGTAGCCACAGTAATAACTTCCAACGTTGAAGAACTAATAACAAATTGTTTCTTTAGCAATTTGACACATCAGCTAAGCATACCTCCGTTCGTGCGAGCGTCTTTGTATTTCCTCTTTATCTTCTATCATTTGCATTCAAAGCAGGGGCGAAAATACCGGGAGGGTGGGGGGGGGGTGTGACACCCCCCCCCAATCTAAAAAATAATCGATTTCGCAGGGCAATCGAAGATTTCGCAGGGCGCCAAGAAGAGCTTTGTTGCCACGTAGAAATGTCACCTCTGAAGTTCGTAAAGGGCCGTTTAGGAATTTTGAATGGAAATATCATATTTGTTATGAACCTACCTTCCTGATATTGCATTTTAGAGAACGGAACAGGTATGTAAGGAAAAGCTCCGTTATTTGCAAAGCGAAAGCATGTCTTACCGAAAGTCATAGCCAATGGATGCAATGATTGATGCATATGTTTATGTGGGCAAGGTTGAGTCCATATAAATAAATTTCAAGTTGTAAAAATTTTTCATGACAAGCACGGCGTCACTGGGGGGAATAGGGGGCTGAAGGCCCTCACTTTGGTCAAGATAAGAACTTTTTTATCATTTTTTCTATTAATTTTTAATAGTGCATGAAATAAAAAGAGAGTAAACTGTTAAGATGCCGATTTTGTTTGATCAATTTACTAACTTTTTCACGCATATTTTTTTTCTTTTATTTGCATTAATTCAGTAAATCACTTTCTGTATCATTGCAATGTTTTAATTTTGGATGGCCTTCTCGATACAAGAAACTGCACATTTCTGTTCAGGAAATAAAATTCTCCCAATCAAAACAACATCTCCCTCTGTCATTCACAACTATGTGCAGTCTGAAACGAAAGGTTGCCGTTTCTTTCCTTCCCCAACGTCTATCACTATAGTTTTAGCATGACATGCCCCTTCCTATTTTTCCCAATAAACAATAATCAGTTTTTTAGCACAATAGTATTTTGCTAAATTTTTGTCTGAAAGATGCTTTTTAGCCCTTTCACAAGGTATAATTTCAAAAATTTTCTTCACGTCGGACCCAAACATGGTGGGTCCTCCTATGTCACTAAAGGTGATTCTTAGTCCCCCTGGGCTCAATTTCGTTGCTCCGCCCATATAATGCACCAAAAAATCATTTGCCACGAGATAGAAGCTTTATTATCAAGGAAAACCAAATTTGACATATAATTTACGCTCACGTAGAGAAATAGAAGTTTCAAGTTTGTTTTTATTGCTTAGAAGTTTTTCCATGGTAAAGACCAGTGTACACTGGTGAAGCTTTCACTAGTAACCTATAGAGTATAGACAAACCTTTGCTACCAGGTCTGCTGGGCACAACTCAGTTTTGCAGGGCAGAAACCCTTTTCACCCCCCCCCAAACCTACTGGCCAAGTTACGCCCCTGATTCAAAGCACTCTCAACACAACAGTCTTTAGCCCCCCCCCCCCAACAACAACTTTGCAAGGGCTTATGTTGGCCTGCGTAAAATACAATTTTCTCTTCTACTTAAAAAAGTATAACGTGACTAGTGCTTGGAGTATTAGCTGATACTTCCTCTTGTCTTTGAAAAAATAACTGTCCTCCCTTCCAAATTCAATGCTGAATGCATGTTGTTTTTCAGGGAAATATATAACTGCAAATCGTCATTGATTTGGGGGAAAGGGATAAATCGAAGTTGCAAGGGCTGCGTAAAGTAGAAACTTGCAATGTTTCATTTTGTCTCAACAATTTTGTCAGCGATTGTAGGGATGATGTCCAAATCGATAATGCCTTCGAGCTGAGAATCTATTTGTTCCCTGTTTGTTAATTTTTTAGATTTTTTTATTTTAAAGCAATTTCGTGACCACTTGATGTGTTTTTAATTGTTAGAATCGCTACGGATATTTTTGACCAAAAACTAGAGAAAGCAAAGATAATGGGTGCAGATGTTGTAGTTAATGGAAGAAATGAAAATTTGAAGGATGTTGGTGAGTTTGAAATGTTTTTGATAAGTATCGTTGATTGCTGTTGGGCTGATTTCTTGGTATTTCACAAGGCTTCTCTCTGTGTGCTACAATCCTTGCAAAACATAGTTGCAAGGCATTAGCTACCTTTCCAAGTCACCAGCGCCAGGGACGTCAGAGAAGGAAAGCATGAGGGTCACACGCCGTGTTGCCTTTCAAAAGGAGGGACAAAAGGGACCAAAGTGCCCTTACATAAAAGTACCCTTGACATCGGCCTTTGGTAATTGCCAAAAAGATTCATGCGGAATTCTGACTGTAGGGCTTTTTTCACGATGACATTTCTCAAAACATGATAAAAACTTCTCATGTCAAAAGTTAGCCAATTTTCAAGATACCCAAAAAAGATCACGATAAAATGACAGTTAATAAAGAGTAAGTACAAGCTGGAAAATTATCTTTCATATGCCCTTTTTATTTAAGCCTGCCCCGATGCCCCTCGGTCGTTCCGTCATCCCTGATAAACGCTGTTGCTATATTCTTCCCCCTCCCTGGTACAATGTTGATTTCTACTTTAGATGTGTTTATGATTACAATCCTAGTTAAATTGCCACTTACAGTCATGCAATATTGATGTTAATCGACATCGTTTTAGGGGGAGATTTTGAAATGGGAGAAACATTTTTGTAAGGGTTGTTTTAAAGCTTAATACTTGCATAGCATCTGAAAAATTTTAGCCACTGGAACAGTTATGATCTTCGCAGAAAGTGTAAACAAGATGTTCCTGGATCTCCTTTCAAGACGGCAGTTTCACGGCTAACAATTAGGCAGACGCCTTTTTCAGCTCAATTTAGAATTATACCCAGTAGTGTAGTGTTAAGAAAATAACAAGGATAGCTCTTGCACGAAATGTTGTGAAAAACAATAGCAAAAGTAGAAATTTGCCAATTTTCAGTATCAACAAGGGGGCTTAGTGGACCTAGGCAATTTTATTCGTCGTAATTGCCTTGGGCCCCGTATTTGCTTAAATTTGCAGCTTTGCCGTCGCAGCTGAACTAGAAAATTCAAAAATTGCACAAAAAGTATTAAAAGGATTTTTATCTGGTACTTCTTACAATATATTGTTCTCAGAACTTTGGATAATCTCTCCTCTCGCATAGCTGTAGAGTATGGTCGAGAAAGCGAACTATTTCATAACAGGCATATCTTTTTATAAAATAATTTTTTGTTCAGTTTTCAAGGAAACAGATGGAAATGGCGCGGGAAGGATTTTGGAAGCCTCTGGGGCACAGCCTCTGGTCAACGAATCATTTCAATTACTTCGGTAATTTTAAATTTTTAAAACACGATACAGCTTCCAACTGAAAAGATATATTTTTCTTGATGATGCATATTGTAGAGACTTTAATTCTTTTTCATGTCTCTCTTATAATAAAATGTCAGATTTTATGGTTATCTTGTATCATTATCTTCAATCGGACCTCTACAGTCACTACAATAAGTTAATAATCATACTAGATTTTAACTTTAAATATCTATCGAGATGCATGATTACGATGATGGTATTTTAGATATTACTATAATATCTTAAAAGGTAAATAGCAATTTGAATCTTCTTTCTGTTGACGGTTTTCTTTTTTACAAAATTTGAAATTAATCATATTTTTTTTCTGTTCGCCCCATTTAATCAGAAAGGTCCTATCCGTTTCATACTCGCCTGTGCTCCAGACAGTTAATTTTTTGACATCGTTCAACTAGATTTCTATTTAAAAAAGCATCAGAAATTTGGCATTTTACAAATTGTCACAACTCCTCATGTCACATTTCATATAAAGTAATTAAGTCAGTATGTTTTTACCGTTTGGCCTAAAAATTGTATTACTCTTCGCAGAAAGGGCGGTAGATGTGTATTTGTTGGGATTCCCAAGGTATGTATCTTTTGTTATGCTTTAAAGCCATAAAAACAGCTTTTTAACATTACTGCCAACACTGCTGTAAGTACAGAAAAAGATTCGATTCTGGTATGCGTTTGTTGACCAGTAGCTCACTGGCATCACAATACAAAAGGTTTTTATCAAGGGGCTTGAACTACACTTGCCTAGATATAGGTTTCATCTGTTACTATAAGCAATTACTGACTTGATTGATTTTAATAGGAAATGTTATTAAAACAAAGTTGTAATAGATAGATTAAGCAGTTTGCCATGGTTGCTGTGCTGCTGGGCTGTTGTGTGTTTGGACAATGACGTGACAGTGACAAAATGTCTCTTTTGAAAACTCAACGTCGCAGAAAAACATTTTGGGAACTTACTGTAAAAGTCTAACTTATTCAGAGACATTGAAAATACGCACAGAAGCATGGATGATAAAGCTTATGAATACCTTACTTTCAAATTCAATACCATTATTTTCTATGCATCAGAGTGATAAAGATTCTTTATTTCGACAGGAACCTCTTCACGTGGAAAATGTCGGTCGCGATATTATATTCAAGTCACTTACACTGAAAACTGTTCATGGACGAAAAATATTTCGATCATGGGAAGAATCAGAAAAGCTTATCCACGAAAACAAGTAAGAAATTTTTCTATTCGGTTTTCCTATTTCGCATCTCTTAACCTCTTCACTTCCTCTTCGAAAAAATCGCTTTTGGAGGAGTTCGTTTTCACCATAGGACTCCATAGGTAAACTTTTCAATAGGCAAGCGGCACTGATTGGGCAACCTCAACAGTCATGTGCTCGCGTTTTCTGATTGGCCTATTTCGATCCACAACTGGGTATAAATATTTCCTACCGTAAAGTTTTTCAATTTATGTTCTGACGTTTTATACTCTGAGGAATCTCAGACGAAAAGTATGACCCAATTATTTGTTCCTATTTTCAAAGCCAGTTTTATATTTGTACCACCAAAATATTGTTTGCTTTTCATTTCGTTTTAAAACTCTACATGGTCGTCTTAAAAATGTTTTCATTTTTCATCGTGCAGCCTCACCAATATGATATTCATTTCCGATGCCTATAAAGTATGCAAAAGGGCAAACACTTGTTTATATTTTCATCCAACCCAGGCCTCAAATATTACCGTTTTATGTGATTATTTTTCAAAATTCAAACTTAAATCTTACCATTTATGTCGAATTTTTTCCCCGAAAGCTGGTACACACAGAAACCTGTACGTATTCTTGAAATATTGGGAAAATATACTTTGAATTCAACCTTTTCCAAAATATCTCATACCCAAAATACTGAAAACGGAACAGGTTTTCCATTTTCCTTTTACTCTGAAAACAAATATTTATATTAATAAATTGGATTGACGAAGCAAGGAAAACCGCCTAACCCTGTTGTTGCACTGGGCGCTTAGTTGACAACGACTCTATTTTATGGGTAAGTCTAAACGATATAGAGATATAAGCTTTTCGTCTATTGAACACCTCCTTTAAAATACGTCGCATTAAATTCTTCAAAACACAAATATAGTGAAATACAAGTCCAAAGGAAAAAAATGAAAAGGAAATTATTTGACTACCGAGATTCCTTCAGAAAATGATACAAATAACTATTGACGCTATCAAGAAAAGCACGAGTCCGGAGAAAAGAATAACAAATTTGCGTTTTAAGGCTTACAGAGAAAGATAATGAGAACGTCTTTCTTTCCTTTATGTTACGAAATTGCGCTCATATAAAGCAATCATTTTGTACTTAGCGAGGATAGACAGCTGCGACAAAACATGAGCTTCTCCTCAGCTTTTACTTCCAGTGCCTGGAATTTCTAAAAGAGAGCAGTCGTTTCTCTAATACTTCCATCCTCTTAGAGGCCAGGTACGAGCAAAATGAAGCTATTTTTAAATTGGGGGGGGGGGGATTTTTAATAAACATAAAGAATTATTATGTTGAAAATATCGTACAGAGGTAATGTACAAATATGTACAAACCAACACAGTCATGGGAGAGAGGTATAAGAGGCAACACGTGCGCATTTCTAAACAGTATCATCTGCAAAACTTGGTTTGGGGACCCTCTAGTCATGGGAGAGAGAACTGAGAGGCAACATGTACAAATTTTCAAACTCAGTACGAACTGCAAACGTTTTGGTTTTGGGATCTTCTAGAATATTGAGGGGGCTCAAGCCCCCTGCTCTCTCTAACTACCCCCTTGAGTTTATCAAAGCAGATCCCCTTGAGGCAGAATCAATCAGGCATATCTTATATCAGAGGTCTATTGTGCTATGAGAAAAACATTGGGGTCCTGAGAAAAAAAATTCTCAAAAACTGCCAGCAATAACAAAGTACATACTGACCTGTCTCTACACCTCAGAAAAGAGGACACTGGCTAACACAAATATTCTTGAATTTTAGGGTTGATGTTAGCTGCATTATCACCCATGATTATCCAATGAGCAAGTTTGAAGAGGTAATTATGCCATGATACAAGTTGTGCAAAATTTGGGTTAAGGAAAGTTGTTTCTACTCATGTAGCACAACAGAGTCACAGCAATGTTGCAAAATCGCATTTCTGTAATTATGGAACATAAAAAGGGCAGGTGTACATCTTAGACCCCACTTCTCACAACTATTCTGTCATTGATAGCACAACTATCTGAGAGTAAGAAGGATTGTTTTCAAAATATATTCTTTAAAATAGGTTGAGGAAATTGCTACACTAGAAGGTTATTAGATTTTTCAAGGTGACATAATATTTGGTATTTCAAGCTTTGATAAGAAAAGAAATTATTTCCAAAAATGCATTTTTGTTCTTGCAGGCCTTCAGAATTCTTTTTGATGGTGAAGGGTGCAAGATTATCCTGGATCCTTCCAAATGATGGTGTAAATAATTATTTGACTCCAAAGATAATTGATTATTACGAAATTACAAGCAAACATGTCATTAAAATGAAATTACATTAGGAATGATAGGATAAGTACTTTGGTGATGTTATTTTATCTAAACTATGAAAAAGTATTGTTATTTGGAACAAGCTTTTTAACCAAAGGTATTATTATTTTCATTATCACAATGATTTTACAACAAGTCTTTTATTATTACAAGTTATGAACAAAATACCATTTGGCTAAAGACAAAATTTTATTGCCTGGTAATGGGTGTTTATGAGTATGCTTTAAAAGATGAAAATATATAATTTAAACAGGTACACAATATCATTTCAATTTCCTCAATATGAATGAGAACTACAAACATATATAAATATCAAATATATAATAAAAAATAGAATATAGACTAGAAATGAGACATTATAGTCTGTCTGATGAGTGCGCAAGCACGAAACTGGGAGTAATAGAGAACATGTCTCATTTCTAGTCTATATTCTATTTTTTATTATATCTATTGCTCTGTGCTTTTGCACATCGAGCACTGTCACGTCAGAATAGACAACGCAATCTGGAATAAATATCAAGATATATATCTAAATATTTCAAATGAGAAATTGTTATTTTATCATTATAAAAAACCTTAGTATAAAAATAATGCAGTGTTTAAATTGACAAGATAAAAATTCACAGTGTGAAAATTCACCCAAAAAACTTTCAAGCAAAAAGTTTTTAAGAAAACATTCTGACAAAACTAGTGAATTTTTTGTCTTTTTCTGAAGATAATGATATCTAGCAGAGTTATTAGATTAAAAAAGTGGAGCCGTGCGAGCAGTTGCAGGCCTAGAATTGGAGGGTATATACAAATACAAGAGAAGCATATTACTAAAAGGCAGCTGGTTTTACTAACCAACTGATTAACTGCAACTGTCCCCTACTTCCCTCTGTTTAACTGCACCTAGTTGCAGGTTAGGTTGATGAAGTTTCCTCATGTAAAGTGTCATTTTGATTGGGTTCATGATCTTTTGTTGACTCTTCCTTTGGTATGTGTTTAGGAAGGTTTAATTTACTCATAAGTTCTTCCAATTTGTTTGCTTTACGCAATTCATTCTCTTGAATTATTGTATACAAATGTTGAGTAAGTTCTTCTTTCCGCTCTTCCTTTAATTTTAGGTCCAGTTTTGAGTTGACATATTCTTTTTCTGCTTTTTCATGGCGTTTTCTAAAATAACATTAAACAGACAGTACATCATTAAAATAATGTTTGCAGTGACAGTGTAGAACATAAAAATGGCTTTGAAAAGAGGAAAGAAAATTTCAAAACATACTGTGAAATTATGACAAGCAACACTGATTGGGCAACCTGTACAGTCATTTTGGCCCCTTTTTCCATCAAAAACTGGGTTCATACATTTAATAGCTTAGGACTTTTTATCATTAGTCTGATGTTTCATACTCTGAGGAGTTTCAAGGGAAAACTTGAGTATGTTTTAAAATGTTTGTTTTTTCAAAGCCATTTCAAAAAATGATAGGTACATAACATATCTACATCTCTATTTGAAATGAAATTCAAGAATCTGAGATGCAACAATTGTAGAAGAAAAATATTTTGTTGCTTTGCCTCTAATAGTTGAAACACTGCAATATATATATATTGCAAAAAAGGCATGCTAAAAATGAAGTGGGGAAGAATATAAATGAGATTTGATAAGGAACATCACATCAAGACATAGAAGAACTTACTGTGCATGACAATATGAAATAGTTGCTTCTTCTATTTTAGATCTTAATATCTCCACATCATTTGCAAGCAAAGAATCAAGCCTTGCTAATTCCTTTTGAATTGTCTGTAAATTGACTGCCTCATTTTTGGCTTTTTTAAACCTGTGAAGATGAAAAACACATGTTAATGTTCTGTTGGATTTTTGCACCATTTGTCAGTTGATAATAAAATTATTGAAATGCTCATCTAGAATGATGCTTGGAGGTTTAAATTTTTTATCTTTAAATCAATAGGTTTCTTGTTACTGTCTAGGGAAAACTTACTAATGATTTTTCTGAAAAATATTTTAGGATTGATTTGATACCATAATTTTTTCAAACAGCTGTGCTTATTAAAATAAATCACAAAAATCTACAAGATCAATATTGAATTATTACACCATTAAAATGTCTGAAAAGTTAAAAATAAATGATTGCAACAAGATCATAGAAGAAAATAACCTTTAAAACAAAGAATGATGAATATAAATAAAACTGATTCTAGTAACCTTTCAGTTATGGTATCTGAAATTATTTTCTTTTTCACTTTATTTTCTTCTTCCATTTCTTTTTGTCTCTTTTGAAGTTTTTCTAGTTCTGTCATTTGAATTTCTGCAGCACTAAAATCGTTTGAAAAATTGCTAATACTTGGATTAAAATATTAAAAAAATATTAAAACTTAAACTAAAATGTGTTTTTGTTATATCACAATTGTGTGGCCTTCCATAAACATCAATTAAATTTTGTTTCTTACACTAGGGGCATGTTGACACAAAACTAAACAAGCAACCAATGAAAATCTTAACCTTGTCTTATAATTTTAAGTATGGAATTTAAGAATTGAACACAATTACTATTTCTTATTTGCCTTTCTTTATTCCTCTCCAACTAACTATTTCTAGATATTCTTCAGCACTACTAGGACCTTGATCTTGTCAGTTCTTGTGATCCCTCTTTAAATGGTTGATACTTCCTTTATATGGGCACATTATGGTATATTTACCCAACCAAGAAAATTCGTATAGAAACACTAAGATAATTCAATAACAAACATTAATTCGAAGAAAATCAATATCCTTACTCTTCATCTGAAATAATTCTTATATCCACTTCTTTCTGACTATTCAGATTATTTGTATTTGTGGCTGAGGATTCTGGAGATTCATCTTTGTGCTTTGTGTCATCCAATTCATTCTGTTGAGATTCCTTTATTGTTTCTTTTTCAAGATTGTTTTCTTGAAATTTCTTTTCTTTGGCAAGAGCCTGACCATTTTCTTTCTTATCATTATCATGTTCCTTCTTGTCATTCAACTAAAGATTAATTGAAATGAAAGAGTTAAAAAGACTCAAGAAATTTGAAAGTATTTAGAAAATTTCACAAGCCAACCTGGTGACATAACAGCACAGCTGCCCTCAAAAGCTCTGTTTACAGTCACATTCTTTAGGTATAATCATCAGGGTAAGGTATTTTTAACAAGATCTCGAGAGTGTACACAGCCAAAATTTTTTATGCCTTCTGAAAATCGATACAAGTTTTCTTTAATGATTCTGATTCTCGATTGGTGATACACTAAGTATGATTCTGGGGTTTTACATGCCACAGATTCTAGTCGAAATTTATCCAGAAAAAGATGGCTCAGAAATCAACCAGGCATAACTGTAGATTAAACTCCCTAAAATACAACTTGCAAGTTTTTATAGTGTAGGTTTGTCATGGTTAATGCTCGCAGCAGCTCTGGTGTAAAACGGGTCTGGAATGCAGATTGGTTTTAAAAGATTGGTCTGGTGCATTAATTTGGCATCTCAAAATTGCAACAGTTTAGTGTGATAAAGACCAGGGCCACAACCTTTTTAGGTGTGCATGAAAACAACGAAAGTTATATCAATCATGTGCGAATTTGATTAATTTTGCAGAGTGTAGACATGAAACTTTTCATGCAACATTTGATATGTGACAATCAGGCATCTACACTGAATAGTGCTAAAAATCGAATCAATTGAAGTTTGATAACAATAAAGTAATTTCAATGGTATATGGAAGATTAGGTTAGTGTGTGGCAGGGCCCGCAAATTGAAAGTGGAGGGGGCAAGGCCAGCAAAAGAAGGGGGTCAAAGCTTCTTTCCTCTTTTACTGCAGCTTTTAAACTACTTGCTTCGCAAAGAAGTGGGGTTTATAAGTAGGGATGGTGGGGCGGGCCCTGTGTAGTCTTAGTATTATTGCTTGAGTTTTACATTCACATCACAAGCCCCCACCTCTTTGGCAATACGATTGGACCTTGTTTTGTCTCTTTTCATATTTGCCTTGCGTCTTTGATCCTTTTTTACCGCAAGATTTGCTTTCAGCGTAATCTGTTGCCTTTCAGGATTCGTTCCATTTGTTTCTTGTTTCAAATGTTTCAATTCCTCGTCAGTAAATCCAGCCCATCCGGCCATGGTTTCCACGTCAATGGATTGGAAATGGTTTACACAGATCAATTCATTTGTTGTTGTGGTTGTTGTTGTTTTGCGCAACAACAACAACATCAACGTTTTCAAAAGATTTCAATCCAACTCACTGTCCCTCACTCACGAGAGATTTTGTCTTGCAGAAATCAAGAAGTAAAGTATGAAATGTAAGGACGTTTTATACATTTTTACACCCCTTTATAAACTTCTAAAAGTCCACTGTTGAAATAAGGCTGCCATTCATTTATTCGTTTTATAGTGTGAACATTTTAAGAGATGCAATCTTTTAAAAAACGAAGTTAGATATATTATGATATGTCATTTGTCAAAACTTTGTAACTGCACATTTCAATTATTGGCATGACCTTTCGAAATCATACCCAACAACAGGGATGGATCCAGAGCAAATTTGAAGGAGAGGCAGTTTGTTTATGGGGGCGCTTAAAAATTTTCAGTAATTGCAACGAGTGTTGTACGCTGTCATGACTAAATTTAGTAAAGGTCTCTTATTAAAATTTGTCCCTTAATAGATAAATTTTCCCGCTGAAGATTTGCTGCTCTGCTGTAGTGGCCTAAACTTTGCTAGAGAACTCTGCAAAAGGGGCTGACTTGAATTATTTTTCCTTACCAGGAAATGGAATTTCTAGGGGCCGAGAAAATTTGCCGATTTTGGTTGATAGCTGTATATTTAGACAGCGCTTTGAAGAATGCACCTAAAATTTAATAGTAAGTTAATATTGCAAGGTTTGATGAAGAGGGTGACTGTGGTTGGTGGCAGAGAAAGTTTAGCAACTATGAACTTCAGAAATATAGGAAATTGGTCTGGGATATTTACAACATCGACTGAGAACCAAGGACCCTTAGGGTAGGCAAAACACACAAATATTCAGAATTATGCTCCATAGTTTTTTTTGGTTTTATTTTGACATGAATATTGGACAACGTTTAAGCACAAAAAATCGACCACTGTTTGAATGACGGCAGAAATTAAAGAACACAACTTTATGGATTTGTTGTCTTCCAAAGTGTTATTTTTCTAGCAAAACATTTTCTGAAAAAACTTAACTTCAAGGTAATCCTCGAAGTAAATTAACCTTTAGGTTTCCAAAACTTTTTGACATGCTTCTTTTTCTTCAAAGGGTTGTGCACAATTTCCAAAAAGGGTGCCAGACCTGCTTTAACTCATTGAGAAAAGGGCAAATGCCCCTAGTTTACCCCTTAAAATGCCACTGCTCAACAAAGGAAAAAGAAAGCTATTGCATATGCTTGCAACTATGCTGGACTTCTTGTGCTCCCGCCATGGACCATTTCATTTTATTTCTATCATAGATGTTATAAGCAATTAATTAAAATTATTGAATAGATCTGAAGTTGCCTTAGAAACTAGAAACAGCTCATTGGCCTCGTCAAGGCTTGCTCTTGTGAAAGGTGGTCTTTTTTGGACAACAGAGCCCGTTCTACCAAGAATCGTGATGCAAAAAGGAGGTGAATCAAGGGGTTTTAGTCGGGCTATCTTAGTTCTCTTATTTTATCTTGATAAAACCCAATGAATTTACTGAAGATTGTGCATAAAATACTCATCATTAAATGTTTGTTTATGGGTATATTTAAATGAAGTTCTGCATGTGGAAATGGAAAAGAACATCATTTTGTTTGGAGAGTATATGACAGGGCAGAAGTAGATTGTCAAAGCATTTGGTGTCTGCCATTCTTGCAAATCTAGTAACAACAAAAATGGCATAGATCATCACATTTTTCCATCAAGTTTGAAAAGTCATTTGTTTTTAAGTGAAATTGTAGTGATTATCGTTTTAATGTTTTATAACAGGGATGAAAAAAATTTGAGAAAAAAGATAGAAGACCAAGTTGCTCATGAAAGAAAAGCCTACAAGAATGTTGAGAAGGTGGTTCTGTCTGATTCAATTGAAAAGAATGAATTTCAAGACATGGTATACAGGTTTTTGTTTAAGTTTGTGAACATCTATAGTTTTGTGTTTATAGTTTTGATAGTCATTTTTTCTAATTTCTGGTCCTTATGAAAAATAGAAATTTTCAAATTGTTTTTATCTATATACATAATTACCATCATTTTACCATAAGACCTTTATAAATCAAAATACCAAATACCAAATACAGCTAAGCCCTAACCTTGCAATAGCCTACTCTTGAATCAAACCCCCACCTCAAAGTCACTTTCTGCCATTTTGTAAATCTACTCTAAAATATTATACTACCTTCAAATAAGTGCCCTTTTTGAATAACCTACCAACCAAGAATTTATTTTTGATAATTAGCCTTAGGAATCAGTTCTCTCAGCTTGAGGCATGTGGTTGCACAACCCGTGGCTTGGCATACACATAAGCTAAACTAGGTAGGAATATCATCACACACTTGCTACTCAAAATGTAGCGATAGAGCATGCCACAGCCATTTGAATTTTGTAAATATTACTTTTTAGTTAGAAGCTTTGTCTTTTTGCCACTGTATAACTACAGAAAGTAATTTTTAGATTGAAAACATGTTAACAGTCTAGCTACATCTGTTCAGTACATTACTGTATGAATTTATGTTGGGACCAAAGTTTTCGAATTTCCTTTTGTTGGTGAGACTTTATTTAAGATTTAAGATTTAAGATAGCATGCAAAACTGTAACATCAATAGCACTGGTATTACTGCTTTTTCGTGCGATTTAAGCTTGATTTTATGAATTGCCCCCCTCAATAAATAATGTTGCTTGGAGGCAAACAATCAGCCATGCACCTGTTAAAATCTTTACAGAGAGCCCTTCTAGGTATCTTTTTAATCTATTCATTGCCACTCTTATTATCTTTTATTGCAAAACACAACTATGCTAGTGGTGGCTGATGTAGCTATTTGAAATTTTTGCCACTAAATGTTTCAGCTAAACGAGATCATGCCCGGCCACTATTCAGACATTGTTGAAGAAAGATCAATTTCAAAACAGTGTGGCTACCCATTATGTTCCAATGCTTTGAGCAAGGTAAGTGATCAAGGTTGTGAGTGGGTTTGATTTTAAACAACAGAAATTTCAACACTGGCAGGGGATTTGTTCTTTCTTTGACTTAGCTTAATCTGTTCATCAACACTGTACACATCAAGCTTTCCTGACTCAGGAAAATACATTGCAATATGGTCTTTGGTTAGTTTGATATTTTGGAGCAAAATGCTGGAATAGCAATGTGTTAATTTCACTTACCCATCAAAAACCAAAAGCCTTAATACTTTCCTGATTCTAGTTGACTTGGTGCAAATGAATACTTTTGCCACCCTTTACTTATACCTAAGCTTTAATAGAAAGTCCATGTGGAGATATCTCATATCAAGTCTGGAAAAGGGTGCTCTCTCCTTGATTAGCCTTGTTATTGAGAGAAATTTCACTTCCTGCAATTCATTACATACAGGCTTTTAATGTATGGACCAGGAATTAAGAACATCCTGTTCTATACTCGAAAAGTGTGTACAGCTCTGCCTAGAATATGTAGTGATAACATCTAAGCTTTTGTTTTGTTCCCGCTGTGTTTTTCATGCTACGCTTCGCTGCTTGTATATACCGCTGTGTTTATTTTAGAAATAGTTAGTTGGTTCGAAATAAGATAATAACACGACGTACGTCTCTTACTATCGACTTCGCTCTTCAATAATTCGTCCTTCGAGACTGTTACTTTATTAACAACACAGGTTGTTAAAAATACGTCAACCACTTTATGGCAACCAGTAAACAGTTTTTTGTGAACAATTTTTTTGCGGTACAGAATTTGAAAATGGCTTTGAAAAAAGCAAACATTTTACGACATACTAAAATCTTTTTCGTCTGACACTCCTCAGAGCATAAAACTTCAGAATAGGGTTTTTATTATATATATAACAAATTTTCGATTTATTATGTTATCATATTGTAACTTTGTTTTATATTTGCTTTGTATATAATTTTTATTGTACATAGTATTATCTAGTAGTGCAACTGAGAAATTGTATGTAGAGAAATTTTTCAAAGAATGAAACTGAATTAGATGTAAGTTATAAAAGATATTTGCCTAACCATCAACTTTTTCAGTGGGTGGGTACACAACTCTCTTTAAAGTTGTGTCATACCCCATAATTAACATAATATGATTTTCGTTTAGCTTATATGAGCTATTGTTGAATTTTGTATATGTTTAGTGTTTGTGAATGCATTCTTGTCAGTCAATGTCGTGGACACGACATTGTGGAGGAGTAAAATAGGACAAATAACTTGATAGGTCATCTGAGTTCTTTTTATTTGCCCTATATGCTTTATTAATTTTAAATATGTTTAATCATGTAGCATGTGATTAGAAGCTTGAATTTATTATAATTGAATTGAATTGAATTGAATTGAATTGAATTGAATTGAATTGAATTGAATTGAATTGAATTGAATTGAAGGAGGCTATTTGTTAAACTTTCCTTGCTTTCTCTATTGCTTGTAGGCTCAATTTTTTCAAAACGTTGTCGCCAAACCCATGTTTTTTCTTTTCTGTTTGCATAGCAATTTAATGAACTCTTATCTATTTAACAGGTTCCTAGACAAAAATTTCATATATCGATGGAAAGGAAGCAAATTTATGACATAACCGAAAGGAAGGTTAGTTTGCTAAATGTTTTTAGAAAAATAAGCATTGCTTTTTTACTCAGGTTGATGTTCAGCCTCTGCCATGCTTGGCAAACATTCAATGCGCAAAACACTGTTTAAAGGCCATATGTCTCTTTAGCGGTTGGCTAATAAAACAAGAGCGTTTGGAGTGATCGGGTCACAAAAACGGATACTGTCAAAAACAGAGCAGTGTGAATGGGGCCCACGTTACAGTTTCATGTTTTGCCAGCATTTGCAATTATATTGGGTAATGTACGGAGTTTTCGACGTTGTTTGATGGACTTTGAAGACATAATCGAACTTTCAATTGCTGTCAATCATCACAAAATGCTTATATCGATGCCTGACCACCATAACGAGCAAGTTATCAAAAAATTATTTTGTAGCTCGTTTCTCCTGCCAAATCTATTTTTATAATGTTTGCTGATATACGATTTATTTCGTTGTGGTCAGATCCTTTACTTCCCTTTATTCCATCCAAGGTTTTGACAATGATGCACAGAGCGCTATTTCCACGTGACCGTATATCCATTTTAGTCACATGAAATTATTGGATAATGATATTTTTTCACAGAAAATTTCTGTATAGACTATCACAAAAAATTCAGTAGCAAAAAGTTGCTGATAATATCTTAAATTCTCTTTCTTATTTATGTATCTCTTGCTTTCTTCAACAAAATAATTTCATTGCACATTGGAGACTTTTAATATAACAAATTCCAAACTGTGTGTAAGAAGGAAGAACCGCAGGATAGGCTGTCAGCCTGATTCTGTGGATCTTGCAATGATTAATAATACGAAAGATATTCAGGAACAAAGAAATACGACGACGAAAATCCAATGTAACGAGATAAAATTTTCAAAATAAATCAAATTTAAGGAATACTAATTCCAAGCTACTTTTTCACGGGCAATTTATAGACAAGCTTTTTTCCTGAAAATATTTTTGATGAAATATGTATGATATTTTTCATCAAGTGTTTTATATCTGCATCCTTGGTTCGTTTTGTTATAATATCTAGAAGGCCATGTTTATCAGATCCTTAAAATTGTCGACCACCCTTTTATTTTCATGCATCTATTGAATTACTGCAACTGGAATTGAAATTACATATCTCCTTGAACGAACATTTATCAGACGTTATTAAATCTTAGGATTCTTAGAATTTTTACTTGCATTTCCAGTTCATGGTTCGTTGCGAGTAAACTGTTATGCTAAAACTTAAAGCTTCTCTGGTCTCATCTCTTTAAAGTTCGCGATTCATCCCTAAATATGAATAAAAAAAGCGATAAATTAAGTACAGATAATTTTCATATCATTTACGGTATTATTTAATGTATCGATGATGTTTTGTTTTAAGAGTGCAGACAACTCTATGGAACTCTCTTTTAGACTGTAAAAATTTTCCAATTACAAAATGCTCGATTTATACGAGTTTTTCGAAATATCTTTAATTTTGCCTCTGTTATTCCTAAATTTAAAAGCCTTTTTCCCGTGTAATTGCAACTTGGAAAACAGTTGTAAATCAAGTCGCTAGTGCGTATTCTATTTACGGTACGGCATGGGGGTAGGCCCGAACTTAATCGTTTTTCCCCGGAGAAAATTTTACAAAAATGACTTAAATAACAGCAATTTATTTAACAGCCACGAAAGTATATTTGTAGTCAACCCTTATCGTAAATATGCTTTAAGTTTGAACTAGAAAAGGCTGTTTTCCTCAGGTAATGGTGTGATGTGGAGCTATAAAATTGTTTGAATTACGTAAAGTTCAGATTTTAGAGATGCGGATTACAGGGGTATTTTTAAGGGTTTATCGAGAGATTTTCATAGGACCGGAGAAATTTGTTCAAATTAGTAAAAGTTCGAATTACGAAAGTTCGAATTAGACAGAGTTTATTAGGATGAACGTTACAAGCTCTGCAGGTTTTGCCGCTCATTCTTAAGTAGAGTGTAGTGTTATCATTTGGGAATGTAAATGATCACACTAAAAGCGTATGATCATATCAGTGAAAGTATCACATTCTAACTGGTGTGAACGAAGCCTAAGTAGCCCCGAAGATGAAAACATATATGTTAAATAAGCACCGAGGAAATCAAAATGAGTCATGGCAACGTGATACACCGGTATTACTTCACGTAAGCAAGGCCTTAACTTGTTCCCTTTTTTAGTTGGAGTTGTTAGAGAAAGGGCGAAGCCCTAACAAGGGAAAATAGGGAGGGGTTTAGGAGGAAAGATCGAGCTTGTTAATTTTAGTTTTGAATAAGACAGGTTTTAAGCTACCTGAATATGCCCTAATTTGCTTAAATGAGTACATGAGACCGCAACCGAATATTGCGGCTTTCATTGTTCTAAAAACAACCGATAGCTTCCATTTTAGACTTTGCTTTTCCTTGAAGCCTTTTATTTTATTCTTCTATTGTGTAGAATCCAAACTTTTGCAAACAAATTTTCTCCATTTTCTTTTTTTTTACAAATTTGATATCTTGTCTCTATCTTACAGTGTTACTGCAGCAGCCAGTGTTATAAAAATAGTAAATATGTTGCATCGCAGATCCCCTCATCTCCTCTATGGCTGCGAAAAGACAAGTAAGTATATAGAATTGAGCCATATCATCAACGCCTTTGATTTGCCATTAACATACAATGTTGCAAATTGTAGACGCATTAAGCAAGAAAGATTTTTTTCATTGATGTGTTTTGGAATCTGTCTACAATCTTTACTTTTTTAGCAAAAATTGGTTGATTTTGCAAAAACGTTTTAGTAACATGTTTCAAAATGGTTGCTTTTCAAAGCCATTTTTAAATTCTGAACAACAAAAAGATTGTTAACAATTTATTAGAAAGTGCTGTGCTGTACATAGGTTTTGTGTTTTTTGTTCCCTTTAGAATTGAAATCGAGTTTCTTGAAGATAAATTGAAGGTAGAGGACGAGCCGGTAGAGCAGGAGTGAGTGTTTTTCATGTTTATCTTTTTTAAACTTTAGTTTGACTAGGCAGTTTCTGTAATATTGTATGTTCCATGCTTATATTGTCTATCAAAGCTGCGTGTTATAAGCTGGACAATAGAAAAGTTCAATCCTTGCCAAGGGGAGGGGAGGGGGTGATTTAGCAGTGAACCCTCGGGTTGCCACTTTTGGATTTTAAGATTTTGGTGTTCTATCTATTTTGGTAAGAATTGAAGCTGTCATTTTTTTGAAATTTGGTCTTACTTTGTTTTGTGTCGTTGTTGCTGTGTGCTAATGATACTGCAGAGAGTCATTGCAGATTTTTATTGGTTGCTGAAGGTTCATGTAGGTCATAGCTCATTGAAGATCATTCTCCTCACTTTAATTCATTTCACAGTCAACCAGCGCATTTCTTTTTATACAGCAAAACACTATCCCCCTTTCATTACAACAGCAAAATTTTGCGTTTTGTATTTGAATGATTTCTGTATTTTTCAGGATTTTTGATGCTGATGATACCAAGCTAGAAAATATGCATCTTTCATCTCCGGTGGCTGTTATTAAGGAAACAGCCACTGAAGAAAAGCAAATTAGACCTGGGCATGAAGCCCATTCGAAGCCTGGCGACGAAACTTTAGATTCGTCTTATACCAGCCATCTAGAGACTGCTAATATCCCCTCAAAATCTACAAGCATCAGTACGAAGTCGATGAAACTTGAAGGTGTTTCTAAAGGCGGTAGTACAAAGTTGATTGACCTTCCGGAGGAGCCTGTAGTGAAGGGGAAAGACATTGACACTGATAAGTTGTGCAGTCTGCTGCAAGAATGGTGTACGGTTGATACATATGAATATTTCAAAATGATACATAGCGAAGTTGAAAGTCAAGAAGAAACTCAAACCACACAAGGTATTTAGAAATTCATTCATAGGCATCAGGATTTTGTGGTATTGTGTTTCAACTGAGTGATAATAATCTGTATTTGGTAATTCTTAAACTTTCGAACTCACCATAGCTTTATATTTTGTCATATAATATGATACTAAGTGTATTAACCAGTAAGGTAAATGTGTTTGCCTATATATACAATCTATACTTCAGGGAAGTGCCAGTTGAGAAGTCAGTTGGCCTGGGCCAATGACGGCATGATGATGTTCGGATTACAAGCTCTTTCACTCGCTGCCTTTAGCCCCCTCCACTCCAAATGCTACGTAAAACCGATAATATGAATTTAACAGTATTATATTCTATCAAGTAATACGACTTAAAACTTAGTGATAACCATGTCATCAAATATGGTGTTATCTGATACAAATCATTTTTTCCTGATGTCGTATTTTATGCACCATAAAAAGACCAATTTCTAATGCTTGCATAGTAGCTTTCCATGTGGAGATATCTCATATCAAGTCTGGAAAAGGGTGCTCTCTCCTTGATTAGCCTCGCTATTGAGGAAATTCCACTTCATGCAATTCATTACATACAGGCTTTTAATATATGGACCAGGAATTAAGAACATCCTGTTCTATACTCAAAAAGTGTGTACAGCTCTGCCTAGAAGACCTCAACCACTTTATGGCAACCAGTAAACAGTTTTTTATCATATATATAACAAATTTTTGATTTATTATGTTATCATATTGTAACTTTGTTTTATATTTGCTTTGTATATAATTTTTATTGTACATAGTATTATCTAGTAGTGCAACTGAGAAATTGTATGTAGAGAAATTTTTCAAAGAATGAAACTGAATTAGTTGTAAGTTATAAAAGATATTTGCCTAACCATCAACTTTTTCAGTGGGTGGGTACACAACTCTCTGTAATGTTGTGCCATGCCCCATAATTAGCATATGATTTTCGTTTAGCTTATATGAGCTATTGGTGAATTTTGTATATATTCAGTGTTGGTGAATGCATGCTTGTCAGTCAATGTCAGGGACACGACATTGTGGAGGAGTATAATAAGGCAAATAACTCGATAGGTCATCTGAGTTCTTTTCATTTGCCCTATGCTTTATTAATTGTAAATATGTTTAATCATGTAGCATGTGATTAGAAGCTTGAATTTATTATAATTGAATTGAATTGAACTGAATTGAATTGAATTGAAGGAGGCTATTTGTTAAACTTTCCTTGTTTTCTCTAGTGCTTGTTACTGTAATGAATTTAACAGTATTATATTCTATCAAGTAATACGACTTAAAACTTAGTGATAACCATGTCATCAAATATGGTGTTATCTGATACAAATCATTTTTTCCTGATGTCGTATTTTATGCACCATAAAAAGACCAATTTCTAATGCTTGCATAGTAGCTTTCTACGAATTCATTTTTCTACAAGACCTTCGTGTCTTTTTTGGTACATTTTCTCTAATCCTTAATTTTTTCATGTATTTATGATATTTGAAAAGTTGAATACTGACTGCGTTGCATATTCTAGTCTAATTAATCGATTCTAAAATTGCTGTAAATGTCATGAACATCTCATAAGTGGCTGAGCAATACTTGTTTTTCCATTGATAACATACTCAAATGGAAAGTCAAATGTCTTTTTTTGTTTACCAGCTGAACAAAGGTCGTCATTCGAGAGAAGGAAAAAGTCAGCAAAACGATTTTTGCAAGAAAACGAAGAATGGGAGCAGGAAGTGACTTCAAAAGATGTAGGACCAGTTGTAAGTATCAACATATCAAAACTGCTTCTTTATAATTACCATCATGTTTATAGAAAGATCTAATATCAAAACGGACTTTCCTTAGATAAAACATTTATTTTGTCGGATGGGTGAATCGAAGATATGCTTGTTTTGTTCCATTTAAATCTATTACTTTAAGCATGTTTTGTATTGTTATGTCTGTCCGTTTTGTTAAAATGTAAAGTGTCTAAGATATAAGTAAATTTCAATCACATAAAAGCAAACAGTCTCTTCAAACAGTTCAAATTCTATCTAAATTATCAAATATTGATAGCATTTTGATATTTTAAATAGGAAATGATAAAATATTATTTTTCAACAATTATGAATCTGCCTTGTATCATCTCATTTTTCTACTTCATATGCTAATTCTCATTTTGGTAAACTAAATATTATTCAAGTCTTAGTATGGTGTTGACCGTTCAGTAGTTTGATGTTAAGTGACAGGCTATTTTTGTTTGATTTGTTCATCATTAGGTTTCAAAGAAATTTGTATCGCCACTAATTGATTCAAAATCCCAACAAAGCATCAGAAGAAGAATAGTTTCCGAAAAACTGAAACATAGGTCAGTTTTATATTTTTCTGCTCTTCGAGTATAGCAGATTCATTATATGCACACTTGTTGTTCACACACGAATCAAGACAAATCTCCAAATACCTGTTGCAAAGATGACAACTGTCAATTTCTATGAAAAGAGATTGTCACAGCTGTGCTTGTCTTGTAATAGCTCTACATTTTTTATGTCATTTTATTTTTCTTTGCTTATTATCAGCCCATCTGTTAAAGACAATACAGGTTATCCACAACAATTTCAAATTGCCAGGCCAGTCGTCTGCTTTGTTTGAATGCAAAAGGTCCATAGCTCGTCCGAAATGTAGCAATAATAAACGACTCTGTTGCACAGGGGGACAGTTCTTGCTTCACTTTTCTTTCACTTTTTCGATTGCTGTTATTTTGCCTCTGTTCATAAATTTATGAAAATAGACCAGATTACAGCGGTTTGATGAGGAAAAAGACTGTGCTCATGTGACCATGTCTAAGCCAATTTTAAACACATTCAACTGTTTTGCATATATTTAGAGGTATTTCATAATGCTTTTTCGGGCTATAGGGTCCATGTTCAAAATTCTAAAAATAGATTTTTCTGACGTCAACGCTTAACAACTTTATGATATCACTGCTGTAAAAGGCTTTCTCTAAATGAATTTGTAATGCGTAAAACGAGAGCAATCCTGCAATCAAAGTTATGTAGTGCCTTTTCAACAGAAAAACATTTGGGATGTTCATCGCAGTCGTTCAATAGCAAATTTGCTTGATTTTGTTGGTTTTTTTAAGCTAGTGGTGAAAACACGATAATTGAGCAATTATGGTAGGATTGCCTTTAAAAAATAGCAGGGAAGATGCTCTTTTATGAAAAGAAGATAATTTCTTTGCCGGGATAATAATCCTGTTCTTTTCAGTCTTGTTAACTTTGCCAAATTCCCATATTGTCTTCTCTTACACATGCTGCTCCCAAAAGGCAGAGTATATAAGGCACGGTAGAATAAATTTGGCAAAAAAGTACTATAAAATTTGTATCAGTCAGTTCTTTGGGTAATTCTTTTTAATATTATCATGCAAAAGCAAACGGTAAAAGCGTTTCCCTTAGTAACTGCTGTATCTGCTATACTGGTGTAGGGTCCTGTGAATGACTGTTTTATGAAATGACTATTTTTTAAAGTGTCAAATTTTTAGGTGTCCAGTGTTAAGTGTCAAATTTTCGATAAAGATGAGCTTTAAAATACTAAGCATGATCGCCTTTTTATGCTTACATGTTTCTGAAGAAGATGAATTCCTACAGTTATTATTAAAATGGTATGGGACTGATTTGAGCGTGATGACATAGGCCGCGTTATGCTGTGTTTAATAAACTCAAACATGGCTTTGAAAAAAGCAAACATTTAGTAAACTAAAGCTTTTCGTCTGATACTCTTCGGAGTTTAAAACGTCAGAACATAGACCGAAAACTCTACGCTAGAAAATATATATACCCAGTTGTGGATCGAAATAGGCCAATCAGAAACACGAGCACATGACTGTTGAGGTTGACCAGTCAGTGCCGCTTGCCTATTGAAAATGTTACCAATGAAGTCCTAACGTGAAAACAAACTCCTTTTGTCTACACAGTAGCGGTTTTTTGGTGCTCATGTAGATAGATTCCAAAACTGCTAGGTGGAACGACGATCGGGCTTTACCAATAATCCGAAACATGTCGCCATTATAGTTTTTTGCACAATCTTGGTTTTCCAAAAGATTTTAAAAAAGTGCTAGCCTTTTATGAAGTCAAACTATGATGAAAATTGACCGCAAGCACAATTGTAATTTTTAGTTTAGCAATGTCATCCATCAAATAGTAGGGTTGAAATAAGGAGCAGGAGTGTTAATAAATAACAAACAAATAAAGGAGCTCCTGTATATGGCAGACATCAGAGTAAGCTACATAAAAAGGTTTCAACACTGTCAAAATGCATTTAAAGTTTCTGTGTTTTCTTTTCCGTTTAAAACCATAACGAGTAATGTCTTAATGTTTACTTATCTTTCGTTCTCAATGATGAATTACTTTGTTCAAAGTTTGCGTGGATAGGGTGGGTTAGAAGGAATTGGGTAGCTTGATTGCGTGGACAGGGTGGATTAGAAGGGGTTGGGTAGCTTAATTGCGTGGGTAGGGTGGGTTAGAAGGGGTAGGGTGGTTCAGAAAGGATTAGGTAGCGTGTTCTATCACGTTAAGATCTGTAATTTGTAACTTTTTGTTTTATTCTATTTTATGCTGTTTTTTATAGTTTAAATGACTTGAAAATAATAATTGAAAATTAATGAAATGAACAGGGCCTTAAAGAAATGTAGCGACGCTGCCAGGAAACTTTTAGCACAAATTTATTGCAGGAAATTGTTGCTGTTTGCCAGGAAATTTTTAGCGTGAAATCTCCATTGCTTGATTTCAATATGAACATTTTTTCATGCTATGCACTCTTTCTACGAAAAGGTGTTTTCTTGTGATATACAAACATACTGTATAACTTTTGTTCTGCGCTACTAACAAAAAACAAAGATTAGCTTTCAAAATACAATCATCTGGTATTATCAGCATCTGTTATACCAAATTTCGGGCATGATTTTCAGCTACTAATTTCATTAAAGGAAGCTAAAACAAAGTTCATTTCTTTCTATACATTAGCCATTCTATATATGTAAAAACACTTAAAGACAGCCAATCTTGCTACGTCAATTGTTTTGAAAATGAACATGCCCCGAACCCTGCGTGGATGTGGCCATTATTATTCGTCTTCTCGACTGGCATTCACATACATTTTTCATCGCTTGCTTTATAGAATGTAAGCGTTTTGGTCTTACATCTTTGTCTCTAGCACCACCTCTGATAGAAACATTAATTTTAATCATTCAAAAATAAAAAGTATTCTTACATGTTGTATGAACTTTTAGCTTTGATGATAAAAATGAGCAGCAAACATGAAACCCAGAGCAAGATGTAGGATGAACCAATACTTAAAAAGTATCTAGTTTGCTAGTACTGATATGAAATTTGATCAAAGTTATTATAGATTTAATATCTACTAACTTTAACCTTGAGAGCAAACTATTAGTATTGTGCTCGGTCATGTTCTTCTTGATCATCTAATACAGTATAGACAAAATTATTGCTGTTCGAATAGCTATCATCAAAAATCGAGGACCAGCAATAAAATCTTTTTTAGTATGACAGTTTATTTTTAGGACAAATTTTTAAACAAATCAAACAACTTAAAGTATAACTTTCAGAGCCTGGAAATTTTGTCGAAGCTTCACAGGAAATCTTGAATTGTTTATTTTTGCTGCCAGAAAGAAAAGCCCTTTTTCAAGGCCTGGAAATAAATGTTGAAATTAGACATTTATCTTTGTAACTATTATAGAATTCTTTTGATTGTTAACAGATTTACAAATTTATGTAAACTGTTAGTTTCTCATTATCAATTTTTATATTCTTTTGAATCAATGGCCAAATGTTACAACAATGTGTCCTGCCAGTGAGCACCCCTACAGAATAAGGCCAAAGTGTCCATATGAAATTTTCAAATGAGTGTCCTTAGCACTTATGCAGTCATTTGCTGTTTAAGATTGAATTTTGCACTCTGCTGTCAAAATTTAAGACAAAAAGCTAAACGTTTTACAAGAAAGTATGTTGTGTTTGCCTTCGCTTGCAGTTGCTAATTTCTTTCTTTAGATCATCTACAAGTAACCTGAGATCAGGTGCTCATGGCAGAGGAGGCTTTTCCATCCAAGCTTTTAGTCTGAGCCTGACCTCAGCAGGAGTGGCGGCATGGGGGGGCAAGGGGGGGCTTTAGCCCCCCCTAGATTTTTGTAAGCCCCCCCGTCGGCAGCCAATCCATTTTTGCTTTCTCAATACCGTCGGCACTTGATGGATGTCACCCGGTTTACATGTTGTTTGAATGACATAAATAATCGAGGAGAAAACTGCACTGGCTGGTTTATGGTTTTCTCAATGGCTTTTCTTCGGCTAAATTACTGTCATAGTGGCATTATATCCTGTCGCTTCCGTGAAAGCTGTGACTTAATTTCATGGTGCTCCTTCGCATGACCCACAATACCATCGTGCTCCTCTCGGTTGAAATCCCTGTTGCTGCTTGGAATTCATGCGAAACGTGCAGAGATGCTTGATTTGGATCATGTTTTGGACCGTTTCAAGGAAATTTACCCTAACAACAGCAAAATCACGCTGTCATAAATAAAGTCTTTAATGAATTTTCTTCTTAAGGGATTCTCTTTTCGTTTCAAGACATTATTATTGCCAATGAAAACATTTCGATCATGAGCACATTTTGCGTAATAATTTTTTCAAAAAGCACTCTTTGTCCTTTTTCGTCAACTATTTTTCAATAGCATTGTTCACCGCATAGCTCGCAAAAAACAAATGGTTTAGAGAAAACCGTCGATTAACTTCTTCCAAAATAGATAGGAAGAAAAATTCAACAATAGGCAATATTTGCGCATTAAGTTTCTTACAAGGCACAAATTGCCGAGAAAATCTCGTGGACTCCGACACAGGTTGGAAAGTGGGAGCGGGGAGGGAGAATTTTGCACCCACAACAAACGATTTTGTAAAAATGCTTTATTGCTTGCTCTATATGCTTGCTTGCTTTTGGAAAAATGCTCTTTATCGGTGCTCCTTCATTGGAGGTGCTGCTCAGGGGCGTCGCGACTGGGGGTTGTCACACCCACCCCAATAGTATCTCAATAGGGAATTTCAGGTAAAATCCGCTCGGTGGAAGAAACGCTTTAGGTATTTCAGAGACCTTCCTGTCATAAAATCAATAAAGGATCAAGCAATCTTAGGTAAAATTGTGCCTCGTATCCATTTCTCCTAAAGTTTCTCAGTAGAAGCGTCAACTGCAATTCACTATGAGCTCCAGATTTTTCTTAACATTCATAAGGCATGCTAAGATGGAGAGAGAGATCTAAACTTAAAAGTAATTGACAACCTGGTATTTTTCAAGACCACGGCGAAATTGTTGTTTTTATCTGCTGTAAAAAAGTTTTGCAAAAAGACAATAATTTTCAATAGGATTAGGAGGATTGCTTTAGTGAAATCTGCTTTAAAGAGTGCATTTTCCAGGGAACTAGAAGCATCACAATTCGAAAATTTCCTGCCCCTTCCGCGGCAACCATGGTGCCGCCTCAGGTAGTGACTATATATTTTGCCCGTCCCGATATAGAGATTTGACAAGACTATTTAGGAAAGTCGGTTATTATCATACAGAGTTAGATTGACAAAATGTATTGCAGAGGTTTGTGACACCAGCTAAAAAGTTTCAGGCAATAATTTTTTAATCAGGTAAATTTGCATTCCACACCCCCCCCCCCAAACGAGGCTTGCCTCGCGACGGCCCTGCCTGCTGTATGGGGCAAATCGAATTTTTTTTCTGTCGGCAATTTGACACATCCAGCGTCGGCAGTTACGGAGAATATAAACTTCGGCACCTTGAAGGTTTGTCTCTAGCGCCACCCCTGGTCAGTCAACGTAAAATTGGCATCCTTGTCAGATTTTGTTTCAAAGAACGAATTATTTAAACTAACTTTGCCTAACTTGTTTTGACAAAATTAACGGACTTCGTCTGAAAGAGAAGCAGATGATTCTGTAGAGAGAATGAAAAGTCTTTTTACGTTGGCGGGAATTTTGTTGTTACTTTGTTTTCCAGAGACGATTTCGTTTTGGGTGTTCTGTCCATGATTTAGGTCATGTGACTGCAGTTATCCGACACAGTGTAAACGGAAGGGCAAAGTGGACAAAATTTGTGCGGCACAGTCTAGACGCAAAACAATCCGAACAAGTTTTATGCGGATAAAATTTTTTCCGGCACAGTGTAAACGGCACAGTGTAAAAGTCTTTTTATGTTGGCGGGAATTTTGTTGTTACTTTGTTTTCCAGAGACGATTTCGTTTTGGGTGTTCTGTCCATGATTTAGGTCATGTGACTGCAGTTATCCGACACAGTGTAAACGGAAGGGCAAAGTGGACAAAATTTGTGCGGCACAGTCTAGACGCAAATCAATCCGAACAAGTTTTATGCGGATAAAATTCATCCGGCACAGTGTAAACGGGGTCTAAACCTAGCTATAGGGACTGGACCTAGCTATAGAACAATAGAATGCCAAAATGGCATCGTTGATTTAGCCAATCAATAGGCATGATACCACTCAGACGATCATTGATTGGACAATAGTTGATTGATGGATGGCTTTCATAAACTCTCGCTCTTTAGAACATGCCACAACTATGACACGTGCTATGAAAATGAATACATGAAACGAGGACAGGTTCAGTACCGTGCTACCCTGGGTACCAGACTCACTATATAAAATAATAGAGAGTCTGGTCTAGTGCGCCCCATTCTCGTTCTGGTGAACTTACTTGAAAGAACTGAAGTCTATTTAACAGACTAGGCCTGTGAAACAAGACTGTCAGATAAATAATAAAGAAACTCAGTAGTCAGAGGAGTTTTGGGAAATCTTAAAGCAAATGTGTTTTATTAAGTTCTTTAAAGTCGACATTTTTAATACAGTGGTAATAGACTTTTCTGCCTCAAGATAACAATCAAATCAGGTTTAAAACGCCATTTGGCAGCAAAAAACATGTGCGAAGCATGAAATTAAAGTTAGCACAATGCAGTTATTAAATGTTAATCATTATCAAATTTCGTATACAACTTAAAATAAGTCTTTTGTAATTTTCCTCATAAATTGTGTGTACTTTGAACGTCTACTTCCTCACTGTGAAGGCAGCGCGCTTGGACACCGCGGCGGTTAGAATCATCACGTTGGAAGGTCACCACAGCAAATATGGGCAATATGACAAGCGAAGCCCCGTATGCCGGGCGAAATATTAGCTATAACTGATTTACTGTGTTTGTTGTTGTTTGTTCTCGGCGCCTTGCGGTGTTTCTTATCTACTGCATTTCACTACAAGGCCTAATTTCTTTGCAACGAGAGGCACAGCCTGAAATATCAGAGACTTTCCAAAGCCAGTTGGCAATATGGCGAAGGTGTCTCTTCTCTCTACAAACAAGGCTTTCAATGCTGTTCTGTGTTCAGTTCCACAACATGCGGAAAATATTCTTTGAGTACAGTTTTAACAGCATCTTCAAACTCAATCGTTACGGTCGCTAGCATTTATTTATGTTCTGTTCTGTTCAATGTTTTACACCAGAGCTAAGTTTATTGTTTCGCTGTGACCTTTGAACGTACAGAAATCTGTACACTCGCTCCTGATTGGTTAATATCAGCACACCAGAACGAGAATGGGGCGCACTAGACCAGACTCTCTATTTTATTTCATATATAGTGAGTCTGGTACCCAGGGTAGTCAATAATATGAAACGAGTTCAATAAGGCTAGCTCTCGTTCAAACCAGATCGTTTAAATAGATAATTTTTTTATCTGGTTACATCATGTAACCAGTTGTCTTCCAGCTTGTGTTGTAGCTGTAACCAGATGCATGCGACCAGTACTGAAAGCGGGTAATCTAAATGTTTGACCAATTGATTTTTTAAGACTTTTTCATATAACTTTGAAAAAGTATTGAGAACACTTACTGGGCACACTTACTGGGCAAACTGCCGCTTTTTGCATCGTTTGAGAAAACGAAAATTTCGAATGCTACAGTTTATTGGACATTAAAAATGAAAGTGAAAATAGGCCTGTAAAGGGAGGGGGTTGCTTTCTCCATGTATACTTTTGGTTATAGTTCTTTTGTGACATAAGCAATTGATAATCTGCATTTACATATGAACAGCTACATTAAAACATATGAAAGATGAGGAATTACTTACCAACACGACGACACACCTCTTGCAATTTATTTTCGGTCTCCAGAGATATCCCGAGAATTTCAGACATCAGCTCCTCGGCCACCGGAATNCCCCCCCCCCCCCCCCCCCCCCCCCCCCAACGAGGCTTGCCTCGCGACGGCCCTGCCTGCTATATGGGGCAAATCGAATTTTTTTTCTGTCGGCAATTTGACACATCCAGCGTCGGCAGTTACGGAGAATAAAAACTTCGGCACCTTGAAGGTTTGTCTCTAGCGCCACCCCTGGACCTCAGGCTTGTTTACTAGTTGACTCCATATCCCTGTTATCTTTCCTGGTCTTTTTCTTTGTTTACATTGAAATACTTGTTTACATTGTCAAATTCCTATTTTGTCTTCTCTTGTACATACTTGCTCCAAAAAGTTTTGTTTATGAATTTCACATTCATCAAAAATAAATGCTGCTTCTTTTTGTTTCACAGCTTTACAGAAGTTTTTTCCGAGTTATGTCTTTCATTAGCTGACTTCAAATTTGACCTGACATCACTCATAAAAACGTTCAAGTAAGTTCAGTTGTTTGTTGACAAATGAAACTGAAAAATGTTAATTGAAAATCTTTCAGTTAGTTTTAGCTTTATTTCAGTTATTATTTTAGGTAATTTTAATTTCATAAGGGTGTCTATGTTGACAAGATATACTTGTTGTACTTTAGCAACTGTCATGCATATATAAGGTGCAATATATCATCAAGTCAGAGATACCATATAGTCTAGAATGAAATATAACCATTATGACAATGATAAGGGTGCCAGATTCTCCATAAATTTCAATAACTTTTGTTTGACTTTTCACAGGTTTACAAGTCTGAATATAACATTGCATCCAAAAGAATGGAAGGTTGTTGCAACAGCTATTTTGCATATGTAAGGTCCTTTTTTGCTTTGCTTTGTAAACAACTCTTATAATAGTTTTGCCTTTCATCTATCTCTTTTGAGGACTTTGCATAGTTTATCTTAAGTTAAAGTCTATTCTATAGATAGAAATTTATTTCAAAAAGTACCCATAATTCTTAGATTTTGTTCTTAGGAAAAGCAGGAATAACTGTGAAAATATCAAGATAGAATGTTATTTTAATGGGACATTGCATAACTTTTTACTTAACCAATTATACCCACATGCATCCTTTGGTTATTCATTCCTCTCACCCAAATAACTATCTGAAAGCAACTACATAATTGAAGTTGATGTAGATACACCTATAGTTAGTAGAATTCAAACAAAGGCTAGCAATTTATTCAAAGTTGTCAAAATTTATTCTAGGGTTTGCCTGCAAGAGAAATCACTTAAAGAGTCAATTGCTGCCATGTCCAAGGAACTTGAAGTGATATTGAAAAGCTGTGGAATTGATCAAGATAAGTTTGTGAAACTTGTAAATATACTAAACAAAAGTACAAATAGAGAAAAACCTCATATACATCAAGATTCAGGTAAGGATTTACCAGATCTTGATTATGATAATGATTCTCTGGATTAAGGATTATATAAGTATGACAGTGATTCAAAGCATGACCCTATGGAAAGATGGACTGTTTGAAAACTTAGTCATTCATGTTGAATCATTCATTATGAAGTCAGCTTGCAACTGACTGGAGGTGCAATTATATTCTGTCGCAAATGGATAGTATCAAATTGATGACAAACAGTTTATTGGATGCACTTATTGGAACAGGTAAATTGGCCTGGTACAAAAACTCAGATGTATGAAAATCAAGATGACACAACTGTGAGGTAAACATGAAAGGCCACAGAGAGGCTTTTTGAATTGGCAGCTGTGATTTGTAGGGTCTACTGAATATTTCAATGTACAGGGTAACAGAACAATATTCTGCACAGTGTGTTTTGTCAGGGGAAAGAGAAGGCTAGAATAATTTGGGTTAAAGTGATCATCATTTGTTTGGAAGCCAATTTTTTCAGTATCCATTTTACTATAAAAATATGTTGGGTTATGGTAAATACTTGAAGGGATTCAGCTGACTTAAAAAAATCACAATCTAGTACTTGTTTTGTACCTCATTGTATAAGAAACATTTATTAATGTAATAATTTTTTAAGAAATAGGAGTATAATGTTATGTCACTTTAGACTCTGGTTGATAAGTGGCAATGTCATTGTGGCATGTCCAATTGCAGAAACTTTCTCTTGATTTAGCATTGATATTATGGTGTTTTAAGAGGTTCTTTTATCAAACATGCAGAGTCACTCTAAGCTTTCTCTAGCATGTTTATCTTCTACTCTCATCTTTTTGTACCATGGTTGCCTATTGACATGCCAAAAGTATGATAACTGGTGCTGCACAAGTACTCCTGCTATTTTCCTTTCTGTCCATGACATGTGCAACGTTTTACATATAAGCAAGGCATCAGTTGCTATGAAGGCTCAATGGTTAGGCTATGAGGAATGCTCAGTAGTTGGGAAGTTAGTAACAGAAAAGAATTGTGATTGAGTCTTTTAACAGTGAGAAATTCATATATAGGATTAGTTTGGTACTGTTTGCTGAAATTTGAAATACTATATATAAAGAATAAACTATTCTAGTCTAATCAAATAAGTTTTGGTACCACAAAATTTGAAGATGGCACAAAATAGCGAAACATTGCATATAAAAGTGCTTTTCATCCGACACTCTTCAGAGTATAAATGTCAAGCTATGACCAAAAGTAACAGAAAATTTATTTCTAGTTGTTCATTGAAAACAATTGGAAAGGAAGTCTCAATAGTATAGATCAAAGATTCTGTTTGCACTCTACACGGTTAATAGAAAAATTTCAAGTTTGACACAAACATGGTTTAAGTAACTACTTCACCATGATTTTGTCAAAAGTTTTTATACTCTCAAACTTTCCTGAAATGTTAAGATCAGTGATGCTGTACCATTTTATGATGTTAATTATTGCTGCTCCATCAACACATTGTCTTTAACAACACATTGTCGTTCATCAAATTCTATAAACACAACTTATCAAGATTTTGTGGTAAGATCCTTTCTAATGAATCAATGGTATGGATTTTATTTCTATTCTCCATTATTTCTTCATTGTTCATGTCTCTTCTTATCAAGAGTGAATTGAATCCGACTTGTCTTGAAGGAAGATAGTCAAGCTGGATACTGTCTCCAATATGCAGTGCTTCACATGGTTTCAAATTCTCAGCTAAAACCAAGGCAGCTGAAAACATCTCTGTATTTGGTTTAGCCTTGCCAAAAACCTTTGAGCATAAAACCAAGTCAAAATATTTTCCCATATCCATTTGATCCAATAAAATGTACAAACGTTCATCAAAATTTGATATTATTCCAAGTTTTAAATCTGTTTTTGATTTTAGCTCCTTCAGCACGCTAAGAACTTCTGGGAACAATTCGTGTTGTCCTTTCATACTATAGTTAGTATATAACTGATTAGAAATACTCCTTATGACCTTTTTGTCTCGAAGGCCTAAGTTATAGAATACCCTTTGAACTACCTCATACCACCAATCTTCGGTTGATATTCCTTTTTCGTATCCATAGTTTGGAAGACGCCGAGTGACTTCTTTGTATGCTTTTGAAAATTCCATGTCAGTGTCATCAGCATTAAATGTCATTTTAGTTGCTCCGTAATATTTATTTGCAACTGCAGCATAATATCCACCCACTGGACCACGTATTCTAAGAAGTGTGTTTGAAAAGTCAAATGTTATAAGCTTGAATCTCATATCTGTTTAATGAATGAGTTTCCTGCTCATCTAAAATGGATTTATATTTTTGATTTAATACGATGTGGCTACTGTCCGACGTCAGGGATTACTCTTTGTGACAGTGGCCTACATCTGTCAGTGTTTCCAATGTTGAATGCAGGCCAGGAGCCATGCTGCCGTCGCCTCGATATCGTGGAGTATTGTTGCGGGGCGGGAAGAAAAGTCGCGGGAAAAAGAAGTCACGGGAAGGAAAAGTTACAGGGAAAAGTCATGGGAAGACAGTCACGGAAAGAAAAAATCCGGAAAGAAGAAGCCGCGGGAAATAACATTGGCCACGTTTTCACTACGCGATAATCTGGTCTTCCACTGCTCGCGACTTATTTTGAACATTTGCATCTTGTAAATGTTTCCATAGCAAGCGAATTAATTTTGCAAATTTAATGCACGCTAGGGTTGTTGCGGTTAGCGGCGACGTTTATTTAGCGTCTGAGAATTAGGAGGTTGACTCGAGTTTTTTATTGTTCCCTGATTTTGTATAGTTCTTGGTTGATAACAGCACATTGTTGCTGATGAAGCTTAAACCCTTACAGATATTGTCTTGTCATGTTATTATTTTTTCTGGTTTACTTGCTGATCGCTTAATAACAATTCCTTACCACCTTCGCGATTAGTCATGTACGCTATTCAAGATCACAGTGTTTCGTGTCGTTAATTGTACGCCACTTTATGGGGTTGGAATGGTCGGTGACTTTTAATGTTCGCGTAATTTTTCTCGTTGAAATTTAGTTACTTAAATAATCGTTTACCTTACTCTATTTCAAATATTTTGACATAAACCTTATAGGTTGGTGAGAATAACCCTTTTTCAGAGTCCATGTAGTTGCATTGAAAACATTTTCACAAACGTTAGTCCATTTGCAAAGAGGGTGATATTATTACTTATGTAGAGAACAGATTTTGCTAGCAGAATAATAGAAAATATGGCGTTTTAAGATAATAAAAAATCTTAAACAGTAATGGGTATCAGCTGATAGATTTCTACATAGTCAGAGGTTGCTCTGTTTCCTTAAACATTATTGCCGTTCTCGAAGGTTATCTGGAGAAAATAGCTATGCATTGAAAATAATGAATATTCATTAAAAGGTAATATGTTAAATCAAGTTTCATATGTTGTTTTCACTGGTGTTATAGAATACCGCTTGTGACATGAATGCGATGGGAGCTGTCTAGTTTCCACACTGCACGACCTGATGACGTAATTAGTTTACCCTAAACCTAATCCTAACCCTAACCCTCAACCTAACCCTAACCCTAACCCTCACCCTCACCCTCACCCTCACCCTTTAGTTGAAATAATTAATCATACTAATTTATGACTATTAATCATGCTTATTTATGAGTATCAGGTCGAGCAGTATGGAAGCTAGGCAATTCCAATGCGATGGGGGTCATTTTCGTATCTCCAGATGAGAGCTAGGTCCAATGGGTGCTTGCGTTGTCTCCTTCATCTATAATGATCATCGTTCTTTTGTTTCGATTATCTGACATCATGTACGCTTTTTACGGATTAAAGAAGAGAAAGCGCGCAAAATACTGATATAACATATAGAAAACCAAAGACCGCGAATTATTTGTTGATATTTTGATTATGTCAGGAAGGGTTTGACTATCCCTAAAAGTTTCAAGCAGAATTTCAAATCTATCATCGTAATTTAATCATTTCAACTAACGTTTCCTTAATTCTTACTAATATGTTAATATTGCATTCTGACACTTCAAATCCATTAATGCATCTAAAACAGCATTTTCTGTTAAAAATTAATCTTATCTGACATGACTTGGTTCACTCGTCGTACTTGACACTGCTTTGGTAGGTATTCCATCATATCACGTTTCCTAGCTTCTTTCTTCATTTCATCAAAAGACATTTCATTAACGCTGGCCTATGTTGAATTAAACTTTGAAGGGTTTCCAGCTTCTCTATCTGTGCGAATATTGAAAAGATATGCCACTAGGGTAAGTCGTCTCTCCCGTTGAAAGCTTTTGTGCATATTTAATCACGGCTAGCTTTGATTTTGTCGGTAACAGACTTGCGAATTCAAGCAGTAGCGCTTTTGATCCTTGCAGCAAAACGATGATTTCATGCAGCATCTCATTTTCATCAGCCCTGTTCGTAAAGAAGGCACTCTTACGTTTATTTTTTTCCTTTTTTGTTTGTATGGCTTATATCCCCGAAATAGCTCTCCGGGAGCTTATTAGCTGATTTTTAGATGGGGGCTTATTAGAGGGGGGTATACGAAGGGGGGCGATTCGAAAATTTGTGGTTGTAAAGCAAATGTATACTCAGAAATAGGTTAAAAGTAGGATCGAAACCCAGGGAGGCACTTAAATATTTATATACGGGGGCTCCATCCGCAGTGATCAAAATTCACCTAAAATAATCAAAAACAAAAGTTAACAGACCGAAAATCATCAGCTAAAAAGTGTTGATAAGGCCCCAAAAATATCAAAATAAAAATCTTGTTGTTTGGCACACTAGTCATAGTAAGCCAAGAGACCACTAGTCATAGTAATTTAGAATGCTTCCTATAATAATGAGTTTAGATAAATCATTCATTTATTCCTGTTTCTGATACTGTTTTGTTTTCGTTGAACCCGTATATATCAAAAGGTATACGAATGAATCACAAGAAAAATTCTTACCCATAAATGTCAGACGGTCCCCTCTGTGCAAAAAGATTCGAGTGATCCCCCTGGGGATCGAACTAGGACGCTATATTTATCTAGATGAATTAGTGAAAGAGACTGCCACACCTTTGAAAGCTTAAATATCATGTAGCAAAAAGAATTAATTATTTGAATAGGCACTCCATGATTGCATATACTTTGAAAGATAGCGTGCGAAACAATTGGACCATAATTGGGAGGCTTGGGCTAAGTTACCCTTGCTATATATTACTATGTAACTGAAAAAAATTCACCTAACACTCATAAATTCGTAAATAGCGAAATACGAACCTTTCAGTGGATAAATTTGCGAATACTTCAACGATGAAATTATAGTCATATAAGGAGTTTTTACTGACGAAGTAAGCCTTGGCATTTTTCATAAACTTCCAAGCATTTGTTTGATGATCGTCTTTGAATTCGTTGATTCTCTCCTGTATTTGTTTTGCTTTAATCAGATCGAGGTATTTCTCTCTTCTACTGTCGTCTGTAGAAACAGAGCAAGTGGAAGACCACTCCGAACAGTGCATAGAGTCAGATGAACTACTCTCTCTTTCTTCATTTGATTGCTCGATAGAAGAACTTCCATTTGCTCTATCAATCCGAGCGCTAATGTATTTTCTGTCCATTGTTGTATCTATTATATACCCCGTAACCTTAAACTATGACTTGACGTGTTTGTTCCACTCTGGCTTTGTTCTCTTTGTACCCCTCTCTTTGTACCAGTATCAGTCTTCGTTCTCTTTGTTCTTTTCTACACCTTCACTGTTGCGATTAGTTTATTTCATTCTTGCGAATTACCTGTTTTTCTCAATGTTGTTATTGGCGTTTTCCAGCATCGATATTCATGATTCGACTGATGCGTCGGCATTCGATCAAACATTCCCCATTGATCGTTCGTCTTTTCTTATTCTATTACTTGATGTAACTTTCAAAGCTGCATTTAAGATAATGAAATCATAGCTTATCTTCCTGAATTTCTGACCTTACACGCATAGCTTTTCCTGGAGGCTCTACGTGAATGGCTATGGATGCAATCTGTTCTTAATTCTAATGCGCAGAGGAATTTACACAAACTTTTAGAGAACTGTTCGATGAAACCTTTTTTGAATTTTACCAATGTCTTTCAAGAAATGGTCTGGTATTGCTTCTCTGTTTGAAAACTTTTAACAATCCTCCTTATCCGACTAATGTCTCAGGCAAAATGCGTTTCCACCTCTTTTTGGAGAAATTATATAAGACATGTTTTTATACATGGTAAATCCTTCCATATGGCAGAAAATCAGAGATGAAAATACTTGGTTATTGCCATTAATTTAATGTATTCATTGTAAATGACGTATCCCATTTTTACATTTCTCCTTGTATTTTAAATTTGAAAGTGTTTGCAGACCTGTCAACCTTAAATTTTCAAAACCTGGAGATTTTAGATTTTTCCTAAAAAAACCAGGAAGATTTGGTCAAAAATAGGGAGATCATAGAAATTTTTTAAGGGAATAAATATACCTTTTAAAGTGTTGTGCTCCGCAAACAGTTTATGACAAAATTGATCATGAGAAGTATCTTTATAATAACTTTTATTGCTTTTTTGTTAATCAGTAAGCACTAACAAATAATTGCTGTCATGAGGAAGTCAATGTGACCATTATATCTTAATTATACCTCTGTAAAAAGAAAACATACACGATGGACCTGTCTTTAAAGCATGAGATGCGCAATTCAATCGAACATCCGGTGAAGAATCTTCCTAGAGATTCTGCTAGACACTTTTGAAACCGGGAGAAAAATTTTAAAAAACTGGAGACCGGAAGAAAGGAGTCAAAACCGGGAGTCTCACGGCTGAGCCGGGAGGGTTGACAGGTCTTTGTTTGTTGAAAGTCACCCTTATCAAAGTTTATATTTATTACCATAATCCATAAAGACATTGATATTCTTCACTACACAAAGTTAAGCCGGGGGTTCACGACGAGGTAAAGGTGGTGCAGCAAGTGTGGCAGTTGGCTGATCCGTTTGAAGTTTTGTTGTGTTGGTTGTTGGCTTGTAGTCCGGCCTCTAACGTTTAAGATGTGAACAGTCGGAGGCCAAAAGGTCTGAATGGTAATTTTGATAAAAGTCGTTCTACTGACAACAAAAAGCAAAGTCTTACGGCCGGAAGTGGTGCACGAAGTCAGGGCGTGGCTCCAAAGTTTCCCAAATTGTTGAAAAAATACAACAGTCAATGTCCAAACTTGACTTTCGGGAAAAATTCTTCAGAACAAAGCAACAAACACCGTTCTGTATATTTAAGAGGGTTAAGTTGGTACAATTTAAGACCCCTTCAAAGTTTCCCCTAGTTGCTGAATGAATTCAACAGTCATTGGCCAAACCCCCGTCTTGTTTAAATTCAAGGTAAAGTTCTAACTCAAACATTGGTATTGATTTAAGACGATTATCTTGGGACAATTACCCTTTTAAACGCCCCCAAATCACCCTGTAAAAGTTAAATAGATGCACAGTCGTCGGCAAAACTCCCTTCTTTTTTCAAAATCCAGTTAATCATGCTGCTCCTACATTTAAACTGATTTTTAAATACGATTATCATTGAACAATTTCCCTTTTAGATGCCCCTTAAAGTTACCTCGTTGATTTTCAATAAATTCAACAATTATGGGCCACACCCAATTTTTTATTTTAACCAGCAAAAAATACCGTAGTATGACATATGGTATAATTTTCTCCAGCGGACTGTTAGCCTTTGTATGTTTATTCTTGTCGCAGAGTGTCAGAATACGGGCCTTATTAATGTCATTCAATTCCTTGTGGCCAAACATACTGCAAGTAAACTCCTCCATCACATCCACTTCATTTTCTGGCAGAGGAGATCTTCCCAGGGCAGTAAAAGCATTCTTATACTGACAGTCTTTCATATAAAGTTTGACTCAAACTTTTGTTCTTTTGTTCTGGCCAAAGATCAAAAGTTTGTTCTTCCCCTGTCGACAAAGTGATGAAATGTAGTCACGACCTGTGAAAGCATGCAATCTAGGAAGTGATTGCACATAATCGCCAAGATCTTTGGCCAACTTTGAAACATCAATGTACCTTCTTAAATTGTTAACAGATATGCCTACTTCTAGCCAAATATGACTGCCTGAAAATGATGCATGGTTTGCCAGCCAAATAACCAGAACATCAGTATCGTTAGCTCTTACTACAATGCTGTCAGTTCTGAGTTGACTTGAATGCATTGCATGGAAAGCAATCCTTTTGTCAGCCTCTTCGTGTTGCTCTACATCTTTTGCAAACACAAATGCACAGTCCGAAGAAAATTTGGTGCATTCATTATCAACAGCACAAAAGAGCTCTTTCTCCGAAAACAGTGGGCCATATGATTCATCTTTAAAGTCTTCAACTAGGAATTTTGTGAAGCACGTCTAAAACTCGCTGGAGCGCAATAGAGTCCTGAAATCTGTTGGCATCTTTTTACCAGGAACGAAGAAAAACCGCCTGACATCACTTCCACCCCGAGCTTGACTTTCTATGTCTTCGATGGATGGTGATTTGTATGCATCGAATACCAAATCTGCTCTTTTGACAGCCATCCGCATAATATATTGGGTTAAAATATATTGGGTGACTCCACGAAGAGTGCTTGGTAGCTCTGTCGGTCAAGTGTGCAAGAGAAACATCCCTTCAATCATTTCGTTAGCCACTTGTTCAGGAGACGCACTATCTCTAATTCTCTCATGAGTACCGATTTCTCTATTTTTCTGATAGAATCATCAAGATGAGACAATGTCCGGGGAGTTTGAGTGAACGGATAGCTGAATACTGTCTCCAGGTCGATCTGCGTCTCTGCAGTTAGATATAACAGATGACCAAAAAAGTATCTTGCTCCCCTTTGTCTTGACCACTTTTGCAGCAGCTTTTGATTTGTTAGCTTTCTTGAAACTTTCAGTTCCAAATTCCAGAATTTTCATTCGCTTAAAGTGGTTGTTCAAATCTAGCAGCATCTTTCCTATATTTATCAACAGAATTATTTCTGGCTTCCTCTTCTTTTGTAATGATACCTGGAAACATTCTGTAGTCTAGCGGATTCTTCTTTGTCGGTCTTCAGGTTGAACTGAGGGTCGACTGCTAAGTTTTCATCGAATGGATTCAATGCACTTTCAGTTGACTTTGTTCATGCTGACCCTCCCCCCCCCCCCCCCCCGCCCACCCCCCCCCCCCCCCCCCCCCCCCCGTAGATCTTCATGCATCTTACTACACTTGTTTTTAACCACCTACTGACTGCAGAATCGGTATTGGCGAAGGCATCAATTCCTCGAAGGCGGCTTTTTGCACTTGGACTTGATCTGACCTCTTACATGCATCTTGTTGTAAACCTTTTTGCACCCTTTCAGCTCGGTTTAGGTATGATTTTGGAAAAGAGTTATGATACATTACCTCTTTCACGACAAAATCACCTGATGTTTCAACTTTCAGTAACAAGGAATCATCTTTTAACGATTTTGCAGCATTTCGTATTGCCACTTCTGCATCTACTGTCATGCATTTTTCAAGGCTTTCAAGTAAAAACTCCTTTGGCAAACCCGGACATGATGTGCCTGAGTCTTGAAACCAGATGTACGTACAGCTTTCGATATTCCAGGACTTTCAGCTTTGACTGGCTGCAAAGAGGTAGGTATTGATGTGTTTGTTAAAGGGCCTCTCCAGCCAAAAAAAAAATTTTTTATTGACTAAAAAGTTAGCATCTGGTGCGTGTATTATGGCAAAGTTGTTGTTTTTGCAAAGTTTCAATTAGTTTAGAAGTTATAAGGCTTTAAAGTTGCACCTTTCCGAGAAAAAAACGACAAAAGCCGAATCAGTTTTCTGACATTCTGACGTCACAGTGTACGGCTCTCGTTCGTCATGAATTTCGTATATCTACCACCGAATCGTGAAGGAGTCATGGTCACGCGTTGATAACTGCATCTAAATCTACAACAGGTGCTTTTTAGGATCGAAAAATATTAAATGTTTACAATTATTCTAAGTTTGCGGGTCGGAATGTGTCACAACTTTGTTTTGATCACCTGGGTAGGCCCACAAAGCTACGGCTTCCTGTTCCAGCTCTTCCCTCGCGTATAATTAATCGTAATTGACACTTCAGTTGTTTTCCAGAAACGATGAACAACTAAAGGCTTCAGAATTGATATCTGAAATGCTCAAACTAAAAGCCGATGGAACAGAACTGAGAGTACCAACAATTGCAGTGTTCAATTTGCGAATCGCCGACGTTCGATTCGGTTTGAGGCGAGACTAACGAAATACACTGTGACGTCAAAATTGCGTCACAGTGTCACCAAACCGAAAAATTTTTGTCGGTTAATTCAATTCAATTATCGAAATGCAAGAGCTTATATCTCACAAACTGTGAAAAATATCGAAAAACAAATAACGAATTCGTGATCAGCAGGTTCAACTCCTTTAGATTGGCCAATAAAATGCAATTGCAAATTTTGGCTGGAGAGGCCCTTTAAAGTTACAAGCCTTAAGAGAAATTCCAGCGATGGGGTATTATAATGAAAAAGTTAATGTCGATATAATTAAAAAATATTTCTTATTATAATTTAAGATATAGTTTTCGTATCTTTCAAGTGTCTATCTATTTTGGGCCATCCAGCTGCTAAAACGTATATAAACACAAACAGATGCATTTCACGAGTTTGTTAATTCTAATGAAATTTCATCGTTCACAATTTGCGTACAGTTGGTAGGACCCTGTAGAACAAAACATTGCAGATTGAGTATACCAAAAAAATTTTGAAACTAGTTGTATATCTTGATAGAAAAAAACATTTCTCTTTTCACTTTTCTCCAAAATTAGACCTTATAACATTGGTTAAATAAAGGGGCCACAACAACCCCGGCCATAAGTGACAATTCTATTAGATTAGCAGTTTGTTATTTCTTTGCGATCATCGGTAATTTTGAAAGACTGATAGCATGACCATGTGCACCCAAAACCGCCTAAGTCTAAGGGTAGTCTTGGAAGCATCTTCATAGTGACTGCTCCACTTTAAGTGTCTTCCAACGTTTGGATAGCATAATTAACTTGCTGTTGAAAAAAGAACTGAGTTTTGCCGATGACTGTGCATCTATTTAACATTTACAGGGTGTTTTGGGGGCGTCTTTAAGGGTAATTGTCCCAAGATAATCGTTTAAAAAAATCCAATGATTTTTGGCCATCATCCCCCCTTTCCATACTCCCTTAGTGTAGGAAATAAAGAAAATTTCGAAAGGGGAATTCATATAATTATACAAGGTGAATTTTATGACTTTAAAGGTGATCTTTAATGCGGGATTTTCAATAAGGGACATTCATAACATTAATGCTTGTAAAGGATTTCACAAGGTGAACTGACTTGCCATGCTTTTAAAAGGTTGTGACACCAAAGATAATAGAAGCAAACTTGCCTTGCCAAAGTAGCAAAAAGGTACCCTGGACCGTTTTTATTTTCAATCTAGTCTTTTGCTAGCCTCAATGCTACCATTGAAGTTTATAATCTGATTATAATGATTTATTCATACCTACGTACCGGTGAAAACGCTATAAGATGCCTGAAAAAAACGAACGCAATCAGCGTTTTGAATATCATTGGCGCCCAGTGTGATGTCATGACTTCATCTGCTTGCAGCATCCAACTAGAGCCTCGTGGGTACCGGTATGGGTTTATATTCACTCGATCAAAATTGTTTGAACTAGGTCGCTAATATGTGTTCAGTCGACAGGGTATTATTAACTCATAATAGTTGTTTATGAAGTGGCGTCAGGTAGTAAATAAGTTTTTAGGTGGTTTTCTTTGCATTTGTATCTGCATTGTGCTGTATTTGTATTCGTTTTTGCATCCAAAGACAGTTCCTAGGACACTGAGAAGCTATGTTCATCGAATAGTGTCCAGGTCCTTTCTCTCGATATGACCTTACTTCATGATCCCTACGCTTGAAATTGCAGGGAATAAAACTCGGACCCTTAGCTCTGTCTTCCGCGACCCTAATCACTCTGCCATTCTTAAGACATTATTTGATGAAATGCGCCCTAGAATGAACGCCCCCTTGATAATTCTGAATGCCTCCTTCATAATGCTTGATAAGACTATGTTGTATCTAAAATAACAGTCACAACCTATGGCATCAAGTCGTTACGTTTTCAAGAGTCCACAATTTTGAATTCACTCCCAGAATCAGGAAAGACAGCCCAAAAGACTACAGAATTCAAGAATTTGATTAAATTTTGGTCCCTTAAAAACAAGTGCACATGCTCTTTTTGCAACAATAATCTGTTTTATGCAATTCTTGAAATTGCTTTATGTTAGTCTTAATAAATGTATATTTAGTATTTTAAAAACTAACGTTAAATGCAAAACCTTAAAAAACTGCCGCCTTTTTAGAACTCGTTATCGTAATAGCGCTTCATTCTCGTTGAAAGGAGCACTTATCAGAAGAGAAAGAGCCTAGGAAAGGCCTGATAGCGATGGCTGAAAAAAATTTACTGGGTACAACGACAGTTGTTTCATAAATCTATCAAAAAATAAATTGTTCGAAAAATGATAGATTTAAGTTATCTTTTAGCACATTTTGCACGTTTATTTTTAGTCGGTAGTGGTATAAACGTGCAAAATAGGCCTAAATATAGCTACGAGGCACGTTTTTTATCAAGTTTTTGAAATATCTTTGGCTAATGTGGTTTGGAGAATTTTGGTCGTACAGCCAATCAAAGATTTGAACCTTTGCACATCGCGAAATCTTTCCACATGACAGAAAATCAGTGACAGAATACACAATTATAGCCATTCATTTTACGTTTTCATTGCTAACGATTTTCCCATTTCTATGTTTTCCCTTCTGATTTAAGTTTGACATTGTAGAAAGTCACCCTAATCAAAGTTACTGATTAAAATCATAAAGCTACTGATATTGTTCACTATATATAATTAAAGCGGGGGTTCAGGACCAGGGATTAGTGGTGCAACAGGTGTGGCAGTTGGCTGCTCTGTTGTAGCTTCTGTAGTACTGGTTATTGGCTTTGGTGTGGTTGATGGTAGCCCGTCGTGTTTGATTACGTCATCGATCCAGTTGCGGAACTCACTGACTCTTGCAAACACTGAATATCTGTCAACTCCCGAACACCTGTTTATGGAATAGTAGTTGATTTATACGTTATCAGAGTAGGGAAATTTCGCTTGGCAGAAAGATAAGCAATAGTTTCCCTAATAAGACGGAAACAGGGGTAAAGCAGTGGTGCCGTGGAGAGGAGTTAACGGGACTCTTGCTAAAATTTGAAGATATTATTTTTGGGGGGCTAGCTACAAATGAGTTCATATTTGTTTGGGCGAATTCTTCTTTGTTGTCAAACCTTTCTTATACTTTATATTCCTCATGAATGAGCAATTTCTTATCAGTCTTTTTGTATCATCGAATAGTTTGAATGATTCCTACACACAGCGGAGAGTCTTCAATACAGATGCAAATAAATTGGGTATACTAAGGGTGTGACCGTGGGTCACACCTCTTGAATTCGCCCACAGCACAGCCTGCCTTCCTAACTTTTTAGGATGGCACCTCTGGAGTAAAGTAGTAGGTATCTGGGGTCTGCTACCTGAAGTGGAATACCGCAATGAAAAAAATTGAATGTGAACACTTCTCATTGCCATACTTTCTTGATTGAGAAAAATATGTTCCCGTATTTGCGGAATTCACTCTAGTTAGCGTTAGCAACAGGTTAAAATCGAAAACATACTAGAATATGCCATGTATAATCTTATGCGGAGTCGAATTTTCTCTTAATTGATTCACCCACCTGATTGAACCCCAGCTGACAACACCTTGCAGACTCCATTTTCCGTTTGCTCCTTGGCACACAAATGGGCCTCCGCTATCCCCTCTGCAAGCACTCAGTTCTTTGTCCGGAGAATGAAGGCTGTTTCCAGCACACAGCATTTGATCAGAAACACTGAGTTTTTCAGTTCCGAGTGATGCCTGAAGACGCTGTGCGCATTCTTGTTTCGAGACAGTAGCCATCGATCCTTGCTGCAAGACATTGGCAGGGTTGCTCGGATAGCTTGTCATTCCCCAACCTACGAGGCAATTACCCCCATTTTAATAGCATTTGTATAGGTTTAGGTATTAAAAGACCTCCCTATAGTTACTGTTGTTTATAAATGTCTATACGACCAAGACGAATAGTATCTCTAAAAAGGTACTGTAACTGAAGTTCTACCTTCTCAATACATTATTTCTCCTTCATCAGCAGTGCTATCGCCCTTTTACGGAATCTAATTTGCTTTATTTACAGTTTTATTAGAAATAAAATATTCATCTTTAAAAAATATAACGTTGCTTTGCGAATACAGATTTTTTAATAATTCCTCTTACCTGTAACAAAGCAGTTTGTGTTTGTCGGTAAGCTTTGACCCTGGGCTGGCAAGCAAATGGGCAAAATACGGTTGGAGAAGAGGATGGGTCCGCTCATTTTTATTAAAGCAATGTCGTTATTGTATCGATGCCCTTCGTCATATTGTGGGTGAAGAATCATCTTGGATAGGTATCTTTTAATTTCTGTTCCTTCGTTTGATGTCCTGTAAGAAAATAAAGGCGCTTTTCACAATATTTTCATGCATGTTGCGTGAAATGATACAATTGATGGCAATTGATGGCATCTTTGGCAGAGTGTATGGCATTCTATCAACATTAATTCTGTTTTTGTAATGGTCCTTTCCTCTTCATAGTTTTGAGCACATCATGACTGCTTGTGATGAAAATAGGAATACAAAATTTGTAATGGAGGGTTGATGGAACATTCGTCATGTGGTTTTACTTGAGATAAGGAGTACCCCCCAGGGAGCGGTATTAGAGCCACTTCTGTTTAATATTTTCATTGATGATAATGTACTGGGCTACCCTAAAGTCTGCTGTTATACAAACGATTCTACATTTTAGGTTGGTTATGAGAAAAATGCTGAAAAATCTGAAAAATCGGAATAATGTACGGTTTTATCTTTTATTGTCCCTGAAAATTTCGGTAAATTTAATGAAGAAATAGTAGATCTTTTTTATATTTAGCGCATATAAATTGATGGAGTGACACTGAAAGTTGTTGCCTCTAAGAATTTCAAAATCTAAATAATCATTTTGTCAACATTAGATTCTAAGATCAATTTTTATCCCAATTTTCTGAGTGAAATCAAGTAGAAGATGGTAACTTAACGAAATTATCCCCAATCACATATATTAAACTACAAAATTTTGATTGGACCGACAAAATGAAACTGATAACAAGGTACTTTATGCCACATCTAAGCTTGTTTCATGACAAAATCACAAAGGATCAAATATACAATATGTTTTGGACAGTCACACACCCACATGCAGAGACAAAGAGAGATCCTTTTAGAACTTGCTGCCAAGGTAACTCAGTTTTAGTTCACAAGGGAAACCTACAGTTGCTTATCATACATAACACCAAGATAAAATAGTTGTTTATTTTATCGAAACAAAACCAAGAACAGTATAAACCCATCCTTCGTTTAAAGAACAAACGTATGCAATCTTAGAATAAACGATGGTTTTTTTCCAAGGAAACTTCAAGCTTCTAATGCTTCAAAAACAACAAGATTTTTTGGAATTAGACTCTAGAAGTTTAGAAGTCATCACTAAATGAAAGAAAATATTTTAAAGGTTGTTTAAGAAACTGATCATAAAGACAAACGAATGAAACTGCAGGCTTTGCAAAGTTTTTTTTCTAAACCTAAGTTTTTTTTCTATTTAAGTTAGTTTGTATTTGATCACAGAAATGCAAAGTAGGCATTTCTGCATATTTGGCGTAATTTGGAATATATCTGCTTCGAAACTGCCAACTTTAAATGAAGAAAAAATTAAGAAACATTATTTTCATTATACCTGTCATGGTCACCAAGGATGACGTGGTAATCGCCAATGGTATCCCCAGAATTTAGTCGTTCTAAACAGTGTGTAGCTGTCACTATCCACATCGGGTCAATCAGTGCTCCTCCGCACAAGAAATTGCCTTTTCGGTACAATGCTACTTGCCATGGCCATGCTCCTGGCTTTGCGTTGATACCACCAACTATCCGTGATTGCGCGACTTGAGGTGTGCCGCATGAGGCTGTAACAGAAGTTTATTTACATTGATTATCTATATTGAAAAGTGAATCGGGTTTGCTGTGGCTCATCGTGTAAATGCAAGGCCATTTAAATTCCGATTCAACTTCACTAATATATAAAGGGGCAAAGCTTTTCCAGTCATTGTGCTTTAAATCAATGTATACTTAATATAGACGTCATCTTCTCTTATAAAACTCGTGATTATAATGCCTTGCTATGATTTTTCAAAACATCTTCACCTTCCTTTAAAACTCACCAAAATACGCCTGTTAAAGTTGGTTTTTACTTCACAGTACATTTTCTCACCTGGTGGTACGGGGGGACCGACCGGCGTTGTAGGTTTAGGCGGAAGCGGTGGTTTCGTATCCGTTGGTGAATTTGTTGTCAGTGTGTCTAGAATACAAAGCAAATTTTGTTAAAAAGCTTTAAGAAATGGGCTGTACCTTCATTTTTAAGCTGATTCTGCAACTTTGTATTTAAGGGAACGATAAATAAATCTCGCAGCCTTCTTTTGGGGGGGGGGGGGAGGGCAGCCTTTTTGGGGGGGAACTTGAATCTAGC